GACAGGAGAAGTTACTGCAATACTTTCTTTTTAAGGGCAGGTTAATGTAAAACTAAGAATACATAAAGAGCACAGAGTCCTGAGTATGCCAATAAAATCAGGAGTTCCACTGTGAGCAGTGTGAGCAGCATTGTGAGGAAGCTCAAAAACAAGAGACCTGTATGACGAATGAGATGAATTATTACAGGCCTCACTCCTCAAATGACTGCTTGGAAGCTAGATTTTAATTGCTCTGATCAAAATGATCAGTCTTGTAGCTTTGACTATTTTCCAAGTGGAATAAATAGTATATTTTCCCCCCAAACTGTGACAGAATCTCCATGTGGAGGATGAAAAATTAAATTGACAGATTAATTCATAGTGGTGCATCCCTTTCTCCCATTTTGCTTTGCTAAGAAATCAATGGCATTTGTATTAACATACAAAACCAACTTGGCCTGCATTAAAAGAAAATGGGCAAAATTGAGATTTACAAGATCAGAAGCTACCCATAAAATACTGTGATACAATAATTTATGTTGGAAGGGACTTATGAAGGTCATATGGTCCAGGCCCCTTTTCGCGCTTATTTTAAAGTTACATTAGGTTGCTCAGGGTCAATCAACAAGCACAGTAGTTACAGACACTCACTGCTTGAATAACAGTTAAAACTGAGTATGTCAGTGCTTGGTTCAAACTAAGTACAAGAAAGGATGAATGGAATTTAATTATTTCACTCATTTAACAAGTGAAGGACTAATGGAAGAATGAAGATGGCAAAAACTGCAGAAAACCTGGTGTGTGTGATATTGAAAAGAGGGCTTAGTAAAATGTGACCTGGATCCACTCTAAAATTCTTAGAAGTAGTATAAGGTAACAAAAGCTAACTACATCACAAAGTTATAACCAACAGCTGTGAATATGTGATTATTAGATCACTGCACTACATCTGTAACAGAAATGCTTAAGCGGAAGATGTTTATAAAGCAAGAAAAAGTTTGCCTTGTCAGGCACCAGTTATATCCAATATATATTCAACCTATAAGAAAAATCCTTTAAGAACTGTGATATTGTCAACTGTCAAGCATGCCTTACTATGAAAGAATGATATGGATACAACGTGCCTTTTCTTGGGGAAAAAAAAAACATAGGGATCTCAACACTCCAACATAATCAAGCCATACAGGAGCCTTTAGAACCTTAAAAAAAGCCACCCAAAAACAAAAACAAAAAAACAACAAAACCCCCAAACCAAACAACAACATAAAAAACACCAACAAAAATCCAAGCAGTTTTGTTGGAAAGCAGCTGACTGTGTCCCACTTTTAAAGGGTGTATGTCCTTACAGACAGATTTTCAGATCACTACATTCTTCTCACAGTCTTGATGTCTTGCAGTCAAGTCACCAAGAGTTTGATGCTAGCATATATATTGTAAGACAATCAAGATATATGATCAACTGCCATAATATATATAAAATTATTTGTTTAAAAGTAATCCTCACAACTTGTATGCATATGAAAGTCCATTTTCATTCCCGTTTTAGCATGGTATGTGTCTGTTAAACCCAAACACTTGATAACAGTACTGAATGTCAGTCAGAACTCCTTTTTCAGCCAGTGCATTTTTAATGGATCTAGTCACCTTTCAGACAGCTAAATGGACACACAGAATACTACATGATAATCCTCTGATTCAGAGAAATTTGCATTCATTTAACATTTATGTTTGTACTTAGTGACAGCTGCAGTCATGCATACAATTTTTCATGATAGACTGTAAGAGACTCTCATTGCTGCCTCCCTAACACTGTCCAAATTTCTTAAATGGAAATCTGAGTCTGGCCATTAGCTTCTAATCCTTCAAAGCTGCCTTGTCAAATACCAGCTCAAATGAATATGAATATCTGGCTTACTGCAGAGCTTCCCAGAGGTGTAGTAGTATGACCAATCTGAAAGAAGAATGTAAAAAGAAAAGCAAACAGCATGATCTAGCAGGCACAGATGCACCTTTTTCCCCTGCTGCTCCTTCTGCCCTCTTCACACTGAGGAGTTGTCTTGCTTCCCACTTGCTGGATGTGGGTAGTTAACTCTTTAGCTTTTGGGAAGGCTAACATATCCTACCTGATTTACCTCAACAGGATGATAGACCTTGGGCAACCCGACTGCAGACTATCTTTGTCTTGTACTGCTTCTCAAGAGCATACATCCAAAGAATTACAGACTTGAACTATCTTGCTGCTATTGGATCTTTCTGGTTTGAATTTACTCATGGAGACTGAGATACCACATTTACAAACATTTTTATTCATTTTGAAAAGTCTCTGCTTAGGTCTGTCTGTTTTAGAACCATCCTGAACTGTCTTCAGTTCTGGATGCACTGAACCTTCAGAGCACCACAGGTATTCACACATCCTCACTGATGGCTTCAGGGAAGCTGGAAAAAATAGACTCCAATTCAGCTTGTCAGCTTCTCCAAAGTGCTTGAAGGCCAAGAAGCTCTTCCCCATTTAATCCACCTTCTGCTATTGAACATCTCTCTTACCATATACTTGCTGGTAGTTTTGCAAATGTTAATCATTTTCCAAAAGGGATTTATTTTCTCTTCCAAGTTTCTTTTCCAGCTCCACCTCTTCTACAGCTCTTTCCTTTAAGGCTAGTTATGAAAAAGTCTGCTTCCCAGTCTTAATCTCCTATTTGATGAATGTGTGGACATTTCATGGACCCAATTAATTTACCGAGCTGTGTTTTATTGTCCCTTTTACTCCTATTTTCAGTCGATTTTGTCCACAGGTCAATTTTCTTCATTTATTGAGGAATTGGCTCCTGACAGACAGGAGATTTTATTATGCCATTCCTTGCAACACTGATACTGTCTATATGATACCAGCTGTCTTCATAACTTTCTTATTTTACACTAATTTATTGTGCCAACAAACCCTGATTCAAATGGTAACAAGCAACATTCTCCTGTGCTGCTGCCAAAGTCCTCAAGATGTCCTCAGAATTAGGAAACACACATTTTGAAATGGGAGTTTAATTGAATAGAGCTGCTCAGAGAAGGATTTTACATCCTTTAAATCCTGTGAGACTAAAAAGGACATGCACCACTGCAATTTTTGTCAAAGGTTTTCCATTTCGGGAATAGTCTCCTGAATCCAGACAGACTTTCACTGTCTTTCCCTTTTGAGGTTGGGGAGGGGAGGAATAACAGCTTTTACATCTTAAATCAGTCTCCACCAGTCAGTAGTGATCTCATATCTAGCTTCCAAAATCCTTGCTGCAAAAGACAGCTTTTCTCCACTGTTTCCACTGCCTTTGGTCTGGATTTGCTTACCAAAACCCAACAGTCCTCTCATACAATTGATGGAATTGTTGCTAATTAAAGTTAAAAACCATCTCATCTGCTTTTTCCTTCCTTATGACCCTTCCAATGCTTCTAGCTAGGTCTACCTGACTTCATCTTGCTTTCTTTCTGAACAAACAGCAATTGAAATAGACTTTTTTTTCAATGTCAAAGCCTTTTCTTTGCTTCCATGTTTTTTCTACACTTAACCAAATTCATCCCATTTCTGTTACCATATGTGACACAGAGTTTGAATGTGTAATGGAAGAGAATCTCACTAATAACACACAGTTCTTATCAAGGATGCAACTATTATTTTAAAGCATTATTCAGAACTAAAATGAAAACACAAACAGTACAGCCTGGCAAGTTTAGCAGCACCTACAGCGTTTTGTGTTCACTACTCAGAATTATATTGCTTTACAATATATTTCTTCTAAGCTTTCTCAGCTGATTGAGGAAACTGATGCTTGGTCTCCTATTGTATTGCCAACATATCCTAGTTGCCTCTTAACAAGACAGAACAACCTAGCTTCAGTTCACCCTTTCACAAGACAAATGCCTTTAAGAAGTAAGACAGATATTCTTGATGCAATACACAGAAATGCTAGTCCTTCTTAAGAGTTTTGAAGTCTGTTAAAGAAGCTCTTTTTGGGTATCACAGTTTCCTCTAGCCTTTCTTTTCCAATTCTCTTCCCTTCCCCTCCACTTTCTGCAACAGTTTCTCATTCCTCAAGTACATGAGATTAAATCACACATTGCCTGAAAATAGAGGTTCAAGTTGGGTTCTATGCAGAATTTTGTGCTCTGCTTAAACTGTTACCAATTTAAGGACAGTAATAGAAAAGGGCAATTTGTCTGAAACAGAAAAATCTAGTCACCAAAGCCAAATGGATGATTTTGCAGGAAGAAAAACGTGTCATTCATTAGATTTCTGATGCAATCAATAAGCAACACAAAGAGCAAGTGGTTTCTTCCCATCTCTGAATTTTACCACAAAACCAGAAGAACAATTTTTTAAGAGATACTTTTCTAAATAATATTTATTAGGGCTGCATGAGATGCATTCCATCAATTGGAATTCACTGACCCATTTTTAACTTTCCAGGTGTTTCAAGACACTGAAAGAAAACTACATACACAGCACAAATGCATCTTTCATTTCCATGTGCCGTGCATAGTCAGACTTGTACAGTGGCCAACTTGCACTGCAGTATTTGAATGAACACCTCTAAATAAGCAAGCAGGTCAAGCCAGTTGTGCAAAGTATCCTTAAACACTGGAAAGATACAACCGTACATATAAATCTTTATCTTACATATGAGGTTAATATTTCTTGTGTTCACCTTGTTTCTTTATCTGCCAAATTCAAGAGATACATTGATAAAAAGCAGTAAATGTTCTTACATTGGACTGTTAATCCAATGTCTTTCTGATAGAAGAGGTCACTTCTGCAGTTCGTCCAGACCATAATCTTGGAAATTTCCTAAAGATTCCTCAAACGCATATTATCTGTTAATTTATAAGAAAGCAAACCAAAGCATACCTTTTTCTTATCAGAACAGGAGCAAAACCAATTTGGTCTTATATACACGTATGGATTTTCAATTGAATTGTCAGGCAGCTTACAGTCAAAAGTACTTGGATTAACTTAGAAAATGATTTTATTTAATTACCTTGTGTCAGGTTTTAGGTTTTCCACAGTAGAATGAGTTTGATTTGTAGTGATAATCGATTTCTCCTTTTCACCATCAGTTGCTCCATTTTCAGTTGACACAACCTCATACTCTGGAAAAATATAGTACAGAAAAATGTGGTTAAATAACAGCTTACTTGAGCTTCTTCATTGTTTTCTCTTTTCTCATCTGATTTCCACTCCTACTTTCTAATAGGCTGTAAAGACAACTTGGGTGAATCAGTCTGGACATTACTATGCTGAAATTGTTAAGAAGGAGAGATCCAATTCCAAATTTCCAATTGCCAAGCCCCTCATGCTTCCTTATAATTCAGTTATGGGATGGAAGGTATTCAACCACTCACCTACGCCCAAAGGTACAGTAGTGGCAAAATTCCAAACACAAATAAGTATTCTGCATTTTGAATAAAAAAGTATCAAAAATAAAAGTAGAGTTTCTAAATGCTTAAAACTTGATTAAGACTTAATCAAGACGTAGTATTTTTAAGATTTCCAAAGGAAACTGCTCAGCTAACTTGGATTGTGCACTTAGGGAATCTGCCAGTTTAAAATGAAATAATTTTGCATAAATATATTTCTGTATTTATATGATTTATAGAGTCTAACGACTTTCTTTTCATCTCACTGGGACGTATCATCAAGCACATGCCATGCGCTAAACAGGGAATTAACAACAGATGTTTGGGAAGAAGGTACCCCTTCAGTCATAGCGCTGTCTGAGACACAGTCTCTAGCAGCAACCTTTGTCTCAATTCATTAATAAACACACTGAGTATATTGCTTATTTTCCTCTCTTTGTAAAGAAATTCATGTCCCCAGTGCCTTCCTTTCCCCTTCTTAAAACTGGTCTATAATACGACGTGAAGCTTTACTAATTGTAAGCTAGCAAAGGGGAATGTTTTCAAAGAACATTTGCAATGAGCATTTAGGTCTACAGCACAATAAATAAAGCAGGTATTGGTATAATATTGTGAGTCCAAAGACAGACCATCTATCAACAGCTACAAAACCTCTAGAAAACTACTTTCTTGATTTTTTTCTAATGATACTACTATTAATTTTTGAGCTCTTAGCTAAATGCTAACAAGCTGTAGGTTTTTTTTCTTCTTCTTTTTCCTAAAATTTTCAGTTCTCTGTACAAGGAGACCCATTTGTTGTCAACACAGATAAAACACCTGCAATAGGATTCAGTATTAAAAAGGTAAAAAATAAAAGCCTCTCTTAATTGTTGCTGGACTCTCAGATCCTCACTCTTGGTAAGTGTAGGAGATGTGTATGTTAATGAGCATACACAAAAATTGAGGTGATCTTGATCTCAATTGTGCAGCTATAGCTTTCTTTACAACCTTCTATGCAAAGAGCAGCCATCAATACCGCTGGAGTAAATTATGTAAGATAATTTATGGAAGTGGAAGTGGAAGTGTGAAGCAGCCCTACAAAATTATGTTCTACTATTACAAGCTTCTAGACCACAGCAATTCAGTCTGAGCAATTCTATACATGTATGCACATATGAATTTCAGATTTACTGCAGTAGTTCCAAAACGAACTTCTACACTGCCATCTTTTTATCTTTACCTTGTAGTAGACTCAGTTGCCTAGAGAATATACAGAGCAATGTAAAAGTTTAAAATCAGGTTTAAGTTATGTCAGAAAGTTAACATGGAGGAAGGAATTACTGCCGATACTGAAGATTTCAAAATTTCCATGTTCAGAAGTCCTCACCCACAACAGTCACCCATGAACTACAAAAGACCAACCACTGCTTTTTAAAAACAAACTCACAGACTTGCAGGAATGGGCATCTCAGGTAAAGAGGGGGTGAGGCGGGTAAGTAGAAGGCTTTTACTTTAGGCTGTTTGTTCAAGTGGGATCCCAGTGTAATGATCAAAGACATAAGCATTAATAGGTAGTATCCATTTCGTATATATTTTGCAAAACATATCTTCTTTTTTTTTTCCTCTGTGCATTTCCTTTTGGAAACAAACACCTTTTCCTATATAGCCTCCAAGGGCTGAGTAAACCATGGGAAAAAAACACCAAACTATGCAAAAGCCTTTATTTGCCTTAGTTAAGCCTCATTTGAGAAATTATGTTTACTAGGAAGCATGGAAGGAAATGTGGATATCCACTGCCTTAGGTACATCCAGATAGAGTATGAGTAGGAAACTTCACAGGAATTCTATTTTTCTGTGTGCTGCCTGCCCCAAGTCAATATGTCATGTGGATTTTTTAATCATTTAAATTGAAAAACACAGCACATGGACATGCAAACATGTGCAGGCACACACACAAAGCACTGTTGAGCACATCTAGTACCTGCATGTTACTCAGTGCGTAAGTCTTGGTGCACAAGTCAACAAACATTTCTGTGGCAACACATAGCAGAGAACCAGCAAAACAGTTTTTGCTCCTGACCTTTGCAGCCTTTATGAAAATAAGGATGTAAGCTTGATCACTGTTTGTTTTTAGGAATACCAATACAATGAAACCGCTTGAACATAGCTGAAGGTCAAGCAAAGTAACCAGCAAATGATGTTCTCTTGTTTCCACAGTTCTATCTGAAACAGTGCCTTAAAAAAAAAAAAAAAAAAAAAAAGTGATGCCTAAATCAAATGATTGAAAAAACATGTATAAACTACAAAAATAAAAAGAGATGACGGAAAGCTTGATTTAAGTCTGTCTAACCAAGTAATGTCATACTGGTGCCAATATGAAGTAATCACTGTTTTCAGAAAATGGGATTCAATGCCTTCTCTTGAATTCACAAAATGTCCTTGGATGAGCCATTAACAGAGTTATTTTTTTAAGTTAAAAAGAAGGAGACAAGCTCAGTAAGTTTATTTGTAAATCACAGAGTTCAAACATTTGTATTACTCACTGAAGTTAAAAAGAATGAAGACTGTATTACGGGAAAGCTGTTACATGTAGATAGGAAGATAGCTAGATTGAAAATTAAAGTTTCTCTCATTGAAGCAAAATGAATATTAGTCACATATTCTGCAGAAGGTTTTAATCTTTTCTGGTATGGGGAAGGGTATGCCACATGTCTCAGTTATCACAGAATACTCTTACAGAAGAGAAGAAACTTCATGTAACTTTTACAAATGCTGATTACAAATGAACAGAGAAAAGATTCATATTGCATATGAACTGTGCATATTGCTTGCTCTATATTTCACAAAATGTATTAGAAAATGAATAGTATCAGAAGGCAATTAGGCCTTCCTCTCATTAGATGATGTGTGCTGACAGTTTTACCAGCTATAGCAGAGATGTTTTTCTTTTTTTTGCAATACAAATGGTTGTGCTGTGGTGGGGTCATTAACATGCTCAAGAAAAACGGCAGGTCTACTTCCAAGAAAACATGCAGACTAAATTGTGTTATCTAATCTAATCAAGCTAATGACTGGTCTGTGGAGACAACAGCAGCAAAAAGGCTTTTACTTGAACGAAAAGGAGCATTGCAGAACTGCCTGAAATATGAAGTGTTCACAGAAAGCCTTTACTCAGCCTAATTCTAAGGTCAGCAATAAGCTCACACTTCCTTTTCTTCCAGGATGAAGCACATTGTGGAAGACAAGCCAAGTAATCATTCTGTTATATTGTTGGTACTTTTTAATTGCCTACAGTATCTTTTTATTCCCCTTTTAATCCACCAGAAGTGCTGTTTCTTCCTCTTTCCCAGAAGTAAAGAAATGCAAGTCAATTTCTGTTTTGAGTGTCCCTTTGGTTTTGCATTTACTATTTTTCAAAAAGAAAGAATAGAGGCTAAACCTAGTAATTAATTCTAGAAAGTCAAAGAAGGACTAATTTGGGGAAGAGAGTGGCCTTGCTGTGACAGTCACCTAACTATATCTCTGCGCTGAAATCTCTCATGACATGCATATACAACATCTGAAAATATCCCACTTAAATGTTAAAGTGAATGGCTAAGATCAAGTGTTAGTCCTCACAGTTCCTAGTCTTACCTGTTCTACTCCCCTGTAAAGCAACACAGCCAAATTCACTTGGTCATGGCTGTGATAGGCCAGTGATTTTTCAAATCAAAGTTCTATGTCCAATGTAAAAAAACCAAACCACCCCCCCCACCCCCCCATTTTCCTAACAGACCAGAAGAACCATAATTTTCAGTTGTTAATTTGGTAAACTTGTGTTGAGATGACGGAAAAACTATGAATGGCTGTCTTGCATGCGTACCTGTCTATGTACTGATTCCTGCATGACTCACAAGGGTTTATTCTCAATACAAAACATTTCTTTGGAAATGAAAAAAACAGATTATTTTAACATAGAGAACTTGGTGACCCTATGGTGAGTACTGCAAGTATTATACTGGCAGAGTTCTACTGACTTACTAGATGGATGTAAGTTTTCATTGTGTCTGGCCCGCTGATCAACAATATCCTCAAGTGAAGAAAGATGTGTGTCTACATGATGTATATTCATTTATGTAATAAAGACTACTGTCACATTCCTAGAATTTCTTGACTAGATCTTACCAGATTCTGTACACAGAGAAGCCAGAGAAGATACTATAGCATCAAGACAGTCATACTACTTAAGCATCTTATTGTGCCATCACTGACACCAATGATACAGTTGTGAAAATCTTGCTTTAATCTAGTAGCACTGTCTCACCTACACTGGAGTTTACAGTAGCACAAAATAGAGATATTGGGACTCCCTTGAGATTAAAGTTTCTTTTAAATGGTATAAAACCACTGTGAAAGTATAAATAAGCTGGAAATACTGTATTCTGATACAATGGAGGAAAGAAATAAAACCAACCGGTAACAGTGTCATTGTCTGGTTTCTCCCAGTCCAATATGACAAAAGTTGGACAGCCCTCAACAGTCACCACTGTGAGGTTTGTTGGAGGATTTTGTGGAGGACGAGTAGGTTCTTCCTTGCTGTTAGCTTCCTCTTGTGGAAAATGTTCAAGAGAGCTTGTGATTGAGCAAGGCACATCATCATCTTTCTTCATGTACTTGACATGAGGGGCTAAGAGCAACAGGAAAGAGCTGTTATTGAATACAAGGTGTTTTTACAAAATACCAATGCTGTTTTTCGCTTCTGGCACAACTTCCATCTTGTGGTATAGAATTTTACTTGGTGCTCCAAGTCAAACATAAATGTTTAAGAATGAAAATCAAATATTCAATATTAAGCTGCCTGTTGGTTTTATTATTCTTGCTATACCTGGAATGTGGATTGCCTTCACCCCCTTCTCATTGGCACCACTGATGAATTGTCACTCTGAAGTAATTAGTGGCTGATATGCACTGTTTGAAAAAATTAACTTCTGTCATAAAATGAGATAATCAATTATTAATATTCTCCAGTAAAATGACACTACAATTCCTTTTGCAGCTTTTGAGTGCTATGCTAATACAAAGATGTAATGCCCATCATCACTTTGTTTCACCAGAAACAGTAACAAGTTTAGTCCAGAGTCATCCCATCATTAAACTTGCAGTTTTTAAAGTGACTGCCAAAATCTTAAACATTTTCTGTGGTACAGGACCAAAGCTTGAAACAAACTTTGAGGGAAACCTTGTTCTCAGCATCAGATATAGGAAGACCACTGAAGACAAACACATCAGTTCTAAAATTAGAACTTCTACTGTAAACAATATGCTCTTGGAAGAAAAATAGTCTTCAGAAATGCAGTATCTTTTAGCAAACAAAATAAAATTAAAAAAAAACAAAACAAAACACAAACCAACCTGAAAAATCTTTTAGTACAAAAGCACTTCTTCCTGTTATCTCACCTTGCTAAACTCTCTAGGTTACTACAACAGCAATAACTTTACCATCTAGTCTACTGTATGATATCATTTCAGACTATCTGAATATGCACAGCCTGCAATGAGAGGTGAGGTATATATGGTGAGTAGACATCTCTTATGGTAAGTTGCACTGGGATTCTTGCAAGTCCACAGGATGACTTTGGTCGAATGTGAACAGAGTGCATTTGTACTACTGCTAGTGTACAGGAAGAGCCACAACGTTTGTGGTCATGACTGCAAGCTAGGATGTGGTAGCAGAGAAGAAAGCAGAAGTAAAATTTAGTCAAGAATATGCTGATGGTCTGCACTACAGCCCTTTCACCTGACACTAACGCAAATCAAATGGTGTTTTGGCCTTTAAATAACCAAGGAAGCTAATTTTGATGCAAGATAGGTCAGCCTTCCTATATTCCCCCAAATAAAAATACCATAGGTATTAAAATCCTACCTTGGTACCTTGGTTTGCCTGACGAATCTGTTTCTGATGTAGGACTTGAGCTGAAGACAGTTGCATCAACTGTGGGAAACATAGTTATAATTTAATTTGCAATAAATAAGACTTTTCAGTGTTAAAACCGTATCATTTCACAGTTCATTTGGCATTTTACATCATGGTAAAGTTACTCCATAGTAGACCTTTGCTGCCAGATCTGTCTTTTCCTTTTGAGGACTCCATTTTGGCTGTGATGCCAGGTAAACACCATACTTACCTGCTAGTATAGCCATAACCAACCACAGGCTTAATGACTGCTGCTGGATTCAGTTTATGCAGTACATGAAAAATGCTCTTGAGCTTTTAAAAAGGATCTTTTTGCACTGTAGTAGGTGTTCAGCTGGAAGCATTTTTCTATTTTCACAGACTATATAGCACTGTTACATTGTCAAATGCACTTTTCCAGAAATAGCAAAGAGGAAATCACAAATTCTGTCTCCAGAGTGTACAACTTCTACAAAATTTGAAGGAAACTGAAGGCAAATAGACTGGTGAACAGAAATGTGCTAAAGCAGTCAGGATTCACTATACTAGTGTTCTATTAAGTAGCCACTATACTGAACATTACATATATATATATGATAAACAACCCAAACATTACAATGGACCTCAACAGACAAATCACAACACGTTCACAAGCATTTCTTTATAAATCTCGTACCCAGCTTGCTTTACTGAGCACTAAGGGTCACAGTAAGTTCATGATCATTATAAGGAGACAAGAATTTCTGTATTACTATAAATCCAGGAAAACTAGAAACAGCATAATTCATAACAATACACCTAGAGCTGCATATCTTAGCTGATAAATTTTAAGCATACCCTCCATCAAACCCATTCCTATACGCCACTTTGAGGAGATTTAGGTCAAAACTTGTAAAGTTGTGAATTTATGAAGAGCAAATTAACAACTAACTACTATGTTTATGCCATCACATATTTTTTCTTCTTAAATGGTGGCAGTTTGATCAGATGTGGAGCACTATCAGTTACTGTCAAATAAAAACTTAAACTTATGATCTGTGCAAAAAGAAATGTCTAGGAAAAGAAGCGCCTTCTCTATTCACTTCACAGGTTTAAAGTAGCCACTGAATAGTATTGAAAGCTTACTAAGCATATATTGATTTCTACGAAGATGGAAGGGTCACCATGCCCTCATTTACCAAGGTGTGTATCAGAAGAAAGCCAGGTGAACAGTTAGAAAAATTGCAAAGTGGCATAAAGGAAATGAGATTCAACCCAGACAGAACATATTAAATATACAATGCATTAAATACGGTTTGGGGAAAGGAAGCAAAGGAAAACATGAAAACCTTTATATAAATGAAAAAAAAAAAAAAAGAAGAAAAAATAAAAGAAACCAGAACTGTTTTAATATGCTTACCATAATAGTCTGGAGTTGCAAAAGCTGTTGGTGTCTTATATGATGTTCCTGTCCTCACAGGTGTTGTTGGTCCAGCAGGTTTAGCTATAGTGACAGAAAGAGGAACTTGTGGAAACTAGATGATCTTAAGGTCCTTTCCAGCCCTAACCATTCTATGATTCTATGGTAAAGGATGTATTGATTGTTTTCAAAATAGCTGTAAAAGACAAGAACTACATTCATGAAATATGCACATACATCCAGATAACCACTGCATGACTGTGAAATCATAATCATAATGTAGTTGCCTTCCCTGCATATATAATACAGAAGAGCGTAGTAACTGAAGGCAGAACTCTGGTGAACCAAGTCTAAACCAACAAAAATCCCTACTGTCCATTAATTTATTTCATAAAGTGAAAATTTATTAAAATTCTCATAATAAAGATTCCCTCCTAATTTCCTTATTAAAGATGAAATTTATTAGGATTCTCATTAGAGTCCAGTTTCACAAAGGTTCTGGAACTCTCATTTCCTTTTTTCCATCCAGGAGGCTTTAATGTTGGCATAGAAACCTTCACATAATACTCACCCACTGCATTACTAAGAAAGATACAAATAAGGAATTAATCACAGTGTTAATGAGAAAAAGAAACAAGATGGAATTATGAAAAGGAAAATCCAAGAAAAACATTGAGGTAAATTTTTCCTGTTGGCATTGTGGAACAGTGTCTCCAGGAAACCGGAAGAAACTCAATTATGATAATCAAAACTAAGCTGGATAAAATACTAGTGAACACAGGGAGAAAGGGAAATCTGCCACTAGCCCCACAGGGAAGAACCAGATCATCTAACTAATTTATTCCATCTTGAATGCCTAGGTAGATATAATACCACGTAACCTGACCCCTAGTATATGGAAAAAGGGTGAAATTTCAAAACACTGGTGAATTAATTAGACAGTGTTGAAAATTAGCATATACCCTATTAAAAACAAAATAAAATACATCAAGTCAACATTATTTTTAATGCTACAGCTTAGGACTGACAGTATCTTATGTTCTGTTGTAACAATATCTTATGTTCTATTACTAAAGAAACCATTGAACAACAGCAAGTATAGACATAACATTTCAATCTTGGCTCTGCTGTTGAGTAAATATACAGTTTGTTTCATCCAGCTTGAAGATTCTTGCTTCTAATCTGCTGCAAAAAAATATTAAGGAATTATTTAGGCCTTTAGTGCCGTAATAGCATACAAGAACCCAAATGGAACAAACAAAAAAAAACGAACAAGAAATACAGCAGAATTGAGACCTTTACATTACCAGTGAACTACAGAGAGAAATATGAAGAGGGAAGCATTTCTCATTATGCCAAGCATAATGAGATAGTAGTTTCTGACTACCTGAAATAATGTGCGCCTAAGAATTCTTCTATAGAATCCACAGACAAAACATACATTAGGATACTGAGTATTTGCTTCGGGATAAAATTAAAATAAAATAGGAAATGTGAAGGTTTCAGTGTGCTTTTATACTGATACCAAGAGTAGGAATATTGTAGCATAAGAATGAAGCTAAACTCCACACGTGAAATAACTCATCTTGCCCTGCCTCCCATGCAGTTAGTTTCCTGGGTGCCTATTAACTTGCTATTTGTAGGGGTTAATGGATGTGTCATATATACGGGACAGAATTTCTTTACAAATAACCAGATAGGAGTATGCATTGAAGCATAATAGTTAATATCTCCCATCTGACATGCACTAAGTAACTGCAAATGCTATTAGTAGACATGTTCTTAAGGTTGATCTTCTTAAAGGATGACTTGCATTATGCTACTTTGCTTTCAGCTCCCTTACTAGGGATGATTTTGACATAACTAGGTTAGGAAAACGAAAGGCAAACAGAGTTTATGTATGAAGACAAAAGACACAAGACCTGCATGTTCCAGAAGACTAATTTCTACAGATATCCCAGATTAAAAAAACATAATCTATACTATAAAATTTTCCTATACCCTGCTAGTTACTTCAGTATTCTCTCATACATAATATGATATTTAAGATGAAAAGGCTGAGATACCTGGCATCCCTGGTTTACCAGTCACAGTGTTTAGAGGCAGAGGTTTTCTTCGCATTTGTGTAGGCTTGACAGGAGGAGGCATAGGAGGATGCTGAGGGCCAGGTGATGTGGTTACTAAATGACAAGACAATATTATTAATTATTTAACCTCGAATTTCTTAAAATCACAAACCTGTTACAAGTTATATTCTGACTTCTCAAACTATGTTGCATGTCTGATTTGGCATCAGAAGTGGAGAGGGGAGGTTGGAAGCTGTTGCATGAGTTGTATTTTCAGCCTTAAATTCTTTGGGAAGTGTGTGCCAAAGAGTGTTAAATCAAGATTACACTGAAATTATGTAGCTGCTTTGGGATTTTGTACAAGTGTTTCAGGGACTCATTTTCTGTGTAGTTTATTTCTGTCAACAGTATTTTTTTGGCAGACAATAAGATACTTCTTCCCACAATAAATACCATCTCACTGTACTCAGAAAAACCTTCAGTATCCTACTCACTGATCTTCTGTACTTTCTAACAGATAAAACTGGTCATGCTGAGCTTGAAGCAAAAGATGTAGCAAAAGGGAAATTGTCATTAAGGACAGTTCATCCTGTGCTGTACAAAAGTGAAAAATGAAGAGGTTACTGTCACTTCATGCACTGATATAAAGACCGTTACTTTTAGAAACTCCTGGAGCCCTCAACTAGGTTGTTTCAATGTGCATTTCCAGCCAATATCTATTAAATTTCTTTGGCAAAGTCCCTTGACAGTGAGGAGGAAAGGAAAACCTAAACCTGAAAGAAGAACCTAAGCCTCTTAATTCATACTTACAAAACATATAATTGCCTATATTTTCCAGGCAATTATGAAGGATTTTATTATACAAAGGAAAGGCAAAGATTTTTCTTCCATTATTCACCTTTGCACTTCTGAAGAAAAGGAGATATGTGCAACACATTTATGTAACAAAAGGTTTCTTGTACCTTACAGGGGAAAATCCATAAGAATAATATAATTCTTATAATGCTGCCAGTGTCAGCAAATACGCAAGCTGCCTGATACTGAGTTACTGGCTACACAGAGTACTTTGGGTCCTACGTATCGGACCTTAGTTTACTCTAAAAAATAGCATGACTGTGGACAAGAAGAGAGCAAATCCGAAGACTCACTGGGAGAGCCCTTTTAGAAATACTTCAAATATACAAACAGGAACATGTCCATCTTTCCATGTTCCCTTTTCCTTTTGGACTTCTGTAGTCACTTATAAACATTTTTTTTACTTTATTGTTTTTTTAATCCCTCAGATCCAGACAGGAAACAATGCTCTATCTATTTCAGGAAGATGTAATGGTCTTGAAGAGAGCATTTGTAGGTTTCATGTTCATTCTTAATCCCCAGAGGGAGACGAAAAAATATGCCTAAAGACCTAAAAAAGGATAATGAGTTTTTGTATATATTACTATATGTCAGTATCTGATTAATTTTCCCTTTGACCATAAAGGACAGCATTGTCTAAGATATTTACTGGGTGAAAACATGAAAGTATTTACTCACCAGTGTTTTCTACCTAATCTTCTGAACAACACAACCACAATAGTTACATGCAAGCAAAACATCACATTCACTAGACTGTGCCACATTTCAATCTACTATGTGGCACTCTGGAAAAACAATAACCCCTACTCTTCCCTTCTACAAATTTCACAATGATTTGGGTAATGGTCTGTAATGATAACAGATCTAATTAATAACCTGTGGAGACTCAGCTTGTAACCTAGGACACACAAGAGAATTTAGGGATTTTGTGATAGTGCAGATTCTTGCAAGGACTGGTAAACTATTAGGATTTATTTAATGTTGGGGTTCTTTGTGGATTGGGAAGGTATTACCTTGACTGTGCCCCTCTTCATGAAAGAGGAGTGCATGCAGTCTCTTAGCACACAAGTGTCTTAACACATCAAGCTTAATTCTTCTGTACTGTAAACTATCTTTTCAATTTCTTTTAAGTGGTGTGTGGGCAAAACCAAAAAACCTTTCTTTTCAGTCAGTTTTTATGACAGTAAAAAAGCATAGCTAAAGCAAGCCCTATTCTTGGTGATGCTTATGAGACAATGGAATTCTCTACATGGAAGGATGTTTACATGATTCTATGTATGCCTGTGTGTATACATGTGGTATTAAAAAACTCTACAACTTTTTAGTTGAAACAAAATTTTTAAGAAGCTGACTAGGAAAAAGTGAAACACAGTCTATTTTTGAAAGCCTCTTTGTGGAAGCTGTTTGTCAGTAAAAATATATTGATTGTTTTGAAAATATAATTGTAAGACTTGAAAGAAAAATAAACCTGACAAGCCTGGTATAGCACACACAAAAAACCCTGTAACTTGTTATTATAACAACTGCACTGTTGGTTTTTTTCCCAAGCCTTATTTTCCCAACAATCCTGACACGACATCCTTGTCTCTAAATTGGAGAGACATCAATTTATCCACATGGTGGATAAAGAACTGGCTGGATGGCTGAACGCAAACAGTTGTGATCAATGGCTGGAGACCATTGGAGTCCAGCTGGAGACCAGTAACGAGTGGTGTCCCTCAGGGATCGGTGTTGGGACCGGTCTTGTTCAACAACTTTGTTAGTGACATAGTGGGATTAAGTGTGCCCTCAGCAAGTTTGCCAATGACACTAAGCTGTGTGGTTCGGTTGGTACGCTGGAGGGAAGCAATGCCATCCAGAGGGACCTTGACACCCTTGTGAGGTGGGCTGATGCCAACTTCATGAAGTTTAACGTTGCCAAGTGCAAGGTCCTACACCTGGGTCGGAGCAATCCCAGGCACACCTACAGGTTGGGCAGAGAAAAGATTCAGAGGAGACCTGCGGAGAAGGACTTGGGGGTGCTGGTCGATGAGAAAATGAGCATGGGCCAGCTTCAGTGTTCACTCACAGACCAGGAAGACAACTGTATCCTGGGCTGCATCAAAAGGAGTATGACCAACAGGTCAAAGGAGGTGATCCTGCCCCTCTGCTCTTGTGAGACCTCACTTGGAGTATTGTGTACAGTTCTGGTGTCCTCAACATAAAAAGGACATGGAACTGTTGGAACAAGTCCAGAGGAGGGCCACGAGGATGATCAGGGAACTGGAGCACCTCCCAAATGAAGATCGGCTGGGAAAGTGGGGGCTGTTCAGCCTGGAGCAGAAGAGGCTGCTTGGAGACCTCATAGCAGCCTTCCAGTATCTAAAGGGGGCCTATAAGGATGCTGAGGAGGGACTCTTCAATAGGAACTGTAGTAACAGGACAAGGGGTAATCGGTTAAAACTTAAACAGGGGAAGCTTAAGTTGGATATAAGGAGGAAGTTCTTTACTGTAAGGGTGGTGAGGCACTGGAATGGGTTGCCCAAGGAAGTTTTACATGCTCCATCCCTGGCCGTGTTCACGGCCAGGTTGGACAGAGCCTTGGGTGACATGGTTTAGTGTGAGGTGTCCCTGCCCATGGCAGGGGGGTTGCAACTAGGTGATCTTAAGTTCCTTTCCAACCCTAACTATTCTATGATTCTATGATATTCAACAAAACTTCCTCATAAATGGGAAGACAAATTGGTTATGCATTTACCTTATTCTCCCTTTGCTATGTAGAAACTATTAGTATGAAAAAAGTCAATGCTTACAGTATTCTGGGTGTCATAAGGATGTAACACTGCTGGCTGTAGTTTTTAATACATGGTGTATGTTAGTGACTAAGTAGTGACCATGAAATCTTCTTACTTTTATCTTTTTCAAAAGTCAAGAGGAGGTGTATTGATGAGAATGAATAGTAGTTTCTCTTTCTAATGGAGGTACTTTTTGTGTAGGAATGGTCATGTTTTTATTCTTTCATAGCTCTTAAAATTTGTTGTATTGTCTTCTTTTATTAACCTTACCAGAAATTGCCTTTTCCCAGGTATCAATATATTCCAAAGGTTTTTGTAGATCAATGCCAATTTGTCTGGCAATATCCTCAGGTGTATGTGCATCATCTGGAAAAAAAGGAAGTAACTGTCTACAGTGTGGTGTACCAAATTACGGAATACTGATACATTGTATATGTTCAAACTCTATGTAAGGCTAAGTGCAAAACTACCATGTATGACCCACCTATGTTTTATGAATTACTTACTGATATTCGTTATCTTCCCATTCAAGTAAATAGAAAGTGATCTGGGTCTAGAAAGTGTGCAATTAAATTTTTAACATTACTTGCAAAAAGTCTGCTTAGAAAGTGAACATTAGTAAGATTAAGAGAGAACATATCAGTTAAACCAAGATTGTATGTGGAAAGATGGGTACAGAGAACATTCTGTTTTTTCAGCATACAGAATAAAATACCCATAGATACTTGAAAAGGGCAAAGTTCTCCTTCTCCCATAAATAAGATCTTCAGTTTTCCTCCATTTTTAATGACTAGAGCAATTCTGAACCAAAAATACACTGTATTTGGAGTACTGGAGGGAAAGTGTACATAAAATCAAGTCTGTATATAAAAGTTCTACTTAAATGTTACATAAAGACATTTTGAAAACACTGAAGTAAATGGCATTAAAAAGATCAACACAACTACTGCTGGAACAGAACAACTGTCTCTCATGATGGTATTTATAGAATAGTCAAACTGTTAAATTAATATGTTTTCCCTATACAAGATAAGTATATTTACTCTATAAAAACTCTATATATGCTGGAGTGAGAAGATGCATTGCAATTTCATCATGGTGGCAGGGGAGTAGGGTGAGGGATATCAGTCCTTCCTCTGACATATGAACCCCCCCCCCCCCGAAAATTAATGTTTTAAGAAAACACCAACCGAACCAAACCTCAAATTTAAATTATTTATCAAATTCCAACATGATCTAAACCCTTCAACCACAGATTTCATTGGTTTATAACCTGGTGCTCAGTTTCTTTTGAGATTAAATTAGTATTTTAACATCACAAAGCAAGTAATTTTTCAGTTATTTTACTATTTGGCCATTCTTGCTAAGCGTACCTTAGGAATCCACAGTCCATAGTATGGACACTTAGTATGTTTTACTTAAGACTGAAGTAATGAAACTTGTAGCAAGGTGGGAACAGGATGCAGGTCACCTGATCCCTGTGACCAGAGTTTCCGAGCACATCATGTGGTTTTATACAACTGCAATTTGTCTTCAGGTAACTAAAGTGGTTAATTAGATCTTCAGATATACTAAGTATCAGAGTGCTAATCAGTGTTTCACAATATGGTGTTTGAGGCAGAACAGGCATGATAAGACCAGCACCAGTTTTAAAAAGAAAAAAATTACTGTGTACACCACAGGTCATAGTCATAGTATTCAGTTTCATTAGCTTTATCTCACAATAAACACATTAACAAAATGTAGCAGCACACGGACTAAATCACACTAAATCACCCAAGTATCCATTACAACTCCAATCTAGCTTAGTCCGCTCTTAGTGTCTATAGAAAATCCTACCTCTAGCCTGCTCCTTACAATCTAATTTAGGATCACAATCTTTTCCGAGTTAATGCTGTTCTGTCATTAGTAAAGTAGTAATGAAAAATACATCGAAGTTTCAGGGAAAATGTTGTTTACACCACAACATTAACCTGTTGACAAAAAAATCTCCCTTTTGAATGATTCATGAACTTTGAAGTTACATAAAAGTTTGTATTTTCACTGAAGGTCCCTCCTCTATCAAGCAGCTTGCTACATTTATCATAGTATTTGCCTTATGCTAGCAAACATAATTTGCTTACTATAAGCATTTTGACTTACCACATTCATCTAAGCTTTTAACAAAACTGAAAATACATGTACTACTTGCGTGTGTGTTTGTGTCTTGTTTTACTTCTATCTTTTTTTCCTGAAAACATTCATGGGGGTCTGGAGCACCTTAAAACTAGCTACTGCATCTTTAATAGCAGGCATACAGTTAGAAGGGTGTATCATTTTAAGGGAAGAACTGGTAAAAGTGCCTTTGATAAAGCAAATTGAAATACCTTAAACCTTGAGTTTCTCTAGAACTTGGCTATACAGCCACACTTCCAAAAATAAAAAGAAAATTTAGCACAAAGTTAATGGCTATATGACTATAATGAAACCCAACCTCTCTTTCACAAGGGAAATGGAAATGTTGCTCCAAACAAAAAAGTTTTTTTGCTGATGGTTGTCTGTAAGCTTAATAGATCAGGAGCAGTTTATAAATGCTCAAGATTAAGTAAAAAAATAACTAAGTTATACACACTAAGAGAAATATGAAAAGCCATCTCAATAAAATGAACTAAATAAAATGGCTAAGACATGGTTGAAAACTAGAAGGAATGTTAGCCATAAGGAGGCAATCCCTGCCTCTTTCCCAGTCAAGTTTACCATCTGGCACTATAGCTAGCCAGGAGACCAAAAACCCTGCCAGGAAACCAGTCACAGTGCTATGTGGTGCTGCTGGAAAAAACAAATTCCACTGCTTATCATCTGGGCCTTGCAGCTGCCAAGCGTACTCTGCACGGGGTGAAACGTCTTTGCACAATCAGGAAGAACTGGAGTACATTTAACAGCAGTGCCAGGCCAGCAAGGGACTGGTCTTGAAACAAGTGTCCATGGCTCTTCAGTAAATGTGCTTTTCTTCAGAGAAAGAAAAAAATGAAGTAATGTCTAGGAGTAAGTCTGAAAACATACTGTTACTTAAAGTCCTATAAAGGCATCTGATCATATGTTAAGGGTTCTGATAAGCTAACCAAAGAAAATAAGATACCATTTTCACAATTCAAGAAAACAATTTCCCTACACGGAAAAATCATCCAGATACATTAAAATGTTAAAATATTTAGAAGATATCACCCACTGAAAGAGAAGTAAGATTTAGGTTAGTGGAGTTAGTAGAGTTCTCTTTTACAAGTCTCTTCTGCAGACTCAGGAATTCTGTCTGCAATATGTAATTGCACATTGCTTAAGAGAGATACAGGTGATTTAATTGATTACCTGAACTCCCTCATTTTGTGAAAAGTTTTTTATGAGCAGTGTCCTGTAGGCTCAGACACTGCATTTGTCACAATACTCTGATATACCTGCTTTACAGAAGACTTGGGATTCCACTTATGGATCACCAAGGAGAGTAGACTGAGAAATTGTGAAAAGCTGCAGTGCTCTCTCAATGTCATGAACGTATAAAATTCATTGGTGATTTCCTTACACCACTGTGAAGAAAGGTGCAGACTCATAGAGAGCTATGCTATGTCAGGAGTGTTGGAAGAGCAATGGAAAATATTGAAGTATCATTTTCCAGAAGAATTCTAAAAGGCACTTACTCGCCTTTTAGTATATATGGTATGCACAGCATTGTGATGATCTTTGACATGATCTACCACAATGAAGCTCTAGTTCTTCACGGCAATTTGCACTACTATAAAGACATGGAAATAATGAGAACTAGTGGGCACTCCAACAGGAGTGTTTGAAACAAGATTGCTTAAAACAGTACCTTAGCAGTCACCCAACAAAACATTAAGCACAATAAACTACATTTAGGAATTTATATTATACTGCTGATTTACTAGCATGACTTTTTTCCTTCTCTTTAATCTACAAATGCCTCTGCAAAGGTTACTACTATATGGGAAAAGGGAAAAGCATAATATACTGTATAACATAATTGTGTATTTGTGCATGATTTCATAAGGTGCTTTCAAAACCCAGCTACTCCTGGAGATCTGTGTGAGTTCTGCCTATTTTGTTTATCAGACATTAGAAAGCTCACTTATAAGCAGACTGACAACAAAATAAAAGACTAAAACTTTCTAACCCACAACTCCTGACACAGGTCATTTAATGCTGTCTCTGATGTCCTGGAATTTGATGGGCTTATTTTATTTATCAGAAGGACTATGAAAGGTCAAAGAGCACATACCTCCAATGAAGGCGCCCACTCTGTATGTAATACAGAAGACTATGTCATGTTCTAAACAGGCTATTTCGAATTCAATTTAAATATTCAACTTTAAATATACAATCTTTTGAGATTTTGCATTTCTAAAAACATGGTGGGCTTCTCAGAAGTATATACAGGAATGAGTAGTTCAAATCATACTGAAGTCAACAACGTATTAAATTGACAAAGATACACTGGAAGAAGTACAGAGAAACATTATATGGACAAAAAAGGAATGTTTAAAGTAGACTGCACATTGCTCAGGTTACCCCAGCCTAGCTAGCGCAGAACAATAATATGGGATAGTATCACTGTTAGTAGTGGGTGAACAGCCAAAAGTTTGCTTTGAATATGCATTTTATTTATCTATATTATTTTTTAAGCCTGCATCATTGATGAAGAATCCCAGAATTCTTAATTTAATTAACCTTTGTCTGTATTAAAAAAAGTAATATTTGTTTTGACAGAATAAATTAATGCTTTATTAAATAAAATGTATGGATTCATTATAAATTAGCACGGAAAACATTATTTTGATTGGATAAAAAAATCAAGTACAATTGACAAAGGATGAATGATTTTTTTCAACAAACAAGCCAGTATTCTGAATAAATCTTTGTGGTTAGGGATGTATGTTATCTGTGTGTGTAAGGACATGTAAATTGAAGTGTTAGCTCTCACTCTCCTCTATCATCCACCAACCTGGAACTTTGTGCTGAAGTATTTAAGCCTGAATACTGCACAGTCCAAATACTTCAGTCTGAGTATGAGTAGGTTGAACATGAACATACCATGTGCATAGCTAGTAGCTAGCAAGATAACTGGCCGTAAGGCTTTCTTACCAAGTAGTCTGACTTGGACTTAAGCAACTGGGTAACCCTTTTCAACAAAGTGTTTTCCTGTATTTACGTAAAGTACTCCAGAGGAATTAATTTCAGTAATCAAACACAATAAAATATTTTGCAGGATTTAACATGATTTAAGGTTCATGTCTCTTACTGACAAGTTAAAAACCACCCAAAACTGCAGCTCTACCTGTTGTTGGCACAATCCACTTTGGCAGTCCAGGTGCTTTTGTTCTAGCTGGTGCTAGTGTGGTTCTGCTAAGAACTGTGCAAGAGTTTAAAAAAGAAAATAAGTTCCATGAGAAGAAAACCCAACACACTTTTATGTGATGCCACCAATTCCACATTAGAGAAGGAAAAACAACATTTGGTTTCTTTTTTTTTTTTTTCTAATTTGAAAAGGTTTTACCTCTAGACTGATTAATCAAAAGAAAAATACTTTTTTTTCTTTCCCCAGCAACACTCAAAATTCTACTGAGAATAGGTGAAATTAATTAACTAATTAATTAACCTCCACCCCATCCTAAATTGAATAAACAATTATTACCTGGTCTGGTCTGTGATTTATCAGATGGCTTTGGTCTGGCAGAAGTGAGACGTGTTTTATGGGGTGCTAAAAGAAATAATGTTCAGTTTAACTGTTATTGTCAACAGAACAGCAATACTGCAGTGTAATTTGCCAGAAAAGTCCCATGCACCAGTGTGATACAGCAAAATGGATGTATCATGCTGGTTTCTTTAGTGGTCAGATGACTCCGTCATGCAGCCTGACCAGCTACATTCATGTTTAGGCTTAGGAAAAGGTATAAAATATTAAGAGCCAGTTACCCAGCTGTACATGGATATAGAGTTAGCTCTGCAAGGTATCTGTGGCTTTAAAACATTTAATTAGGTTCTGTAAAAAACAATAAACCCCCCCCCCCAAAATAAAACACCAAATCAAACCTTCCCTAAATCAAATATTCAAATAAAAACATAACACATCGAAAACTGAGAAAACAACTGAAAGTATTCAGTGCAGACAATGTGTAAAGCTGCTGAAACACAGTGTCATCATCATGGTTAAAATCAGAAGTGTTCAGCCTTTTCTTATTATCACCTTTCACTTGCCAAATAATTTTGATATTGTAGTTGTTACAGAATTTGTATGAATCACACTGAAAGCTGAAAGCATAAGTAGTAATCACTGACATCTTGTGCCAAATTATCAACCTCTGTAAGTCAATATTTTAAATAAATTGAGCTGACTATTTGATAGTCAAATTTAATAAACACTCTATACCCCAAACTTACTGCAGTGTCAGAGAAAATACTTATGCAGGAAAGAACATATTACTCATTTTCAACACTTAAATTTGGTAAAAGCTTTACAGATTTAGATTTACTGTTTTATAAAGAAAAAGGCAAAAGTCAGTTTCATCTATGTTTGCAACACTATGCATCTGAGGATCCAATACACAGCAGTAATAATGTTTAAAGCTTCATGTCATCTTTGAGGCAATACTGATTAAACCTTGATTTTCACAGCAATGAGTAAAACCCCCACTTGATAAGGAGAAAAATGAATTTTCATTTTATATATTTGAAATAGTTTAAAGGTAATAATGAACAGACCATTAAACCTTAAACTGTTCTGATTTTACTTAAGATCTACAGACTCTCAAGATAACAAATTAAGAAAGTCTTAAAAATTACCTGTACTGAAGTGTGGAATTTCAGTTGCTAAATCAGTTTTGGCCTTGGGTGAAATCTGGTACCTTTCACTGGGAGCTGAAAGTGGAGATATTATTGCTTACCAAATGCAAATTATTTCCTTTTAAACATAAGATACCACAGAAGGAAAGGGAAAAACTGTCCTTGTGCAGAATATAAACAAAAAGAATCAGTGCTAGAAACCTGGCTGAAAATCATGCTTCTATACAAATAAAAGGCTTTTCAAGACTGGGAAGATATAGTCGGACAAAAGAAAGAAAGATGACCCAGTAATGCCTTTACATATGACTCGTCAGCCTTGTACATGAAGTACTTATTTCTAGAAAGAATTGAATGAAAGAAGAAATGGCTGGAAAATTAAAACTAGCAACATTTTGTACATGCAGTGGAATGTGACTAGCAAGTGAACACAACATGAAGATATATTAAGGTGGTTCTGTTGATCATAGTGTAAATATAGTCATATAGCAAAAGCACAGGAACTCAATTTTTATGAAAAAAACACTGACATTATATTCTCATTACCCAAAGTCATTTTGGACCCATCAACAACATGAACTGTTACAAGGTTAATCGATCCCAGGTGTGTTGCTCTTAGAGCTACAAGAAATAGAACATTGCTCTGTGAGTAATGAAATTGAAAATGTTGGATTTCATTGAGGATCTGCATTCTTTGTTTCCTAAAGACCTATCGCCACATCTACTATGACAATTTTAACAGACGTGAGACAGATACATGTTCTAATTAGGCTGGATGTGTTTTAATGATGACAGCCACACATTGCAACTATTCTGCTGGCCTCCCCCCAACTTCAGTAGAAATGCCCTGAAGGTGGAGTTCTGACAGTCTTTGGTATTTCTCACTCTGGTTATATTAATTTGCACTTCCTAAAATTTTTCTAAAAGCTTATAGTAGTGGTTTTATCTTTCAGATATTCTTCCCTTACTCAAATATGATTGAATTTAGTGTAAGATATCTAAGGTACTGGATTAAAAGGAGAGACTGGCAGCCAGAGGCACACACTACATATCTCCTTCAGAAACAAGCCTAAAATAAGGAAGCTGGGAAAGAAACCTACTTAGTGGCATAAACAGCAGTAGCTAAATAGTGCCATTTATTTTTAACAATTTTCTTAACAGCAATTTTGCATATGCATTGTTATAATGATTTCAAAGTCAAAGAATAAACCTATAAATTCTGTTTTCTAAAATCCTTTACCTAAAACTAATTTTTTAGTGGTACCAAAACATGGTACTTGTCAGCTATGACATGAATGGATTATAAATATGTGTCCCTAAATCTGCTGTAGTTACTACAAAAATCAGTGATAAAAGAAGGTATCTATATTCTTAGCATCTAGCTATCTTGGAGTAAGATCCTGACACCCGAGTTTCAAAAGTACTTGAGAAATTGAAGCAAATGTATCTAGAGTAATAAAATCCCCCCAAAGAAAAGAACACAGTGACACTGGTTACAGCAGAGTATTCTTATTAAAATTAATCTAATTCATTGCATTTTTCAAGGCTACTACCCACTAGTTCAAGAAAACCAACCAGCTTCTGCTCCCCATAGAAATAGATGCAATTCATGGGCATTCTCTTTGGTATAATTTATTAACATACTCTGAGCTGAACAATGATGATAATTTCTGTCCACAAATCATGGATGTCACATGACTGCAGTACTCAATGACAGAAGACAGTGTAACTAAAGCGATGCCACAGTAACACTTTTGAAGTTAAAAGCTTTAAATTACCAGGTTTAGTCTGTGGTACTTCTGGCCCAACAGATGTTCTGGGTTTGGAAGGAATGAGCAGTGTTTCTTTTGGAGCTGAAAGAAAAAAGACTATTACTGCATTTTTCAGGAATCATGATCCAATGTCATATTTAGCCCACAGAGAATTCATGCCTCAAATGTCTGAAAAAAAGACAATAACAATTCCATGGCTTTCTGGAACCTGAAATAAAATAGCTATCCAAACCACAGAAAAGTCCTAGCACAGTGCTGTAGGATAAATTGAGTTAGAGGCTAAAATTCTTGCTCTAAAAGAAAAATTAGACCACTGAATTTGGTTGGAGTTTTGACAAATACAGTCTTCTGACCAGACATGAGCTGTAGACTATTTCTGCTTTACTTCTAGGGTAGAACTGAAACTCATCTGTATTAAGAAACATGCACGTGTGCAAGCAGAATGAAGTACAAGTGGAATGATGTTTCACAAAGTACCACACTGGAGCATGTTCTCTAAGGATTTCTTCACTGAAAAATTAATACCCGTGTATTAACATTAAGGAAACTCATTTACCCATTGTTGCCCTTGAATGGTCGGTGGTAGTAGAAGATTTTGTAATTGGTTGTGGAGTAGTCGGATGTATTGCTGTTAAGGAGAATGTGAAGAATCTTAGAATATTAAACTGTAATAGAAACAAAGTAGAAATGCTACTTTAGAAATGCACTATTTCTAAAACTTTAAAAATGCCCCAAACTGAAGTGTAGTGTTTTAATCAGCTGCTGACAGATATTGTTAATTTCTGTACATTCCTTCTGTAACAAAAATGGAAAGAGACTCAGCCCCTTTAACTATTTTAAAGACTTATTTTCTGTCAGGATAGCACATGATGTCAGTTGTCAATTGTACAAGCACATTGCAAAGGAGTTCTGCTGTGTTTTATGGATGGAAACTGAAAAAGTGCTCATAGACTTGCATCTCTGATGACTAAGAAGTAATCAGGGAGAATAAGGTCTATCCAGCCACTGAAATTTGTCATCATCCACATTACTACATTTTAGTCATCATTTGCTGTATTTAACAGAAAGGATGAAAACCATTTTTGATGCATTCTAGAAATCATCCTGTGTAGTTACGGCATATTTTGGATTAAGTGTAATGCCTTTGAGCACAAAGCCAGCTATGAACAATTCCATTAAAAAGAACAAAACCCAAGGCTAAGGGAAGGAATTATTAAACACAAACACACAAAATTAAAGGAAGGATTCCATTACCAGGTTTGGTGTGTGGCACTCTTGGTTTTTCAGATGTTTTTGGTTTGGTATGAATGAACTGTTTTGCAGTTGGAGCTGAAATAAAAACAAACAGCAGCCATAATAATAATTGAAAACCCAAGCTTCTTTCATAGCACACAAAGAATGTAAGTATGATCTGATCTGTAATAAGGCAAATTATGTAAGGGTAAAGCTGAAAATCAAACAGCTGGAGTTCCTGGAAAGAAAGGGAAATAAGTTAAATGGCCACTGAAACAGACTTCATTATATGTAAATTTATAGCTTTGGACGAAGCAGTGAATAATATAGTCACGAACAGCATACAGTGATGGAACGAAAATAAACAGTTGCATCGTACATCTTTCACATCTGCCATATATGAGTATCTGAGGACAGGATCTGCTTTTCAGTGGACCCTTATTATCAGACTTGATTTATGAATTAAACCCTTTGTTTTTATGTGGGAACTATTCAATCTTGTCTTCATACTGCTCAGTTAAAATTGTTGCCATGTAGGAATCATTTACTGGAAAAAGTTATCGTGGCACCAGGTAGTCTGATCTACAACAGTGGAAATAATCTTGAAAATATCTGCGCTAGCCTGTGCATCTTCACCCTCCTCGCTCTGATGAACCATTTTCTGCACATGAATATTGCATCAGGTAGCCCCAGATACATATACAACAGAGCATGTAAACTTCATAAAGCTATATAGGGATATCAAATGAATATTAACCTAAGTAATTCATGCATACAGGGGATATATACTGAAATAAAAACACAAAAGATTTTTTCATTTCCTATTCCTCAGAAAGAAAAGACATACTTCAAATATTAACGAATGCTTATTAATACTTCATTAGTGATACCATTTCATTCTCAGAAAATTGTAGTCAGTGGTGGCCTCTGAAACTGGGGATAGAGAACTTTATTAACAGATTGCTCAAGCAATACTCCTTCTGGATTTATTGATCTTTATTTGGTCCACATCTGACACTTAAGCATAAAGAATTCTCAGCTAATGTTTCATATAATTTAGTAAGTTTTCCCAAAGTGAATGACTAGAGGTTAGCAGAGAAGTTGGTTTAAGAACTAACATTTGATTTGGAGGGTCACATATCTGGTCCATTTTGGTATACGTTATGCTATGGCTGATAACTTATAATTTCCTTGCAGTGAAGCAGAAAATTATTTTAGGATGACAGTATCCATACCTCATGTACAGAAGTTATAGGATTCACAACATACTCTTTAAATAAAGTTTCTTTTTATTGCAAAATATGTAACATCTTAAAGAATTACACCATCCTGACTGGAAAGGCTATGAGATGAGGAAAAGAACCTTCAAAAGTAAATGAGCTCATGCATTATTACCCTTGTCATGGCCAGAGGGCAAGCAATTATCTGGAAGCAGAGCAAAACTTCATCATTAGTTTTTAATGTATGTAATGAGCAATCCCTAAGAAGACCTTCTTTAACGAGAATAGAAAATAGATTATTATTTATGAAATACAAATTATTACCCAAAGTTGCCTTTGTTCTGTCAGGAACGTGAGGAATCATAGTAGTATCTGGTTCATGGGAGGCTGGAATGATTTCTGTTGGAAGAAATGTTGATAATGCTCAGAATAATAGACTCTCCCTTTCCCTCCTGCCCCTTCAAAAAACACTTCAGCACTATACTATATACACCCAAAAAGAGATGTTTTAAAACAACAGTGGGCGCTTACCCTCAGAGATTTATGGCTACAAAGAGTTCAGGGGTTTTTTTCATTTGTTTGGGGTTTTATTTCATAGATATTAAAAAAAAAAAAAAAAAGAATAATAGCCCTTTGGTGAAATCAGTGATTATCTCATACAGTTCAGTCACATTTATGGTGGGGAGTCTCCTAACTCAAATACAACTGAAGGGAATCCTTAGTCTGATCTGGATGAATATATGCATATAAAGGAAAAGCACCGCAACAGCTTTAAGAGGCTTCTCTCACAACAGGCTCAAAACATGGTGCAAACAACTGAAGTTTGTTGCACAGATACAAGCTGTGGATTACTTTCTATCATTGATTTAAACATAGAGGTCACTACCATTTCTTCTTCTGGTAACATCAACATAATATAAAAAAAAATAAAAAAATCTTGAATTGTTGCAGTTTCCATCAATGGTATGAGTCAACTGCAGTATTGCAGAAATTTTTTAAGGTTACCCAGATACCCAAATGCAAATGCACTGTTGATAACTACCCTCCTGAAAGTGTTCAATTATCTACTGCAGCTTGACAAAAAAATCTGATAATTTACCAGGCTTCCTGTGTGGAGCACCTGGGATGGGATCTGCTTTAGGTTTAAAGGGAGTATGTTGTGGTTCTTGAGGAGCTGAAAGAAAAGTCCTGTTTTAAGGGTTTATAGTGTTCAGACATAGACAGGTTTATTTCACAAACACTGCATGCCCTGTGCTTGCAAAGAAAAATAACATCCTTACATGAGTCTGAAAAATTGAGTGTCAGATGCATAGAGTAATTTCAGAAGAAAAGAAAATCCTGAATTAAAACGGGTGGAAAATTGATCAAGTAAGCAAAATCTGGAGTCAAGCAACAGAACCTGAAAGAACACAAACAACTACTGTAGACATGTTTCCCTCTGTATGTCAGAGCTCACAACTGCAATACTCATGACATGCTTGTCTCCTACAAGTGTCAAAGAATTACAGTGTGTATGAGAATGAAAGAAACTTACTGTGAAGACAACAAAACAGCTAGGAATCTTTCAATATCTAGAACACAGTAAAATTAAGATGGCATGTGAAAAACAGACTAATAATATATAATCGGTCCAAGGAGCAGCAGGGAAAGAATAATGACCAGCGCAAGGTAACATCTTTACCTGTTGCTGTCCTTTATTGTTCAATTGTATATACAGTAGGTGCCAAAACTTCATAAACACAAGAACATACATAGAATTAGCAATAAGTACATGCAAAAGGGTGAAAATACTCCCTTTTACATAACTGATTTCAAATTGGAACACATACTTAAATTTATTTTTAAAAATTATTATTTATTGGTGGAATTAGTGAATATATACTCACTCAAAAGGAAGGTTCAACTGATGCTTTCACAACCATCAGGAGTTACAGAGGTTTGGTGGTTCACTACCAAACTATTAAAATCCTTATTAAGTATATACTTTTAAGGGTCAAATTCTATTACCAAGGCACAAAAACATAAAAGTGGTTTGATGTAGATAGCTAGAGTCATAAACAAAGGTTCTCAAATATGTTTTTCTCTAAGAACTTCTGATTGGCACAAAAGATGAAATTTCTTCCAAGAACATTCTTATAATGTTTGCACGTTGTCTACCATGATATGCAGATTATTCATCAGTGACAGCTGTCATGTGGTTGAAAAGGATACACAACTCATCAAAACTCAGCCATTAAAAATACAAATCAGCTCTATCTTCCTTTAAAAATGTGATCATTAGAAAACCTATTTGTCTGTAATAAGAAGAGATGTTAATCAACACTTGATGCATTGAAGAAAGACAACCCAAAATAAACCCTGGATTTTCAAACACAACAAAACAACAGTGTATTTACCAGTTTTTGTGTATCTTATGCCTGGACGTGGTGATGCTCTAGGTTTGGAAGAGACTCGCCAATTTTCTTTTGGACCTGTAGATATGCAAAGTTTTGAACATTTTACTGAGAATAAAGATTCAATGCAAACTTTTTTATTTTCCTGACAGAAGATTCACTTTGGCCCAAAAATTTTTTTTAGAAAGTATTTCCATTTGAAAGTAATTGCAGAGATCTCTTGACAATGCTCATGCAGAGACTAAAGACAAAGTGACTGTTAAAGTGCAGTGTTGGATTAACTCTCCACTCCTTTCAGCTCTATCACACAGAGCTTTCTACAGAGTAAACTGCTGTAGTTCTAACACTTAACCATGTTGCGCTTAAGTGTTTCATATGCCAAAAATCCATTGCTTATTTTACTCAGCTGTGCATTAAAAAAAACCTCCATCAAAGAAGAAACATGGAAATTTAGCACTAATTTTCAAATGGACAGAAGTATTTTCAAAGTTTTGGCAACAGGAAAGTAGTGTAATTCTACACTTGTAAATAAGTAGCTGGAAAATATAAATACTTCTGTCATATTTTGTGGAAATTAAGACACTAATTTTCTGATGTGCAAAGGCTCAAGATGACTGTTAACCCTCATTTCTGTACCATTCCCTACAAGTTATTGACATGTATAATATTTAGCGGATCTTTTTCCATAACAGCTATGTAGCAAACCCAATAATGACAGTAAAGCACAGCACATGCAGTAATTACCTGTATTTTCAGAGAACTAGTAGATTTTGACAATTTTCAAACTGATAAAACTTTCATGCAGTAAAAGGCAAAATATTGATAAGCTTACTTGCTCTAGTTGGAGGAACATGTGGAATGGGTGGTGTTTTAGGTTCAGAAGTCCCATGATGTGTATCATTAGGAGCTGAAAGAAAGAAATTCGTTTACACCATACTAACATTTTCTGAGGTATCAGTGTCCACTACCACCTATAACAGCTAAAAAAAGAAAAAAAAAACAACTCCAAAACCTCAAACCAGATCAAAAATTTAAACCAAAGATATTCTATGGAAGCGATGCAGAAGAGAAGAGCTTTTTTCAACAAAATTGGTCTATAGAGAAAAAAAGATAACTTTCTGAGGCATACTATCATCTAAGCATGTGACAGAATTACTGGTTTTATTTAAGAAGATGACTTAATAGGAGAAAACAAGTAGCTTCAAATACAAAGACACCACTACACTGTAATGGAGGTTGTACTGGAATGATTCGCAGTACCAGATTCAAATGATAAAAATGCTTTACACAAAGGGAGCTGCCTCAAGGAATTGTATGACCCAAAGATCACTGAAGCAATTTTTTTCCAGCAATGGAATTGAGGTTTGAGTGAAACAGAATTATTTTTTAGTCCTCTATGAAAGATTAAATATCATTTAGTAAAAATGGAGGGGAAAAGAAGTAGAGAAAGAAAACTTGCAACATGCAGCTCTGCTGACCTAAACTGTATGACTAATGAGAACAGTGCCACCTCTACTGTATGACTGTGAACATGCAAGTTAGAATCCTATTCTGATCTGCCCTCTGCCTCTTACCATTAAATACTGAAGGAAATTGCCCTATGTTATGTGCATAACAACTTGAAAGGAAAGGATCCTCCCCAACTGTTTTGTAGAAAATAAGAAAAGAGAGAATTTTTACTGATATTATTAAGGCTCACACAAAGAAAGGCGACACATTTTTGCAGGTCTACTCTTAATGATTTCTGTTGAAGAGGAAAGACAACATAACTGTTCAAGTAAGAAAATACCATTACCTACTGTTGACTTTGTTTTCTCAGTTCTAAATGTGATTGGTTCCAGAACTGCATTAGTGTAACAAAAAAACCCCAATCAAAAAACAACAAAAGCAAGTCTTACCAAGAATAATCAAAACAATGACTACTTCCACAATGATCATACAACCATCCTGCTACAGCCAATGACAGACTGTCACTACTCTCTGAAACTCAGCACATGTCAGTATCCTCAAAATTGCCTCCAGTTCAAGGCAATAGCTGTAATACAGAACAGGGCCCAAATATCAATCTGAAGCTTTTATAATAAACCACAAAGAAATTGTGGGTGTTTTTTCACATTAAACTTTTTTGCACTTTCCTGACTTATGTCAAGGCTTTGATTCAAGCAATAGGCACAAATTTACTGGAGGGAAAAGAAAACTTAGTTGTCATTTTTCCTCCCATTTCTCCAGCAGCACTGTCTAATACTGCATATACTTTGAATACCTGTACTGGGTCTGGTTGGGACAGAGTTTACTTTCTTCACAGCAGCTCCTGTGGTACTCCGTTTTGGATTAATGAAGGTTGATAATGCACCAATGTTTTAGCTATTGCTGAACAGTGATTGCTACAGCATCAGGGGCTTCTTGGTTTTTAACTCTACCCCCAAGCAAGTAGACTGGAGGCGGTAAAGGTGTTAGGAGAGGACACAGCGGGGATAGCTGAAACAAATTGACCAAATGAATATTTCACCTCACATAATGTCATGCTTAATAGCAAAACTTTCCAAAAGGCCCATTGCTCCTAGAGTGACACTGGTCTGCTGGTGGGATGTAGTGTGTGGTTACTTTGGTTTCCTCTCTGTCCTCATTGAATCTGTCTTTATCTTGAACTAATTTTTTTTTTTTTTCTCTGCTTTGCCCTTGTGATTCTCTCCAAAGTGGAATGATTAAGGGGCTAGTGGGCTGATGACTTGGGTCAACCCACCACACTATCTCATACAGTTGTTAGTGTGAGTTGTGTAACTTTCTTCCTTCATCTTTAATTAGCTCAGGGTTATATAATGCTCTCTACCAAGCTGTGTAAGCAACATTATAGAAAGTGTTACACATTCTTAAATCTCTTAACATCATAAGGGAGGTGCAAGAGTGAACTGAAAAGTATAAATGAACAACTGTGCCTGATAAAGAAAAAAATAAGTACATAATTACAACTACACAATTTGAGAAAAACGGAAAAAAATCCCTCCTCTTTGCAACGACACACCTCCTTCTCACCTTCACTTTCCCAAACCTAAATTCACACAGAAAAGACCTATTTTCATTGACAATTGCACAGAAAATGCCCACTGTTGCAGTGACTTGGTTGATTATAAATCCCCTGAGTGTGCATGCTCCAACATATACACCCGAGGGATACATGTTTATCTGAAGCTCCACAGTAGAGTAGGACACATATATAAGTTTAATAAGAAAAAGAAACAGTGTACATACCAGCTTTGGTCTGTGACACCTCTGAGCCTGATGATGTTTTAGGTTTGGAGGTAAAATGCTGTGTTTCTTTTGGAACTGAAATTTTTTTTTTAAAAAAAGCAACTATTAAAATCTTTCAAGAATTGAGAATAACAAGGCATAATATAAAAAAAAAAAAACATGCCTCTGGAAACCTCTGGAAACCCAAAAAGCTTGTACGAGAAATGAAGAATTATGAATGTCTGGTACACAGAGAAATAGTGCTGATGGAGAACCTCTGTAGCAGGGTAACATAAAGCATGGATGAACCAATTTAAAAGGGGAAGCAGCACAGGACAGAAACTCAGTACAGAGACATGTAGTCAGAGGAAGATTGTTGTGCTTCCATCCACTTTATAGAGCACATTTGTGTAAGAAAAACCAAACAGCTGTTCAAGAAATATATTTCAATCCAATATAAACTGCATTAGAAATAATCACACAAAGCAGTTTACCATCTTTAGCTTGTGGGATATGAGTTTTGGGTGAAGTTTTAGGTATAGAAGGAATATGCTGAGCCTCCTTTGGAGCTGGAAGAGAAAATGTGGGTAATAAGTTGCTTAAATTGCACAGTAATTAATATCTGGTATCATGCTGAACATAAAAACCTCACACCTGCAACAGAAAAAAAAAGGTTCTTCATAGAAAACAGGAGAGTCAGGTAATACTCTCCATGTGTTTATAGCAATCTAGGCAAGAGAGTGGAATTTTATTCATTTTTGAAGCTTGGGTTTTATTTTTTAAAATAAAAAGCTGGGACAAGCACAGACAAGCATAATTATAAGAAAGGTTATCCAGAGCTGCCAGCATAATTTTCTTGGAAAAGAAAAGAAAAAAAAAAAAAGAGACATTCCAACTCTGAAGAGAGCAATACACCCAACTGCCATGAATGTCAAGCAAGAGAATTTCCTAGAAGAAAAACAGAGTTTAATGAAACAATCCTAAGCCATAAGGTGATTAACTTTGGTGATGCTTTCTGTGATGAAAAAAGCAAATATGACAGCTTGCCAAGGAAACATCATTACCTATTGTTGACCTTGGTGGTTCAATTCTAGGTGTAATAGGTTCCAAGACTGCAACAGGAACAGTGTGAGAAGGTAAGCATGGAAGAACTAAAAAAAACCTTTAAAATTACTCGACTGGGAAGTATAAAAGCAGGCGCTAATACTATACCAGTGACACAGATCTTCAAATTAACTTTTTAAAACCATGGACAATTGAACTTCCTAATAATACAAGTTCAATAAGAAGAGCATAATAGCACAAACTTGATGGCAACAGAAGCAAAAATGTTAATAGAAATCAGTAAATCCTAGAACAAGCAAGGGAAGAGATCACACGTCTTAAAGGGAGCAAGGGACTCTTGATGTACAAAAATGGAAGATATCCTCAAACTGAGGTCTGCTAATCCTTGAAAGTGTCATGCTGACCATGGCAAAACAGTTAAAATTTTCCACTAGGTGACCTTTCTATTTTCAGGCTGCCTCTGAAAAAGCAGTGAGTACTTAAAAAGAAAAAATATTAAGATATTAAAAATGAAAATAGATGTCTGCAAATTGTTTTCTGAAGCAATTTGATTTCTCTTTGTATAAATATTATCCCAAAATAATGAATGACTTCCTTCTCCCTCTTCCAGGAAAAACAAGTTGAGATTTTATTTTTTTTTACTTTCTGCACAAATAGCAAGCCTCAAAATAGACAATTTCAAAAGAAGTACCCTATCAGATTTAGCTTGAGGGTTATGGTCTTAGCAGATGATTTGGGATTCAAATGTGTGGACTATTTTGGACACTGGTTTGTAAAAAACAGTATTTAAATTGAAATTAAATGGTGTACCTAGAAAAATGACATTCACATTTAGCAATAAATAAAGTCTAGGAAATTACCATCAGCATATATCAATGAATAAACACAGAAAAAAATGCCATGGGTTTGATGCATTGAGTGTTACTGGTTATGGGCAAAACAAGCAGAGGGAGGCTTTGAAGAAAGGGATAATCAAAAAGTTGGATGCTCTTCTGCAGGAGAACTAGGTTTGAAAATTTTAACCAAAAGCCAAAGAAAAAAGAGCTGAGAAATGATGCTTAGAAAACATTATTATCTAATGTTGACCGTGGCAAATCAAGGTCATTGGAAGAGTTTTGAAAGTCATTTATGAAGTAAAACTTAGATTTACTGTTTCCAGCTGCAGTGATTTGTTGCTAATTAATCAAAACAAATTCATTCCATTTAATCAAATCATTTAAGCACTTTAAGCACAGTCTTAAAGCCGTCTTTGTCCAGAAAAGTATCATATGTGTCATTAGCTTCATCCAGGTTTTAAGGAGCAAAGCTATACCTCTTAAAACATCTTGAAGCACTTTGCAGAGTACAATTTGCACAGTAAATACAGTGACTCAACTTTTTGAATTAGATGTAATATTTCAAGAATCACTGCAAAGGGCATCTTTGTTCTTAATCTACATTAAAACATACTTATTAAACACATCACCAAATATATACTCCCATACCAAGAAAGGTAGCTATCATGCATTACCTTATATAAACTTTCCTCCTCACTAAAACAAGAAACACATAATTTTTTCCATCAATTGAACACAAGTTTCCATGGCTCAAATGAAAAGATGAAATATTTTCCATAAATTTGATAAATTATCAAAGCAATGTTCATTTATGTGCAACAAAACTCTTTCCCTTCTGCAGAATTGTTCAGTGATTTGTACTTGAAATATGATTTTTGGATTATGTTATTTTTATATTTCATAAAAATCTTTACCATTGTAATAATTCTTACACTTTCTTCTTCTAATGTAATTGAAGCTTCTAATCAGACATTTTTGAAGTGATACCCTGTCATTTAGAAGGCGGTATCTCCATGCTAGAGGCATGGAAAAATAATAAAGCACCAAGAGTATATTTCCATTGTTGTGTTTGGACTACATATGAATAAGCAAGATACCTACAGAAAACAATGTTTCAACTGCATATATTATCAAACCAGTGAAAAGAAGAATGACTAAATATGACTTGTAATCATTGCCCTCTGCAGTCTTTGGGCGTTCGTATATGTGGGGAATCCTAGTAGTGACTGACACCGGGATAATTGCTGATGGAATAAAGAGAATCTTCTTGAGCAAAGTACAGGCATCTATATCTATTTCTCAACTTCTAATATACCTCAGCTGCTCTCATTTCTCAATTAAAATTTGCCTCCTCCCCATTACTCAAATGGAAATGCTGAGAAAGTAATACGTTTACTGAACTCATTTAAGCAACAGTAGCCACCCTGTGAAGTTTTGCTGCTCTTTGAAAATAAAAGGTGCATTTATGCTAAAGGAACACCACTAGCAGAGGAGCTCCCCGAGCCTTCATCTTGTTTTCCTGACATTTTTTTTTATTCTTTAGGGCTGTAGACCACTAAAAAGAAAGAGTGTCAGAGAAATCAATTTTATTTGGGAAATCCTTGTTATTTTTCCTGAATTTCTTCCACAGTGTTCTCCCACAATAAACGTTAGCTGTGAAATATTTCAGGTGAAAGTCCTAGAAAGATTCTCAAAGTCTCTGTTACTGAAAGTCCATTTAAAATATTCACATTTGATGTAGACTTTTCAAGATCAAAAGGTAGAGCTGGAAGGTGGATTTCTCAGAATGATGATGAGAGGAGAATAACATTGGGAGAAAATAAAATTGCTTTCAATTCCTTTGACCCTTCTGAAAGTAGAGTATCTAATTATAACTCCCAGACAATATAAGAGAACTTTGACATAAAAGTTACTCTTGATAGCATTGAACAATTTATCAGATTACTGAGTTATAAGCACTGAGCAGCCAGGTAACCTAGACTTTGAAGGGCAGAAAATAGTAAGACAGACATGCACCAAGTTATCAAGCAGTTTTCATAGGCTGAGAATGTATGGTTCTCTGGTATGACTGTATTTCTGAAGATGCGTGTTTAGAAGTTCCTCCAGGACCCTCATAGTCCTAATAAGGGAGAGAAGATTGTAAAAGGAAAAACTACATATATGCACCTATCTATCTAACATTATGCTGTCTTTAGTACTGTGCTAAGACCGTGGAAGTTTACAGTCATTAGTAAGTCAGTGATCAAGTATAAATTTGGCACATAGTTTTCATTATTTAGATTCACTGTTATGGAAAGGTGACAATCACTGTCAGGGAAAGATGACAATCACTGTCATGATACAAGTTTAGAATTTAAACTGAGCTCCCAAGTGGCCCTGAAATACAGAAGAGAACCTTGCTCTTTGACCATTTTTCCACCTATCCAAAAGCAAGGTTATCCCCATCCACTGCATATTTTGTGACTCAGTAATTTCTGAAGAAGAATATAATCCTTTTCCCAACCAAACAAATGCCAAATTCACAAATATTACAGGAAGATCATTACAAGCTTGATTATGATTAAAAAGTGTTTCTTATTATTCCATCTGACCAATCAGTGAAACCACTAATAGGGAAAGGACAAACAAGAGGCATCTGTACAAATACAGAATCATGCCACCTCCTACATAGAAACTCTTTATATAGTCATTCAGTGTAGTAACATCAGCATACAGTGTTTATCTTGGCAGTCCAAGGCTGTAAAACAATTTTATACAACAATTTCCAAATGAGGGTTCTTTTCTGGTTTTTTGTTTGTTTCTTTTTCTCTATGTTTCAGAAAACAACATGCAGGATTTGAATCTATAGTCAGACATGGGTATCTACAGCACAGTAATTATTCTAGTAATACAATACTGGATTTCCTACAATAAAATTTTGTAGGAGTTGTAATCACCGTGAAAAACTAATTTTACACACTATTTTGAGACTGTTCCAGGTCATAAGAACCATTTAGTTACAAGCTCCACAAAGAGTTATTTGGTCTGAAGCAAAAACCTTTTTATGCGCAAAAATCTTCACAAAGAATCTGGAAAGAATTTACCAATATTGCCTGATCTCTTCCAGGATTAAGTAATACATTCTTACAATATCCAATTATGCATTTTTAAGATTTCTAGTTTCATTATAGACCATGTAGCACTAGAAATATTTTTGTAACTGCATTCACTTATTCTTCAGGTCCAGAAAGTGCTAGGTGTCTTTTATCTCAGATAAATATCATAGATCAAATTCAACCCCAGTGCAAAGGTGCAATTTCATTTGCTTTCATAAAATATGCCTTTACTAAATTCCAGAGCAGAAATTACTCGCTCTTATTTTCACAGTTTCAGATACGTCTACATATGCATTAATGATCACTGAATCAATACAAATCTTATTGTTCTAGTAAGGTGCTACAACCATAAACAAAGCAGGAGAATTTGAATTTTGTGGTATCTGTGCTGCACTAAGTTAGAAAACTTGTTATTTTGAAATGAAGAATAGGAAAACAATTTGTTTCAATGCCAGGCCATGTGACTTGGTGATTTGGGCTATAAAAGTTAAAGCTTTCTGGCTGTGCTTCAGAATTTTTTGGTTCAATACAAAAATGATACTCTTCAAGGAGCACAGTTCCCTCGGTGCCCATCTTTCTGATGGCTAATGCTGAGCTTCACAGAGAATAAAATTAAATGGAGGTATCTTATTTAAGACATATATCAAATATTTGCTATGGAAGTCAGTTACCAGGTTTAGTTCGTGGCTTTTTGGGTCTGCCAGATGGTCTACGTTTAGATGCAGACGGTTTGAGTTTTGCTTCTTTAGGAGCTGAAAGAAATACACTGGATTACAACATTATCCTTTCTACTGTATCACATGAAAATCACATTCTTCATGGCTGAAATGAAGCAACAGATGGCTACTGGGAACAAATGCAAATGGTGAAATCAGACTTGCTAAGAAGGCTTCTCAAAAATCTCCCTAAGACTTCACTGCCACACAGCAAAATTCCTGCTTCTTCTTTGCTGTAGTAGTCAGTAATTAAATTTAAAATACACAATTGTAGCTTTCAATCACATCAAAATGCTCCTCTCGCTAAGTTAGCAATTCATTATTGCAAGACACCTAACAGATAAAATAATAATGCTGTTTATTCTTTTGAACTCCAGGTTGGTTTTAAGCATTTGAAAGACATGTGGAAAAGTAAGCAAGAATGTCCTAAATTTTCAATACTGTAAAGAAATTACTGGTAGTTAGATGGAAAAACATGGACTGCAAAGAAGAGTGGCCAACAGCAATGAAACAATGTATTACCTAGTGTTGTTTTTGGATTTTCAACAGTCTGAGAAGCTTTAGGCTCCAAAAGTGATGGTTTAGGGGCTAGAAAAGAAAAATTCCCGTGTGATCAAACAGATCAGTATCCTTATCAGCAGTAAACTTTAGCATTACAAGGGTTCAGGGTGTGTGTTTTTAAATCGGCTTGATAAGTATGCAACTACTTCCTGATCTTACACATAGTACCCTTTACTCCTTTTAGGTTTGTTTCCTATGAAATTACACACTGTATGCTTGTGGCTATGTGTGAGAGCCTGCTTCTGAGGCTCCTTCCCCATATTTACATCCTCAGGGCATTTTTAATCCATTGTTTGATTCAGTCAACAGACAAGGGCTCTAACTGAATACAAGACTGCAGTCCATAAGAAATACCAAAGAATGTATACCAAAGGGGAAACCTCTAAATGCCAAAATCTTGCTGAGATGAGAACAGAAATATTTTAGTATTGCACACCATAATATTTATTGATCCAGTACCTGAATTACTAAAGGACACAAATGCAGCTCCCTTTAACCCCCAAAAGAAGAAAATTAGTAGAGATATCTATTGTTTGATCACAAGGCAGAAAAGGAAAAAAATTCGTGACATGTTGATAACGTTCCCATGGTCAAAGAATGAATCGCATGTATATGAAAGTTTTCCCTTCTCCTATGAGAAAGCTCTCCTATCTCCACTAAAATGGCAATACTTTCAACTGAGTTCCCTGCAGGAGGACTAATTGATCATGAGTAGTACTTCAATCAACAAACTTTTGCGACTAGTAAAGATGCCATCTTTGCCATAGTATGCCTGTGTGAAAAGGCAAGATGGGTACTGGCAAAAGAGATTATAGAAATAATAATCACATATATTTTTTAATATACGTGACATAAAAAAATACTTCTGTGCCACCCAAAAGTAGTTTTTTTCCCTTCAAGTCCTTTAAGAAGGTTAAAAACCTAGAGAACTTATTTATGCTTTTATCACTGGAACCAAATGAATAGAAGTGATGAGCTTGACTCTCATTCCTCCTGTCAGACAACATCAAATGACTGATTTTAGAATGCTGAATTAGTGAAGATGCACAGATCCTGTCCCTTTTAGGAAGTTCTGCTTAGATTATTTGTAGTGAATATATCTCTCTGCATACTAACTTATAAAAATGGTGTGCAAAATTACCAAGTTTCACATGCTGCACTTCTGGGGTAGCATATGGTTTCAGTTTAGAAGGAATAAGTGGTATTTCTTTTGGAGCTGAAAGAGAGAGCTCAGATGGCAATTAAGAATTGTTTAACAAGGGTTTCCCACAACAAACACCACATGCCATAAGTTTATACTGAAGAAAAGACAACTTAGTATGGAAAGTCGAAGACACCTGATTAAATCGGTGCAGCATGGAGATGATATTGAAATGCCGTGCATTGATCAGAAATAGATCCTATGTCTCCAAAACAATGAAACTTTCCACAATGGAAGCTCTACATATCCCAGACAAAGACAGCACATGTGCGTGCATGAATGTAAAAGAGATAGACAGAACATTAATAACAGGACGATGGTGTTTTTCGTGCAAGAGGCAAGTTTTATTTCTCTGAGGACAGTAAAACCATCCTGAATTATGTTCTCATTCAGAGATATGTCAAGAACAACAAGTCTAATGACAATGGAAGAGCAAAACTCTATAACCAGGAAGAAGAATGATTATGCATGAGAAATGTTATGCTAGAAGAAATGCATTCATATGGATGAAATGTTCAAAACAAACACAGAGCTTTTCACTAGGTGAAAACAACATCATTACCTAATGTTACCCTTGGCCATTGTAAAGGTTGAGAAGTTTTAGGTGTGAAAGATTCCAGAATGGATTCACTTGTTGCTGTTGGAGAAAATGGTGACAGTCATAATAGAGAAATGAAGTAATGGCAGAAGCTCTTCTTTCATAAGCAAAACCAAATTTGTTTCTCTAACAACAACAAATACTTCAACTATGTTTGGACACATAATTTTAGTATGCATTAGACAGAAATTCTGTCTTTTGAACACCACAGAGCTTCCATGACTAGAAATCATCATATTTGTGAAGTGTAGAAATACTGGATGCTCATTGCCTCCTGCATTCATGGCAACTGGTCTGGATCTCAACCACTGCCAAGTAGGATTTTAAGTTGAGCACCTGAAAATTTTGAGGTTTTGTCCTCCATGTAAGGGGGATGGTATGGTGTAAATTGTAGGAATTTAATAAAGAGGACATCTTGAACAATCAATTATCAGATATTAAAAACAAACAAAATTTGGAGTAGAAAGCTGACAAGTGACACAACTGTGGTTTCAGTCCAAAAGCGTCGAGTGTCTGTAACTGTTAACTGATTTCATGCTTCTTATCCTTTCAATATCCAATTCCACTCCTTCATATTTATAAGAAGGCTACAGAAGCAGAATGCAGCCTACAGCACACACAGAAGTATTTCATCAGCATTACTGGACAAAAAATACTGTTTCCTTAATTATCTGTGGCATAGTTTTCAAAATACTGAAGGAGAACTGTGTGACTGTGAGTTACCATATGCATTGTAAGTGTTAAAAAGCACCAATTTAAACCACTAATAGAAATCTAAATTCAAATTTCAGGTGTTAGGGTCTTATCCAAATGTGCACTGAAAGCGAGGATTACCAGTGAACTCACTTCAGTGAGTTTAAGATCATGGTTTGAGCTACTGAATTAAGAACAAGCTAGAGATTATTGAACCCGGTCTAGCATCTGTTATTTCAAACTTACTAGGTGTCACATGGCTTGAAAGAACAGCTGAATACCATTGAAAGCTATAATAATCCCAGGTTATAGTACCTGTGATTACTAGTTCTACACACAGGTTCTTTGTTTTAGAAAAAAAGTAAAATGTTACAGGTTATAACATATTTAAATTTGCAGTGAAGAGGTCAACCCACAGTAAGCATGCCTTACCTTGACAATGGAGCGGTACTGTTTAGAGGGTGAGCTGACAAATAAAACAGAAGTGTAACCCAACCAAAGCTAATAATACTTTAGATAGCATGGTCCACATAGTTTAAAGCTTAAGCCCAGAAAATATAAAGGTAAAAGAACAAAAGAACTTCTAACACCATGCCTATAAGAATGAAGCGCTCCAAAACAGGTGGGAAAAACCAAAACATACAAAACTAAAAAACACTGCAAATATATTTCTGTAAAAAAGACTGTCTTAATTCTCCTCAGTACTTTGTTTTCTGTTAAGATTTGTTAGTGAATTTTAATGCATGTGTACATACACACATAGAAAACAATGGTAAAATAAAAAAAAAAAACTCCACTGCACAGTAAGAAATAGGAAGAAGCTTACTATGCTGACATAAACAACAGTATCCATCAGAGTGTAACAATTAAGCTTGAAAGAAAAAAAAAAAAGATAATTTTAAGATTTGTGTCACATGGCATAATAATAATTAGGAAAAAAATGAAATGTTACTTCATTTAAGTATTCTCAGAATAGCCCTAGTAGCACTCTGAGAGACAAATGTAAGATCAGAAACACTATAAGGTGAGTTTCCCAGCAGTAAGCACAAGTTGTCATGTAAAAAAGAGTACTTTTTCTATACTGATGATCATGACTCAAGCAGAAAACTAATATGGCAGATGGCCAAAATATCTGTGATGAACGGAATTACCAAAATTGCTATCAAAAGACCAGAAGTGGTTTAACTGAAAAGCTAATACATTACTATTACCCATACTTGTTGTTAACACATGAGGTGTTCTGGAAAGTGGAGACACGCATTTTTCCAGGTCAGCTGAACTTGTAACTGCAGAAAAAGGTAAATAACCTTGAGAGATAGATTCGTATTGGTGCAGACATGGGGAGGAGGAGGGGTAGCAGTGTGGGGGTGGAGGGTGGAAGCTGGAGGAGAGATCAAAAATAGATTGCTTTACATTGATGTGCAAGATGGCAACACCACTATATTACAGTTTCAAAAGATTTTCAACTTGAAAATAAATGAACAAAACCCTAAAGTTTTGAAAAAGTCACATGTCCCTAACGGACACAACAGGACTCTTAATTGGTCTGGGTAAGTCTAACATCAAAAACACTGTGATTTGACCTCACCTGCAAGAGACCTACATATTTAAATTACATGCAAATATGAATTTCTACAACCAGCTATTCCTATTACCAACACTTTACTTGTTTTAGCTGAACAGATGTTAGTACTTTGAGTTATAGGTTTTACTATATTATTCCCATCATGTCATTAAAAATAAATTGTGGTATTTCAAATAATAGACATAACGTAAATTGACATAGATTTTGTAACATAGTGAAGAGCTAGGAAGTGACATAGAAAATTCAAAACAATACTACTGAAACATTGACTGTCAGGTTTAGGATAATTTTCCTCCACATCTTTTGCACTTTAAAATCTTGGCTGTGAATACAAATTTAATCTTAGATATATATGAACCCAGTAAGAAAAGTTCCAAGGTGAAATAATAACATGAACAAAAATCTTTGTAACAGAGGAAACAGCAAAATAATGTGCATAGTATGACTAACAAAATATTTCCCAGGGTAAAACGTCCCAGTCAAGGATATGTTTTCATAACTGATGATGACTCTATATGACCTTATAGCTGACAGATTAAAACCACCCAAATCAGTATTGATTCCTATGGGTTTCATATTTGATCCTATGACACAGAATATCACCATGTAGGTATATAGCCTAACTACCAACACTGCAGGCAACACCAAGCAACCAGAGCAAACAGCATGTACCAACACTGTAGGCAACACCAAGCAACCAGAGCGAACAGCATGTAACTGTAACATCCTTGACACACAAAAAAATTCTAAGATATGGAAGAAACAAATACAATTTACCAGACTCTATTTTTGATATTTCTGCAGATGCAGGTAGTTGGGATGGGTAAGTAATATGATGAGAGTCCAGTGAAGCTGGAAAAAAAAAAACAAAACAAAGAATTGTTTTTGGCATCGTCTGAACCTACAGACTGAACTAATTTCAGGCCACTACTAAGGAACTAGGGACTTGAGCCAGGAAAAAATCTCTAGTGCAGATAGAATGGATTTTCTGATGTGAATGTGCAAAGATATACTGGTGATGTAAATGATAAAGAAGCTGTTGCAAGAAACATGAAGAGATAATCAAAGACATAAGACGCCATGATGAAAAAATATGAAAAAAGAATAACTAAAAAAAAAGGGGGAATGCAAAGAAAGACTGCTTAAGCCTTTCAGCGCAAGATGTTACATACAAAAACTTAGTTTGAAAATATTATTTAAAAATAGGAGTAACACACATACAATTTCTGAACAAAGAAAATATTCTCTTGCAGAAGAGAAGGCAGAAGGATCATAAAAGGATTAATATACGTAAAGAACACAGCTTAATTGGAAAAGACCCTAAAGTACATGACACACAGATAACAAAAATATAAGATTTCTCCAGTGCCATAAAAACACACTTCAGAATCAGTTTCTGCCTCTTAGGTGGAGACACCAAAAAACACTGACAGCACATCTCTATGATCCAACTGCGTCTCAGTGGGAAGGATATATTAATAAGGAAGGATATATCAATATAGTTCATTACAATACTAACTTGCACTTGACTTCAGGTCTGGGGGCTTACCAGGCTGCTCATATCATGCTTTTGTTATCTCATGGGCCAAAAATTACTGTCAAACCGCATGACTGGTCTTGCAAACCTGCCAGTGTGAAAGCAGCTATCGCCACGAGCATCTCCACCCATTGCCGTCAACTGCCATATCCAATGCTTAAGTAAATACAGCTTTTCTGTGAACAGCAGTTTCAACTATACACTTATGCTTCACTCTTACATAGGCCAAAGAAAAACAACAGTTTGGCTAAAAGCACAATAGCTCCTGAGAGAGCACTTCCCATCTGCACTGTGACCAGCTCTGCAAGAAATGCAGCATGGCCAGGCACCAAAGGCTGCTGGTGTTTTGGCGAAACATGCTGTGATTCACCAGAAGCTGAAAAGAGGCATCGTCCTTACAACCTTACATCCCTGATGTGACCCCAGTAGACCAGCAGTAGAGCAGAGTGCTCCCACTCCCAGGTAATGGCAACATAAAGGTATGGGCAGATGACAGTGGGCTGCCTTCAAAGTCAGCAGTGAAGCAACCAATGGCTGCACCCTTGGACCTGCAAACACTGAACCACAGAGCTGTCCTCTTGTGCCAACCCAGATCAGGATTTGCACCTTAAGAACACTGTCGTATTTGAATGTGTCAGAGAAAGGAAGGTCTGCTACCAAAACAAATGAAGCAGGGCAATGGCAGACAAAGGCAAGGTGCAATAATGTGTTCTCTACACAAGCTGCCACTCAGTCCCCACAGAAAATGCTTGTCAGAAATGGAGAAGCGTGGGATGAAACAACAGAATCACAGAACAAGTGAGGTGAGCGCTTCACCAAGCCAAGCTGCACCAAGTCTTCGTATTCCCCATGGAAGATGAGACAGATGCCAGGTGTTTTGAGGTGGGAGGCATGACAGAAAGTGACAAAGGGGAAAATGGAAAAAGAAGAGGGTTTGCGAGTTACCCATCACAGTTTGTTGCATTGTCAGGGAGGAAGGAGTGGTAGACTTCAGCCTTGGTCTTCGAGTAGCTAAGATCAAACACAGAAACCATGTTCAGGTCCTCACACAGGCTGTTGTTGCATGGCTGGTATCAAGACAAAACTATAAACAAGGAAATGTGGACCTGCTTGGAGCAGGCTTCCATGACATGGCATCACTCCCCATAGTTGCATGATGCCACATTTCAACTGGCGTAGGTAGCCTGAGGCAACAGAGTAAACGTAGAAGTGGAATCTCAGAAAAAGCAGTGGAAAGCTTACAGATGGAGCGATTTCTAATCAGGAGCCATAAAGGAACAACTGCATCATTGACCCACTCTTTTGGACACCAAAACATCTGGCTCACTGCTGCAGAGAACAGCATTGCCAAAGTAATCAGCAGAAGAAAGGAACCACTGACACTGACTATTTACCCTTCACAGTCCGTGTGGTTTTCAGTGAAGCAGACGAGGTGGATTTCAGCTCCGGTCTTTGGGTTGCTGCAGTCAGACACAGAAACAACCTTGAGACACTCACACAGTTTTGCCACAGCAGCACGAGCAGCACTAACTCACAGCACCCAAAGGTCCATATTTAGGTTAACACATCCCTTCTCCTTGCAGTACCTTGTGACTCAATGATCAAATCAGCAGGCAATTGCCTTGCTGTGGTTGCAAATAGCACAATACTGTTAAACTCAGTAGCTAAATGACTCTCCATCATCAGAAAAATGTCTAAGTGTCTACTTTACCAATACACTTGTGACACTTTCCCGAAAGATGTTACAAGACCAGTTGTTGCAGACTGAACATGGAGCAAAGAGACCTACTTTTGGACTAAGAATTCAAGGTCTGATCTCACTTTTCTCTAGCATTAACCAAAACCTTCATTTTATGGGTCAGAAATCTCAGCCCCAGCACTAATAAAACACAGAGCCTCTCTAAATAAATGCCTGCAAGCAAGTGACCAAAGCCAATTTTGCCGTAGAATTCTAGCACATCTTTCAACCACTTAAGCTTGTGCAGCCCATCGTCCCATTGTACAATGAAGAACAAGTAATTCGACTGAAGTGACTTTCTCAAACTCTGATTGTAGTTTTTCACAGAGAAAATGCACAACCTTATACATAAACGGTTACAAAATCGAGTCTGTGTATATTCATTTGCACTGCACAACTTTGCTGTACCATGGGCTTGACTCCAGACGTAAGGGAGGCAAGACCATTAGTGACAGTTTTCAAACCTCTACAAAGTTGAAGAAGTTGGTGGCAGTAAGGAAAAGGTGCCTAGTTATTTCTTAGGGATTTCTTGATATTGCCAGCCTTTGGATACTTAAATCCTTCTGTTCCAATTTCTTCTACATTACCCTCTTCTAGCAGCATTTAATGATTCACTAACCAAATCAATAACTGGCATTTCCTGTAATTAAAAATTCATTGGGTATTCTTAAGAACAGCAGCTAAATCTGTTTCCACCTATGGAGAAGCTTTTGTATCCAATACAAAAGAACCAGATATGTATAAAAATACCAGATTTGACATGTTAGCACTTAACCATTCCAAACAACAGGCCTCCATAAACATACTATCCTTCATGAAAAAAAAACCCGACAACCCCACAAGACAATCTAGCCACTTGTTTACAAACATAAGAAAAAAATAATCTTATCATTCCAACATTTCATTCTCAGTATATCAAATGTTGCAGCAGATGTAACTGGTATCTCTCCAGTTGTGCTTTTATACAGAGCAACTTAGAGTAAACTCTCCAATTAGGAAAGCAGTTTTGCCACAGCAGCACGAGCAGCACTAACTCACAGCACCCCAAAGGTCCATATTTAGGTTAACACATCCCTTCTCCTTGCAGTGCCTTGTGACTCAGTGATCAAATCATCAGGCAATTGCCTTGCTGTGGTTGCAAATAGCACAATACTGTTAAACTCAGTAGCTAAATGACTCTCCATCATCAGAAAAACGTCTAAGTGTCTACTTTACCAATACACTTGTGACACTTTCCCGAAAGATGTTACAAGACCAGTCGTTGCAGACTGAACATGGAGCAAAGAGACCTACTTTTGGACTCAAAATTCAAGATGACAGGTCATATGTTCATCTCAAAGGCAAGGAAATAGGAATTCTAAATTCTTTCTTATTCCAGCTCTAAAGAATAAACTGCACATTATCTTTTGAACATTCAGTCTTAACTCCAATTCTATTTGAAGCTCAATAACTTTGCCACAGATTTTTCCTTACTATTCTTGTCACTAATATTATTATTATTTTTACAAAGAACAGACTATGTAAGTCCTCACCATTCCCCTGAAAGGCTTCATCTTTCCCCATGTCATATAAAAGTTCCCATTCTTTCTTTACGTTAGTCACTGAATCATAGAATCAGCTATGTTGGAAAAGACCTGTAAGATCATCAGGTCCAAAAATAACATGCCTATTCATAAAGCTTGAACTTCATTGTTGAATGAAAGAGGGAAAATTTGTTTATGTCCTGTAAGTAAACTATGAGACAGCTATACCACATTAACAGCAAGACTAAGAGGTAATAAAACTATGCTGCTGATATATTGGAATTTTTCATTCTAGAAAGAATTTTCAAAATAAAAACTGCATCTACAAACACACAGGAATTTAATGACAAATACTTTTCCCCCTCTGTCCCTGCAAAAGGTGATGGAAAGAAGCATAGGTTCAAACATCAGAATCACATCTTTAGCAGGGCAAGTGTTTTCGCAAGCCAAAGTGCATTAACAAACCTATTATTGCTCAAAGCAGATGAAAATTTTGCCAAGTGATGGCAGGGGAAAAGAAAAAATATAAATTACCATATTTACCCTCCAATGTTCTTTGACTTTCAAGGTAAGGAGAGGTAGATTTCAGCTCTGGTCTCTGGGTAACTAAGATTAAACCGGAAAACTGCCTTCAGATATTACAATGAACATTCTTTTTTCAAAGTAGTGTCAGTACAGTTTTAAATGAATGAAGCCCATATTCTATTCAGCTTTTACATAAATATTTGCATTGATTATAGTATTATTATTTTTTTAAATGAGGGTGGCCGAGCTGACTTAGTGTAGAACACAGCCTTTTAGTGAATTAGACCTATAAAGCAGAAAATTACAGAGGGGGATTGAGAAGCTTAACATTTAAGTATCTCATTGTATAATTTATAGAAATGACTGACCACTAACACATTTGGCATTGCCACTGGGGGGGGGGCCCCCCCCCCATCAAAAGCTATTGATTTAAATAATGCTTTCCATATATAAGTATTGCCAAACAGAAATTATGCTGGAATATTGTTTACCCTTTACTGTCTCCCTGGTTTCCAGTGAAGAAAAAGATGAGGGCTCCAGTACTGGTCTTGGAAGAGCTAAAGTTAGAGATGGAAACTATCTTGAGATGTTACGGCAGTCTCTCTATGACAGCATCCAAACAAATCAGTATTTAAATTGTGGCTTATCAGGTATACTTTTCCTACCAAAGAATCATACAGCAATTTTTTGTCACTCTCTTTAACCAAAAACCGCAAACACTAGTTAAACACTGTTCCTAGAAGACAATAATGGCAGTCATGATGTTCCAGAGCTGCATTTTAACTGCAGTAAATAACAGACCCCCAAATAATTTTCAGGCATTAAATATTTTCAAACTATTAATTGAGAAGTGGTCAACAAATATGTAACCAGAATCCCTGCCTGCTTCAAAGATACTGTCAAGTTTTTGAAATTACCACCTTATTTTAAATCTGAAAAAGACCCTAACCCTAAACTAAAACCCAACAGTTAACTAGCTCTGATTGCTATACTTCTCACTATCCTTTAAAATCTGAACTTTGGGGTTAAAGTAACATATGCCTGGAAAAAAAAGAAATAATAGCTTCTCTGCAGAAAGATGCATACAGATGAACTTCAGGATTGAGCCAAATACTAGAAGAAATACTTGTGCCTTCTTAACCAAAATCTGTATGAATCTTTAATGGAGCAACAGAAAATGATCTTTTTACAAGTTGGTATGAAAGACTGGTCTTTTAGTACTTTGCACCAAAAATCCTTTATAGCTTCCGATCAAGGAGTGGTAGACACAAAATTCTTTAACAGGCTTGCCATTTAGACTCAGAAGCAAATGTGTTCACAGAAGAAAAAAAGCAAGCAAGTGGCAATGTGCTGAAAACTAAAATGTAATCCCACATTGCTCACCCATCACTTTTTGTCTAATTTCTAAAAAGGATGAGATGTAGACTTGAAGACTAATCGTTGTGTGGCTAAATTATAATATGAAAGTCATAATGAAATAAGCAGTCTCCGCACAAGTGATAACACTGTGGTTTTAAAAGAAAAAAGTAAGTCTAAGTTGAAAGTGGTTTTCATTACTTGAATAACCACATCAGTGTTTTAGGTTCTGTAGAGCACAATATCAGTCTTCACGAGGCAGAGTTCAAACAGGCTTGAAGAACTTTTGCAAGTAAACATTTGCTAGAAACAATAAACAAGTGACCAACTAAACAATAGATTTTTAAGAGAGATCATTAAGTTCATTCAAGGACCCGCTCCAGGGGAAATAACATATAAGCAAGTATTTCGTTGTAGGCTTCACTGAGTGGCTGAGCAGCCTCACCCTCCTTTAATTGAAAGGTTCTTCTATTCACTCTCTTCTCTTCCTTCCCCTTCCTTCCTCCCTAACTTGCACATGCAAAACCAAACCCCAGAATTTCTTAGGTTATTCCAAGGAAGTCCTTTAAATACAAACAACATAACATACTAATGGTTCCCATCTCACACATACGTTAATTATTACCATATTTAATTACATTTTTAACTCTCCTTCAAATCTGGGATTTATTTTTGCATGTTTACGTTGCATTCCTGACTAGATCACACACTATTTTCTCAAGTCTCCCAAACACTGAAAGTGTTGGGAAATTGATCCCTCTGGTTTGAAAAGAGAGCAGTATAACTTTCTTTATTGGCAAAGCATGCAGAATAAATAATTGAACTTGTATGTTCTATTATAATGATTTATAGAAAGCCATTACTGAAACTTTCTAAGGCACTTGATTGTAAGTTAGTGCTCAGTATGAAAGACGCATAATGATAAATACTTACTAAAACCTCTGAAGAATAAATGCATAAAACTTAACACATCTCCATTTATTGAATGTAAGAATATTTACTTGAATCAAAAAGCTTTGCCATTAACCCACAACTACAGGCAGTTGGACAGTTACTTATAGTTTCCTGTAAAATGCCCCTTTAGTCCACTTTTTACTGCAAAGGAGCTCTAGCAGCAACTTGAAACAGACTTTGGATGGAAATATTATTGAAAAGAAATTAAATGTTTCTCCATATAGAGCCAGTAAAAGCAGAACTGTAAGCACTGAAAAAACTGTATTTGTTCAGTGTCATTTTACAAGACATTGGTAAGTTTTAGCTTATTTTCTGAACACAGTAAGTAAAAGAATCCTAAAGAATAAATGTTGGTAAGGAAGAACAAGAAAATTTATAATTTAAATTACAATATAATTTAGGTTATGATATATCAATAAGTGTAATTTAAATGTAAAAAAATACCATCTTCCAACCAGTTTAATTTTATTGGAGTCTGGTACAACAGGTTTCAAAAATGTGTTTTGAAAGCATCTTGTCTACCATAGACGCACCAGCTCAAGATCAAATGGCAAATATTTTCCTGAATTCCAGTGCTGTGCAGTTTAGTTTCAGTAACTGAACACATGTGATAAGCAAGCTTTTATTTCTTTTCACGTTGGACATATGCTGTTGCATTTACTGGCAGCAAAATGTCTACCTTAAATAACTGCTTTAAACATATTCAAATGAAAGGACTTAAGGGTCCATTTTCCAGTATTCTGAAGCCTGCATATTCACTGTTATTGATCCTGTTATTTCTATGGGACATACTCAACACTTTAAACCATTAGAACAGTTCCATTGAGGGTTTAAACAAAACTTAAATTAGCTTTCACTCTTACCCATATGCAGTATTGCAACTTAAAAAATGAGAACACTACTGGATGTAATAAGACACATCAAAGCCTATTATCATCAAGCACAGCAATATAGACTTGCAAATGTACTAAGAGTGATGACCAAAATCAGAAGAGAGTATTTAGTCTGGTATTCCAGAAAGCAAATTAATTATGACAGTTCTGTAGTTATTCGGATTAATTTTAAACTTAACTAACAATATACCATAAGTAAGATGAAATCTCTGTGAGAATTTCTATTCTAAAATAACATTTTCAAGTATTACCAGGTACAACTGGTGGCATTTCTTGGATGCCAGATGTTTCAGATCTTGAAGAAATGGGCTGCTTTTCATCAAAAGCTGAAAGTAAACTTGGAGTTAAAATGTGAACTGACTTCAGAGCCACAGTATTTTGACAGCAGCTGTTGGGCAGTTCAAGACAACAGCAATGTGAGATCAAGCAGGATGTCAGCAGCTTTAAGGATGAGCTGTGAAATGTGGTGTCAAATAAACAACATAAACACTGAAACTGGCGTGAAATGAAGTAGGGTCAATTCTTCTATCTCATGTTAGGAAGAATTATCAATGTTTTGGGAGGGGAGTTTGGTTGGTTTTTGTGGGTTTATTTGGGTTTTGTGTTGGTTGTTTTTTTTTAAGTACTTATGCTTTGAAAAATAATGCAACTACCAGAAGAAAATTAAAGGCAACATATGCTAGCAGAGGTCTTTTTGTAGACTATTTAGTCAGTGTGGAAGTTATTTTTCAGCTTTGATTAGACAGAAATGGCCAAGTTGTGGATGGACAGACAAACAAGGCTAACATCAAGTAGATTTCGAAGCAACATATCTGCATGAATCTTAGCATTACCCACAGCCAATGGAATTGATGGCAAAGGATGGAAAAGCAAATGGAATTACATGCTATTTACCCATTGTGTTCCCTCTGGCTTCCACAGAGGGATGAGATGTGAATTTCAGGCCTGGTCCCTGGGTAGCTAAAATCAAATATGAAAACAATCTTGAAACAATGAGTGAGATCACTCTTAAGATAATCTTTGGCCGTTTATTAGCAGGTCCAAAAGATCTAAATTTATTTTAGATTTCTTGTATAGATAACTCTAACAGGTATTTGTAGTAGCTTGCTCCATTCTTTGTCAAACTCTCCAATTAGGAAAGCATCATTGTGACAGTTACGCTTTTATATAGAGCAACTTAGAGTAAACTCTCCAATTAGGAAAGCATCATTGTGACTTTGAGTGACTGACTAGATGTCAGAACTACAGTGAAGAGAGATATCATTACCAGCTGAGATTGGTGACATTTCTGGCATGCTAGATATTGTGGATTTTGAAGAAAAAGACTTCCTTTCACCTAAATCCAAAAAGAATCTTGAATTAAAAGGCTAATTGCCTCAGATCTACTATGGATAGCACAGGACTCAGCAGACAAATGCTGCATTGGTAAAACTGAAGCACAGTGAAATTTGCTTGCAAATCAGCTAGGCCATTAGGGGGTGTGGACTTAATGTGGAAACCACGTGACTGAATTATTCATACTAAAGAGGATCATAGAATGGTTACAGTTGGAAGGGACTGTAAAGATCATCTAGTTCCAACCCCCTTGTCATGAGCAGGGACACCTTCCACTAGACCAGGTTGCTCCAAGCCCCATCCAGCCTGGCCTTGAACACTGCCAGTGATGGGTCAGCCACAACTTCTCTGGGCAACCTGCCCCATTGCCTCACCAACCCTCACAGTGAAGAACTTCTTCCTAATATCTAACATAGGAAAAATATCTTATTACTAGGAAAGAAATCTTATTACTACTTAATAATCTTAGCATAATAAGAATTATAAGTAGTAAGAAAACACCTTTTGATCCAGAAAACAGTCAGTGGGCCAGACAGTGTAAAAGCTAGTCAAAACAAACTTTTCACAAGATTACACAAAAACAATCTGTTGAGTGCTTAATTCCCTCTCACAGTTAAGTTCTCCCAGCATAAAAAATACCCCAACCAAACCAAACAACAACCACCCTTCCCCCACCCCCCCCAAAAAACCCCCAAACTGGAGAATAATGAGAAAACTAAATCCAAGAAATTAAAGGGAACTCACATCTATGATCCCAAACTTCCATTTACAAAGATGAAGGATGAGTGCAGATGAGATCCTGGTTAGTGGCAGCAGTAAGTGGGAAGGAGGCCCAGTTAGAATTTCTAAGGCCCAGTTAGAATTACTAAGGCCCAGTTAGAATTAAACTTGGCTAGGGATGTGAAAGATAACAGGAAGGGGGGTTGGAACTAGATGATCTTAAGGTCCTTTACAACCCTAACTATTCTATGATTCTATGAATTACATTGCAAATAAAAGACAGACTAGGGACAATGTGGGCCCCCTCCAGAATCTATCAGGAGAACTGGCTACCCTGGATTTGGAGAAGGTTTAGGTTCTTAATGATTTCTTTGCTTCAGTCTTCACTGGCAAATGCTCTGACCACACCACTCAAGTCCTGGAAAGGTATACACAGGGACTGTGAGAATGTAGATCCTAGGCCCACTGTAGGAGAGCATCTGGTTCAAGACCATCTTAAGAACCTTAACATGCACAAGTCCGTGGGACTTGATGAAATAAATCCACAGGTCCTGAAGGAGCTGGCAAATGAAGTTGCTAAGCCACTGTCCATCATATTTGAAAAATCGTGGCAGTAAGGTGAAGTTCCCAGTGACTTGAAAAGGGGAAATATAACCCCCATTTTCAAGAATGGGAAAATGGATGACCCAGGGAACTACAGACCAGTCAGTCTCACCTCTGTGCCTGGCAAAATCTTGGAGCAAATTCTCATGGAAGGCATGCTAAAGCACATGAAAAATAACAAGGTGCTTGGTGACAGCCAGCGTGGCTTCACTATCTGAAGAAGGACTATAAGAATTGTTGGGGAGGGACTGTAGTAACAGGACAAGGGGTAACAGGTTAAAATTTAAACAAGGGAAGTTTAGATTGGATACTGTAAGGGTGGTGAGGCAGTGGAATGGGTTGCCCAAGGAAGTTTTGAATGCTCCATCCCTGGCGGTGTTCAAGGCCAGGTTGGACAGAACCTTGGGTGACATGGTTTAGTGTGAGGTGTCCTCGCCCATGGCAGGGGTTTGGAACTGGATGATCATAAGGTTCTTTCAAACCCTAAGTATTCTACGATTCTATGAATTAGTGGGATGGTGATAACTAAAGCAACACAAAGCTTCCAAAAACAGCATCAAGGATAAAAAGGGGAAAAAAAGAAAAAAGAAAAAAAATAATTGCAACTAAATAAAGTAATCTTATCAATTTTATCCAGTGCTGTTTCTAATAAGCGAGGTTCTGTAGTAATTTTGGGCATGGATATTTCCAACTCAGTATATCTCCAGATGCAGGGTGTGAAAGGGGGTAAGTAAATACACCTGAGAAATAACTGTATGTAAATAAATCCAGAAAGAAGATGAGAAATTTTACCGTTGAGTGCTCTGCAGAGTATTTTTAAAAAATACTGTTAATTTATTTATGAAATGAACCTTCTTTTTCTAAGTATTTTCAATACCTTCACTAACTACTTAGCTGAAGATAATAGACTAGTTTTTGCATGTGTGCAAATGTTCACAAAATTTTTGATAAACAATGTATATATAGTTTTACATGTGCTTAAATAGCACCTGAAAAAACAGCTGTACAACTTACTGTACCACTTAAAACACATCTTTCCAGGAAGTTCAGAATTCATCAGAAAATTCAGGAAAAAAATGTGATTTGGGGACATTAAAGTCTCTTGGTAGCACTTCGTTAACTCAACTCTCAACTTCTGTCCCAGGTATCCCATGTAACAAAATGAATTAAGTTGCTTTAAAAATCATTGCCTGGGAATAAGATGCAGTGCAGCAAATTTGAACTCTTGAAAACTGTACTGCAATGCCAAGAACCAATAGGCTATGCAGCAGAGAACTTAATAAACTACAGTTGCATCACTTAGAGTAAAGTTTTGGGCAAGGAACTGCTTTCCTTCCCCCTTCCCCACCTCCTATCCCTTCCCCATTACCCTCACCTCTTCTGCACATACTTGTTCATATTCAAGCTTAGAAAAATCAAGCATTCTCACATATCAAAGGTTACAGAAAAAAAAATTACCTATCTCCAAAGCTGTAATCCAAAGTATACCTTTGTCAGAAAAGGTCTGGACTGAGATGTGTTTACTTTCTTATTTCAAGACAATACATCAGAAAAATCACAGCAAAAATGTATATGGGCATTGAAAAACAGACAGAAAGAAAGAAAATGAAAACAATTTCATCAGTAAAAACCTGTAACAGTCTTAAGCCTTGAAAATTTTAAAACTTTTCCTGATACATCCATTTTATCAGTACTACATTATTTAGGTAGGGAGTCTTGCTTTAAACCTGTGCTGCAAGGATGCTGTTACAGGACTTGAAAAACTAACACATGGGGCAACACGCATTACAAGCAAGAAGAAATAACTGTCTGAAATCATCAACATGGAAGTAGCACCAACCAACCAAACAGAAAGATATATTTCTGAAATAATAGCACTATAGTTTACCAGTGCCTTGTATTTCTGAAGCTGTAAAAGTTTGGGGAGTAGAATTAACATGAAGAAAGTCACGTGAAGCTGGAAAACAAAAACAAAAATCATGTTGTATTGTTTTGAAGTGGTAAGAACCATCATCAAACAGCACCATATTCTTTTATGAGCTGAAGAAACTTCTAGGTAATATTTAGCACGTTGTGTTCTGCAGAAAAATAAGACTCTGAAATGTACAATAACCAAGTAAGTATGACTTGAAAAAAAATTCAGAAACCATACATAAATGCACACATACATAAGGCAATGAATTACCAAACTGTCAGCAGAATCACACAAAAAGAAGCTGAACTATAGAGTTAAAAAGAAAAATATAAAGCTGCTCAAAAAAGAACAAATTACAAATAAATATTAGCAAACTGGGACTGCGTGGAATATTTTTCTAGAATTCCAAGAATCAAGAAGGAGGACATATTGGTGCTGAAACTGGAAAAGGATGACAAACCAGGAACTGTACCAAATGAAACATACAAAATATCTGTTATCAAACATGAGAATGGCTGATAGTTGCAATCAAGCTCTCCTTTATTAATGGATTTCCTTCAAAAATTAATTTCTTTCAAAAACATATTCATCGGGTGTTACACTATTGGCATGTTGATGAAGTGAAATCTTTCCAACTGGCTCTCATCTTTGGCTTTTTTTCTTTTAGATAACTGTCAGTGGCCCCACATAAATAACTAGCTATTACAAACTCATCTATAAAATAAAAGAAACCCGTCATAGAAATTATCAAAGGAGCAAGTAGTGTCTGAATCTTCAATGACATGTTTTCATAGTGCTATTTTTGAAATCTGGGAATTTACAATTGCGCCTATGCTTACATAAAAAGGCTAAACACAGAGCTACATTTTTAAAATATGTTGGAATTTCTGCAGTTTCCATTCATTTTTTAGGACTGAGTACTTCAGCAAATCAGTATATTACACTTATGAAACTCAGGTGTGGGCAGGCCTATTTAAATTTAGTTTTTACTGTAAGCCCAATTGAATTTTAAAGCTAAGAATTACAGCCTGTAGCCAAACTACATGTAAAACCCTCCAAACTACTAGTTCACTATGTCATATAAAATGTTATAAACAAACCTGCTATTTGAAACCAGCACTTTCATACCTTCAGCTACTCTTCATTTACTGAACAAACTGTCAAACTGAACAAACTGTTTAATGAGAGTCACTGAAAATTCCTATCTGTCAAGAGGATTAATCTTATGAGAAATTGTTACCAGATCTGGTTGGTTGCACTTCTGTCGTACAAGATGTTCTGGATCCTGAAGAAACAGGTTGTGTTTCCTCAAAGGCTGAAAAAAGAATCTGAGCTTAAAATGCTGAGACCTGTGACTTAATAGATTAAGATCAAGTAGCTTAGTGAAGGCTGTCCAACTTCAGATGATGCTAATGCAAAGCTAAGCAAAATGGCAGATGGCCCGAGACACAAGACAATTGTGTCATGACAAAAAGACATGACGGCTTGCAATACAGACTTCAGGCCCTGAAATTTGACTTCCACATGCCTGAAGGAATTCTTATCAGCAAGGAATTTTATCTTATTAAATTTTCTGTGATCAGTTGCAGCTATACAAAAAGAAATAAGCTAACAGTGAGATATGACAACACTGTCTTTAAAGCTGTTCTTAAACCTCTAACAAATATGTTTTTCAGCTGTTTACACAGACACAAGAATGGTGAATAAGCAGCTCTATGTGAGTGTTGGTAGTCAAGATTCTAAAGCAGATCTCAAAATTACCATTTGCAGATCTACGTGATGCTAAGAAAATTGAGAAAAAGTCACGGAACTAATCTGCTGATTACCCATCTCCATCTCTCTGGTTTCTGAAGAAGGTAGAGATACGGATTTCAAGGCTGGACTCTGAGTAGCTAAGAGCAAACACGAAAAAAAATAATAATTATCATGATACCAATACATACACTCTTCTTGCAGGTGGTACAAAAATCTTACTTTAACTGTAATAAGCAATTTTTTGTTTGGTTTGAAGGTCTTTTTTCTACTAATTTTTACCCTAATCAAGCTTTGGCATTCATTATCTAATAAAGCTGAATCCATATTACTTAAGAGGTTTCTCTTCACAGAGGAACAGCTCCAACCCAAACACTCCAATCAAAACACATTTGATCTTCACAACAGTCAGAGGTCTGTATAAACTTTACTATTATACTATGTATAACTATTTTAAAAGGAGGTGTAATAGGAGAAGATAAAAATAGAGAGTACAATGAAGTCAGTGAAACAATCATGAAAGTAAACACCATCCTTTACCTGTTATATTGTAATGACGACTATTACAAAGACCTTACGGTTATTTCAGGTTGAAGTATGGATAACCTGAAGTATGCTTTAACGAAAACAATGAATCAAGGTAGAATTGGGCATTCTTATCTAAAGACTATCATGAATGTGCTTCCACCATGTGCCAGTTTTGCACTACTGTCCTGCTTCTAAGAAACAGATCCTATTCAAATGTGTGTACAGGCCAGTAAGTACCATTATTTCCCATAAACTTATCCACACCAGTCACTTATGGTTATTTAGGTTATGATATATTTGAAAGAGAAAATTTCCATCTTTGTTTTTAGTAGATCTTTATCAAGATGAGTTTTTCTGAAAAGCAGTTATACCAGAATTTTAAAAATAAACTTCTCTGAATGCTTGGGATTGAGAAAAACATTCTCAACTACATGTAGGGTTCATTTCTAACACAGGCAATATAAATACAACCCAAAACATGAACAGACTTTTACTTCATATATTGGATCTGCTTTCCTATTTACTTTCAATCCAGCTTATCACATTAACAAATATGATCCCAGTTTACTACCCTGATATAGCTGGACTCAGCAGTTGGACCAGATGATCATTGTAGGTCCTTCCAACCGAAACTAATCTTTTCCGTATTTATAGGAAAAAAAAACCAACCTACCAACTAAAGCTGTATGATTCACAGCTTTTGGCAAAAGCTTCCATTGATGCATTTATATCCAGTAAGAACTATGAAAGATCTCCCAAAGACATTAGAGCATTAAAGGCATGTTAGCAAAGCTATCTTTTCAAAAAGGACTGAATTCAAAATACACCGACCACACAGACAGTTTATAAAACAAAGGAGATGTCTTCCGCTGGTACAATCAAGACAGGAAAATAGAGAAAAAAAGCCATGAGGGAACTAGGGCAGAATACAGGTCACACACACTTAAACTTCAGAAATTAAATCTTGCTTTCTTTCCTGATTTTATGACAGCCGGTCATCAAGACGTGAAGAGGCAGAGCGCAGAGAAATCTAATCCATATGAACCCCACCTTCGCTCTCACAAAATATCTTTGACTTCAGTACTGAGTTCACAGATAGCACAGATGCTCCAGCTGACCTAATGGCAGGACCCAGCTTCACATAATTAAATAACACTTTTGCTATGTGAAACAACTTGGCAAAAATGGAAGACATGAAAACAAAACCAGAATAAATACTTGAATGAAACATGTACTGTGACTCAACTGTTAGTATTTTACCTTTATCACTGAGACAAACACAGATTAGGTTATTATGCCCCAGTAGAAAGCAAAAATACTTCTCATCCCTAATAATCTTCAGGTTTTCAGCCACATTATAGCAAATAGGTTCTTAAATCATCATATCTCTCTCTCTCCAGTGCTGCCTCTAACTGGATTTGACCAAACTTCTTTCACCACAGTGAAAACAAATATGTATCCCCATCCCCTCAAACATATCTGGAAAAGACCTGTTAAAAAATGTACTAAATAAAAAAAAATAGTTAAAAGAATTTTCACATTCTTGAGATTTGGTTCAAATACTCATTTCAAGAAGTAAGGGAAGTAAGGGTTCCTGGAAATTATTTTAAAATTTGGCAGACTGCAGTAAGTAAAAGTATGCTGCCTAAATAAACCAGCACTATTACATAATAACTTCTTGACTAATGTTGAATGAAATATAAAACTACACTGATTCAAGGTCACTCCAGTTAACTAGTGTAATAGCAGCAACACGCAGTTTCAGTAGAATGAGACATTTAGGACTAACACAAAGACTCAGTGTAGAGAAATAGAGGTCTGTTATGTAAGCACAGGTCTTGAGAAGGGGAGACATAGGAAACAGCAAAGAAGAGTACAGGCATGGGATAATAAGAGATGGGGAGTAGGAACTGGAGACCCGATGCCATAAACAACTCGGTGATGATCTATTATAAAAACTGCACACCAGAAGCTGGACAAAATTTACTTTGGGTTAACAACAAGAACAGCGAAGTATCATCTAACATACACAAAGGGCACCATATATGCTAAAATCAGATGTAAGTTGTCTCTCAGCAGAGGGGAGAGAGAGGGAGAAATCATCAAATGCCATATTCCTGCCAGCACAGGACTCCAGATGCTTATAACTTGCTGAAATATCACCACTCATCACCGACGCAAGCATGAATGAGCATGAATGCACCAAGCCTAGGACCCAGAGGTGTAGTGGGAGACTGAGCAAAACACCAGGAAAAAGGGTAGAAGCTAAGAAGGTTTTGTGTTACTGTTTTAATTTTGTTACTGCTATTATTGAGGCTTTCTGTATGGAAGTACTCCACCTGCATTAATATTCTTTGTTTGACTCTAAGAATCAAATCTAAACTAATGATGATTGTTGAACTATATAGTCCATTAAGGTGTGTTCCCTCTTTGCCCATAAGAAGATTTTGATCCTAACATTTTGACTCTAATGCAGGTAAAACTATTTTGAAAATGTGAGCAGTTCCATGCTTTCTCAAACAGCAGGCCTTTCCAAAGTGTTCTGAAGTTCATCACCAAACAACTGACAAATCGAGAAATAAGCAGATTTATGCATATTTAAACAGCAACATCATCTACAAATTATGGCACTATTTAAAGAGAATATACAAGTATTTGGCAAACTACATGAATACCCAGAGAACTCATGTTCACTGCAACAATACTCCAACTGTGAAACACAGTCTCAGAAGCTCATGATGTAGGGTACTTCTAAGAACATTACAAAACTAAGAGTACAGATTTTAGCTAAGTATAAATTGCCGTCATCATACTGTAGATAAAAGTTATCCCATATTCTCATAAGTTTTGTTTGTTTGGTTGGTTTTTAAAAATGAAGCATTAATCTGGACTATCCTGTCACAAAAATAAAGCAAAACCAGGCTTATAATGAAAGAAGAAATCTGCAAATTCTGTGAAGAAAAAGCTAAAGCCTACCACATTTTATAGACAGAATATTATTGCAGCTGAAGAACTAAAACCTACTAACCACAGAAACAAAAGAATTAGATAATTTTCTGCTGAAGTTTACAAAGAAAGCAATTACCGAGCTCTGTCAGTGGACTTTTTGGAGCATCAGAGATTCTGGACCCAGAAGGAAGAGGCTGTATTTCATTAGAAGCTATAATAAAAGAAATAATCAAGACTTTACTTGATTAAGAACATTACAAGGCACAGCATGGGTCTATACTTTGGCTTATAGACCAATCACTCCTGAAACCAATGATATTAAATAAAAAAGAAAAAAAAGTAGTTCCAACCTAGGAAAAAAAAATCCACATAACTTTCTCATTTAAAAGGATGTGTTGAATTATGGAAAGAAATCACCTTTTCCCTAATAGTAATATTAAGATCCATCAATCACAGGGATTTGGTAATGAACATCCATCACAAACTATGATCACTTAGTTTGAAATTAATCAGTGACCCATCTTGATTAAACTTTGTATTTTAATCTTTAAAAGCATGGCAGAAAAACAAGCAAGGTACATTATCCTTAAAAAAAAATTGATCAAAGTTAGAAAATGTGATTGACAGATGACTGAGCTTCAGGAATTACTGAAAATCCACTTGCGACTGTAAAGGAAAAAAACAAGAGAATACATAATTAACATGAATAAATAGGATTAAGTAAAAATACATTTATTGAGAAGCATTAGCAGTCCTCTTCGTGGGAAGATCTGTATTTCAGTCCTGCAAATGCTGATGACCTATTCCTTTATCATATATCATCCTGTGTGTATGCCATCTGGGCCTTAAAGAAATCTAAACAAAGTTAAAAAAAAATAAAAATACAACCTCAAGTTTACATTTGTGTTCATAATTTTGCATCATTTGGGGGTTAAAATACAGGCAACAAAACCAACATTGAGAATTTAGAATTCTGAATGCAAGAAGTAAATAGATGCTGGTTCAAATCCCAGAACTAACAATACTACGATTTTGATCAGAAATCTCTCATTCTGAGACACTGAAAAAAATCAGTAAAGCTCTTTTTTCCTCCAGGAACAAATACAATTGTATCATGTCACATGCAATACAAAACTTTACTTTTGCATCACTGTTGATGCTACCTAAATGAATCTGTCAACAGAACAAAAACAAGGAGGTAATTTCTTTTGGAGCAATAAAAAGGGGGTGTAGCAAGTAGCAGAAAAAGTGTGCTGAAGGGGAAAAACACACTTAATACACAAACAAGGTAAAAAGCAGCAAAATTAGTTACCCAGTATGTTTTGAGTTTGCACCAATTTCGGTTTAGGCGTTGATTTAAATTCCTCAGGTCCGTGTTTTTTCTCAGTCTGAGCTAAAAGAAAGAAGTTCTATTTACTTTAGAATCCCTTAAAACTTTTCTTTACCTACTGGGGACCAGCATCAATATAGCAAAATGTTTCAGTATGCATTCAGTTTAATAAAAGATCATTTTCATTTTGAAACACAACAGAGGAGAGTTTTGTTTTTTCCAGCATGGTCTCCATGCTTTTTCCACAATCTACTGAGCATGGTTGAAGCAAGAACTAATCTCATAGGTTCTTCTTGCATTTCCTAAAGAAAACATACTATTTTCCACATTCTGCATAGTTACATAAATGCTACTACAGCTACAAGTGTTACACTATTTTCTGCTTTTCAGTGCCACAAAAGCTGGAATCTCCACAGATGCTGCCTTGTTGGGATCAAATTCAGCTTCTACTACATCAGTTACAGTGCTGTTACTTCCACTGCAGTGGAAGGCATTTTTTGTTCTACTGTGAAGTTAAAACAGTTTAATCTTATGAAGCAGTGGAAGAAAATTCATCCAGAAAAGATCTACAAACAGTTAACATACCCATACCTCCAAAGTACCTCAGAAGTACTTCAAAAGCTAGCATTGCTTATTGGTGAAATGCAACCATTTAAAAGAAACAACACCCAAACAACAAAACAAAACAAAAACAGCAACAAAAACACCAAAAGCTAATACAGAAAGTTAGAACTCATTATTCTTTGGGTTCTTTTTAGAGGTCAGATGGCTTACACTCATATAAGGCATGTCTCTTGTCAGCTAAGTTTGCTGAGCAAGCTGAACAAAAAATAGCATGCCTACAATTGGGATAAAAGAAAGCAAGCTCTCCTGTGTTCTTCACATAACGTTGTAGGGATGAGATGAAATAACACCAGACATTTTTGTAAAAAGAAAGATACAAGAGACAGAAAGTTTAGGATTTAAAGGTAAAGAAAGAAATGGCTCTTTATTGTCACAGCATGGAATTCAGCAAGAATGCATTCTGCCAACATTTCTTAAACAATTTTTCCTCTAACTTCTCTTGACCTTCTCATTCATGTTCCTCTTTCCTCCACAACTAGAATTAAGGTATTCTGAGGGAAGCAATAATCTTACTCCTTCTCAGATCCCACATGAACACAAGGAGAAGCCTTCAGGAGCCAGAAGGACAATAGAATGAGCAGAACTTGGGAAACATGTCAACAAATAAATTATTGCCACTAAACATTAACTCTAGTTAACTTTTCATTTCAAGCCTATTTTCTATTTGACAAAGGTATTTTGATAAATTTCTGATATAATTCCTTACATAACAAAATAACTTGCTCTTTTATAATCTTTTTTATTTAAAATAGTTCTTCCATGTCCTAGACAACTGTGCTTTTATTTCTGTTATTTTACTTCAGTTTCCCTATGAAGTCAATGAAAAGGCTCACAATTCAACTGAGAGAAAAAAAAGTGGTGGTAGTTTGAGTTATATTAGACAGCATTTTAAAGATTGAAGGGGAGTGGAGGAGGGGAAGCATTTTGAATTTGTGCTGTTGTGTTAAGGATAAATTTGTCCTCAGTGGAAAATATTGTAACAAGCCTGGAAAAAACAAAGCATGAAAGAGCTCTCTAACCACTCTTTCCATGGAAGTGCATGCCAAGGGAGGGGAGGCCTGAAATTAAGAAAATGATGAGATGCCTGGCTGACAAATACACCAAAACCAGTTACTGAACTATGTCACATCATAAAACACTCCCTTTGACAAAGGCCCAGTGGAATACAAGAGTGGCCCAGCTCACTGAACATTTCAGCTTGTTGAAATAATTCAAGGTCCTTTCTTCCCTTCTTGCATAACTGATGACACAATGGCTGCTACAGCACATGGCTCCTTTTAAAGCAATGTTTTGTTGTCAGTTCTGGCACCAGTTCTTAAACCTTTCATAGCAAATAATTGCTATGCCTTAACTTTCAAATAGTGAAGCCTGGATGAAATATAATGAAGTAGATCCTATTGCTAAACTCAATTAACTGTGCCTATGTATTACCCTGTCTTTCAAATACAACCCTTGCAAAATGCTGGTGCTCAGATCTCTCGCTCAAAGTCTGGCTCAGACACTTAAGTATTCAAGCTATTTTTGCATATGCAATGACCAGACTGAAATTACGCTTAAAGAACTTACTTTGTCTTTTAAAGGATTTACTTTCACTTCTCTATTTCCTGCCCCCCCCTTTTTTTCTCATTAACTGAAATATTGTAACTACAATGACCACATTCTTTAACGTAAATAGTGTCATACTCTTACAGCAGCACGGTGATCAAGAAAGAATGACTGAAAGGAATGGTCACCACAGCAAAAGATATGGAAGTAAAAACACAGAGGAAGCATGGAGAGGAAGATGAAACTTATTCTAAACATTTCAGTAAACAAATAATGGGATGATAGCAATAAGAATATATTAAATTGCAACAAATGTTTCTATATTGCTTGGCACTAAAAAGACAGTGCTTGCTCAATTATCATGCATAATGAAACACACCAGCAACTTAATAAGTATATAATTCTGTGTTTATGGTTAGGAATACTGCATGCCAGGTACATAAACATCATTATAGAATACAAAGGAAATGGACTGATTCTCTCCTCCCCAGGTGATATATCACTTCTGGCATCACATTTCACACCATTTACCTGAGTAACCAGTAAATTCCAGCACAAGGAATTATGTATTTTGATTAGATGAATGCATGCCTGAGGATTGCAATTTTGCAGGAGAGCCAATTATAAATTATCTTTTGGTTCTCATTTTCACAAAATGGCAAATTCTGTGAAATGTATTGTAGATTGCAGTTACTCAGACAAGGCAATTAATTCAGTAAAATAACTGCAGAATCTAAGTCTACAAGAGACCACAAACTGTAAATAAAAAAAAAATTTGGAAAAAAAAATTAGTTTTTTAAAAATTTCAAATGTAAGGCAACCTGTTTGTTACACAAATGCTAAACTTGTAATGTTCAGAGCTCCCTTTGAGAATAAATACCTTTGGGAACATCTTTGTTTTCCTCTTAATAATTAGGATGAACAGAAAAGAGCTGTTCATATGAAGGTTCTGCAGCAAGTAATTGATGGTTAAAACTAGAATTTAGCAAACACGTATCTCCTGAATGAAAAATAAAATTCCACAAACATTTTCAGAGAAAAAAAAAAAGGATGGATTGTTTAGTCTAAAAGATGGTTGCCAATCATTACATGAGTTTGCTGCATTACTTCATCCCACACATCTTTTACTCCCAAATATTCTTTGGGAGGGTTTTTGTCTACTTGTTTGTTTGCTTTAATTAAAGACTGACTTGGTCTCATGGCATAAAGTATCGCATCTTTGATATACTTATGTAATAAAAAAATCCACAGTCATGTTTAAGGGCAGTATCTGTGTGAATTGTGTGATAGCAAAGGAATAATGTGCTACACAATTTCAACCAGCCAGGAAGTACTTTCTACATGGAATAGCGTAATGCCAGCAAGACAACATAATATGACTAAGCTAATCCAAAGCACACCACCACTAGTTTCCACAAATTCCTTTTTAATTTTGTCTTGCCACTGTTTAAGCCTCCTTTCTCCCTTTCAGAAAAGAAGTTGGCAGAAGTAAACTATTGTCTCTAATGACAACATAATCAGGACAGCAAGCATAATGAAGTCTCAGTTATAGGATAAAAATCAGACTATAAAAAATGAAGGTAGGAATATGACTACTCAAGCAATTCTAGAATGTGGGTTGATAAAGTAGATAGAGAGTCTCTCTTCGTCATTTGACGCAAAATAATCAAGTTCTGTCCAATCTTTTGCTCAGATCACAAATGTTAAGGCATAGGGCTATACTTGTCTTATGACTTGATAAAGTAGTCTATGTTGCACTAACTTGTTCCCTAAGCAAAGGGAGTCAGTAGATCATGTGAGTTTTAAAATATCACTTCATGTTTTTTAACAGTATAAGAAATTAGCATCTGAGTAAGTCCTTTTAAATAAATGATATTTTTTCAGCCACAAGTAGATGATAAAAAACTTCAGTCTTCAAAATATACAAGTTAGGATACATTTCACAGTCATATAACCTAGAATATGAGTCTAGGATCAAATTTTATATCCCTTTCCCATGTATGTGAACAGCTTCCATTTACATTAATAACATCAGTAAGTCCACAAAGACAGCGTGGTCTGTGTTCAAAACTGAACTTAAAAGCGTCTGAGCTTATTACTGTGATCATTCCATCTTAATGTCACGCATGCATTTTGCACAGTCATACTACCATCCCTAATTTGCTTCTTCACATATTTCATGGAAGTTAGAAGTTCAAGGCGCATCACCAGAAAGCTCATTTTGCCATGCTTCACAATTTCAAGGTATTCAGCACCCCACAAAGATACAGTTGTAAGTTTTTTTATAAACCTAACAACTTTCCCCTCAAATTCAGATTTTATTCAGATTTTTATCTACACCTGCCACTCATGGTTACTAATTCAGCCACATTAGCCTCCTGTTTTCCCATTACTGCCTTTAACTGCAGATTGAGCAACACAAAGATGAATTTAATTTTAGCTAATATATTTGGAAAAAAAATTCTACAATTTCTAAAAACAGAATTTTCATTACCTGGGAGGGACTCTGGAGAGATTTCTTGAGCTGTTGGTGTTTTGGATTCAGCAGGCCATACTCGAGTTTCATTCTTAGCTAAAGGGACAAAATGTAAGAGAGTAATTTCAAATCTGCTCTGTTCTTCTACACATTTATTTTTGTCCTACTTCAGCCTACCAAAGTAAAATTAAATGGACAAATGTGGAAAGCTGAATACCTTTAGGAATCAATGAACTTCCACTGTACAATCGGTACAAATATCTATCTAGGTATGTTAAACACATGCTTTTTTGAATTTGTTTTGTTCATTAAAAGCTTCCTTAAAAATAAAATTTACAACATGGAAATTAATACCTTATGAATCATTACTTTCATAGTGCAAAATAGTTCTCAGTGTTTTTCATTTTCTAGCATTTCAAGCACTAACACCAAACTGTTTTTCAAAATTCAAAGATGTAATATAGCTCTAAGCATTATAAAAGAATAGTCTAATAGATTTCCAAATACAATGGAAATTTCACACTAGTCATGTCCTTATTTTCCTTTACATTACTTCTAAAAATTCCAGCAGTATGACAATAGCCTTCTATTTCAACAGATAGCTATTCCAGCAGTGGACATAAGAAAATTAATTAATTTTGACTTGAATAATACACTTGTGTGTTTTTTTTTCTACTGAGGACTAAGGCAATACACTTTGTATAGTAAAATTTTTACTAGTTTTTATAGAAAAAATTACAATAAAACCTCAAATTTTAAGAATTCAATCAGTATGATATTCGTTGATGCATTATTTATTATAATACAGAATTAGAGTAGTTACTGTGTGTCAGCAAACTATAATTAGTCATAACTCCACACACAGATAACCCCTATTGCATTTTATTGTAAACATATATCATTTTCAGACATCAGGGAAAGGTATCTGTATAGATTCAGACAGTATGTCTTGTTGTCAATTATATTATACATTTAAACTGTTTCTCAGAGTACTTTACAAGCAATGATGCTTCCCTGTTTTACACTCCTTTGAAATCCAGTAGTTATTTGTGTGTATACCAATGTACTTCACATTCTCTATTAAGGAACACATAGTAAATAGAACAGAACAAAACATCATCTGTCTGCTCTGGTTATTTTCACAAAGGTGTCTGTGTAAACTACCATAAAAAGTAGCTCCAAATTGGCATTGCACCAGCTATTTTAGACATATCTGAGGATTCAAATTTAGAAGTCCAAGTTCTACAGTTAGCCTGCTGAAGAAGCTTGACATTGCTAGGTCAACTGAAGTTACCTTTGTCTTTTTTTCCTATCTTTTGCTCATTGTCACATTCTGCCATTTTTACTGTGCATACTTCTTATGATCTTACACCTTCTACCTTCTTACACCTTATGACCTATCTGAAAAAAAACAGTATTGTTTTCCTGCAAAATATTATTTCTACTTCTTACTCAAGCACATTCAGATATTTTCCTACTATCTAACTACCCTCACATGTACACTGTATCTTAACAGGAACAAGCACCGCTGTTCAATCACTGCAAGGCAAGCCAGCCTGAGAATGCACCATGGCCATCAATGGAGCAACAGAATAAACAAAGCAGAAACAAGAAAGGAAAAACCAAAAGAATAAAATCTGACTCAGTTGTTTGGAGTTCAAATCAAGTATTAAGCCAGGCCAAAAGTCACCAGCTCCAGAACTCTAGTCTATGAAAGATGTACTGGAGGCATTATTAAGGTTTGTGATGATAGTTGTATGCTAGTTTGCACACCTTAAACAAATGCCTCAGTTAACCTTGTTCCTGTGGTTTTCAGGCATATTCAAAAGATCCACATTAAGCCTGTACTGGAATGTTCTAATTTCTGGTTACCATTTTTCACTGATTTAATTACAGATAATGAATAAGAGTCTCTTCATGAAACAATTTATCACATATACTCAAGCCAGGACTCATATAATTAAAATTCACTGAAAATCTGGTCTTTCAAATGGACACACAGACTTTCATTTTTAAACACCCATATCGAAAGATATAAACTAGGAAAAAAAAAAAGAAAAGGATACACTGTAAAACAAAACAAACCCCCTGAAGTCCATACAAATAACTACATTCCTCCTCTTCTCCATGGATCAAAGCTACTTCAAATGGCTGTGAAATACCTTAAAACCACATTGAGATGTTTTAAAATAAGTAGATTTCTATAAATTTTTATAGGTGCAAGCTAATAATTAATTAGACAAATAGAAAAAAATAAAGGAGGAAAAAGAAGGACTTTTCTTTTTGCACATATGATCTCACTTTATCACACTTCTGATACTGCTCATGAACAACAAAAGCTTAGTTCATTTCTGCTTACCCATTTTTTTTGTGGATGCTTGAGGTATGTCATCTATTGGCAGGAGAGGGGGAAGTTTTTGCTGAGTTTCATTGAGACCCGGAACAATAAGATGCACTACACAGAAAGATGAGTGTCGTTAATTACAGAAGGGATGAAAAATACAGTCTACCCTCTGAGATAGGTGAGCAAGTACTACTGAACCACTGGGAGTTTAGTCTGAGTATCTGTGACATTAGTCAGTCTTACTCAGTAATTATCAATCCTATTTGGTGCTATTTCCCCTTTATGTCACTCACTATATTACCATTTCACAATTAATCAGAATTGAAAATATTCAATCCTGGAGTACACAACCCTGGAGTTCTGCTGTAAAACAAATGCTTGGACATTCTGTCTGGTGGGCCTGGAAGATGCAACACCAAACATGGTTAGTGAGTACCTGAGACATAGAAATATGTTAAAACTCTCACAAAGCAAACTTAAGCCAAAGTTATGCAGCTCTATAAAGTACGCCCATATATATAAAGGACTAAACACCTTCCTGAATCCAGGAATAAATTGGTCATGAGGAACATGATGCTGTGACCCTTTCCTATCTACTTCAGGCAGACCAGTAGTTCACCACACTAAGCACTATGATAGTCCTTTCCCTATGATAGTCTTTTCCCTATTTTTATCCTGGTTTTCCCTATCTGTTCTTATAGGTCAAACACAAACAGAAAGCACGAAAATGAATACCTTCATAGAAACAGTTATGGCCAAGATCTAAGATTAAGCTCTAGTTACAAGGAAAGTTACAATACACACAACTATAGCCTAATATATCAGAAGTTTGTCTGTATGCTATCATACTACATTAAAACAAAAAAGAAATAAAAAGAAGAACCAATCATCTCAGTAAGATCTTTGCCACAGAACTTTACTGAATATGAAATAAGTTCTTGGCTTAATCAATAATATCTTGTTGTATATACTATGACAATAACATGATTCTATTTCCTAGGCTACATCATCCTTGAACCATCTGTACTGCCATAAGATAAAAAATACTGTCTGAACCAGCTGCAAAATACCCTTTGATATGCAAGAAAAGAACTATCAAGATCAAGAAAATGGAAAGTATTTACACAGTTCTAATTTTCAGCCAAAGATGAGCAAAATAATAAAAACATCTTCTACTCACCTAATATTGCTCCTGGGAGAGAAGAGCTATCTGAAGTCTTTGACTGCGTCTGATTTTGAATAACTGTGGAGACAACATCGGGATATTAGAAGATAAATATAAAAAACTAAAAAACAAGAAACAAAACCATACATGAGACAAGCTTCAGCATTCCAAAAATCTTCCTTCAACGTAATAATGAGATGAGGACACCATCCTAATCTTGTCTGTATTTACACTGATTTTAAGGGACTTCGAACTGCTTTTCCTCTATGTCACCTCTTAACTGTGCATCTCTCTCTCCCCTAGCGTATCAGGTTTATATCCTTGCTGAAAAATGACATTCTATGCTTATATGAATATAGGGCCAGCTCCAGGCCATCTCATTACCCTGCCATTCAAAAGTCTTCAAAAAAAGATGTATGTATGCCAATACAGTCGTATTTTAGTGGTAATACTGTATTTTGCTTTCACTCCACCCTCCAGTGTTTTCCTTTTCCTGAACTGTCAACTACCTCCAAAGACAATTTGCTTAATTTTACTAGTTAAAATTATTCTCTGTACAGTTTCTGTTACCAAGCCTTAATTGCAGTTTAGTTTCTACCAGCTATATTTCAGTACTTAATTTTCAAAGATTACTACTATGCTACCTCTCCCTACTAGAGAAACAAGCATTTCTAAAGGACAATATGTGTAAGTCTACTGTAGATATCTCCACTGACCAGGGAAAGGGGAAGAAGGGAGTCTAAGTCGATGACTTAGCTGAAGATACCCACAAAAAAGTTGGCAGCATGAATCTTATCCATACTGCTGCCCTTCACACCTATCAAGTTATGCATATCTGGGAGATCAACATACCTGGACAATCCAGTTGAAAAATCAGCACTGATCTGTATCCTTTTAATGACTCAATTAAGTCATTGTTTATAATGCAATGTAGTAGCTTACTTTATTAACACAGTTAGGTAACAGCTTAACAGTACTTGTAATTAAAAGGTATGGTAGTTTGTAATGTTCCACCTATTCTAGAAGGAAACTTTCATGACATTCACATCCAAGTCAGAGGTTCGGAGGTTTGTTTTGTATTTTAATGTTAAGTTACTCTTGCACAACATAAGAATCAAATAAATAAAAAAAATCCGCACAAATTTACCTTGTTTGATTATTGTGACAGGGACCAACCTCTTATTATCACGCAGTTTAAGCTGAGAGAAGAGGAAAGAAAAAAAAATGCCTTGGGATAACTGCCAGAATTGAACTTTCTTAGTAATAAAAGCAGAGGGCTCCAATCCAATACCATGCCTGCCCCAAGTTAACACTGGATATGGCTCTCTCCCTGGCCACTATTGCTTCAATTCCCACTGGCTAGTATAGTAATACAGCATTTTTATCTCTTTCTTTTTCAGCTTGAGACATTTTGCTTCACAAAACCACAGTGTTTGACAGCTTAGGAATCCTTTTCTCTTTTAAGAATTTCTTGAGCACTCACTGGGGAATAGACCAGAAGACTTTGAAATGCTGAAATTTTAACTACAACAAAACACCTGAAGCATACATATATACAAATTTGGTCACAGGATATATATATTCTCAGTAATATATATTTAGAACACGAACTATTCCAGAAACAGGTGCACATTTGGGTGCTCTAAAGGAGATTAACTCAAAGTAATTTTATTTGGTGAAATTATTTCCAAAGCATAATTGACCAGCCACCCATATTCTCACATTTTTATGTTAAATGGACTTTTCTGCTGCTCACTTGCCTTTTACCCAGATTACTTTTTGCCTAAATGTGGATCTTTTCCAGCATTTAATACCACAAACATAAGAAATACATGAATGGACCCCACATTTATTAAAAGGAAGAAAACAGCTGATCCCAAAGATTATATATCACTATTCACTACCACACACAGACACTGGGAACAGCTTCTGAAAGCTTAATAAAACACTTGGGCAATGAGAATGGGCAGCCTGTAATGACAGCAATACAAAACTGATAAATACAATTAAAGTGGATTTTTTTTTTTTCCCCAGTTCTAGCTGAGTTACAAGAATGAAACGATCTCAGACAATTACCCTTCTGTGTTAAACGCACATGCTAATGGCTGAATCAGTTAATGTTCATTTTGGATTTCATGACATCTGGTCTACTTCATGTGAGAGAACACTTCCATGAAAATTAAGCATTTGAAATCAAAGCTTTGATTATTTACCTAATGTACACAACTTTTGCTCTATTCTAAATATATATTTTTATATATATATATACAAGCTTTAAAAGCAATGGCTGGGTACACATCAGACACATTGCAAAGTCTAAGAAGCTGGAAGAAAGCAAATCTCAACAAGTAGGATGGCCCTTTCCTCAGGGAAATGGAGTGAGGCTGCTTATTCTGTGGAAGGCATTAGTCTCTGCTGCCTAGTAATGGTTTCACATTTGCATGAGCATGATATGAAATTAACTGGAGGTTTCAATCATTTACATTCATGAAGGATAAAAAATAATCTTCCTTTTATATTAGTTACTTTCCCTTTATTTCTTAACCTTTGTTTATTAACCTTGTTTATATTTCTATTGTGCCTTTAAATTTAAAAAAGTGTGCTGCAGATTATCAGCTTTAGAAGTAACCCTGCTTTTCATACAACTGAGAAGAGGGATGAAATGCATTTATCAGAAGGAGGTGTTCATTTTACTGTATTTATCATCAGAAGCCCTACAACCTACAAATCAAATCAAATAAACAGCTCTCAAGCGGTAGTGACATGAAATCCATTTCCACAGCTGATACTGTTACACTGCTCATTTGCAGGAATCTGAAAGTGTTGTTTTTGAAATCTACCAATGTTTCATCAATCCTCTCCTTTCAGTCTGCAAAAAGTGCCTATTTTAGATATTTCTATGTCGAATAAAATCTACCACTTGGACAAACAATTTCAGAAACATCAGCATGTCATAGAATCATAGAAACATAGAATGGTTAGGGTTGGAAAGGACCTTAAGATCACCAAGTTCCAAGCCCTCTGCCATGGGCAGGGACACCTCGCTCTAAACCATATCACCCAAGGCCTCGTCACACCTGGACTTGAACACGGCCAGGGATGGACCATTCACAACCTCCTTGGGCAACCCATTCCAGTGCCTCACCACCCTAACAGGAAAGAATTTCCTCCTTATATCCAATCTAAACTTCCCCTCTTTAAGTTTTAACCCATTACCCCTTGTCCTATCACTACAGTCCCTAATGAAGAGTCAATCCCCAGCATCCCTATATGCCCACTTCAGATACTGGAAGGCTGCTATGAGGTCTCCATGCAGCCTTCTCTTCTCCAGACTGAACAGTCCCAACTTTCTTAGCCAATCTTCATATGCGAGGTGCTCCAGTCCCCTGATCATTCTCGTGGCCCTCCTCTGGACTTGTTCCAACAGATCCATGTCCTTGTTATGTTGAGGACACCAGAACTGCACACAATACTGCAAGTGAGGTCTCACGAGAGCAGAGTAGAAGGGCAGGATCACCTCCTTTGACCTGCTGATCACACTCCTTTTGATGCAGCCCAGGATACGGTTGACTTTCTGGGCTGCAAGTGCACACTGCTGGCTCATGTTCATTTTCTCATCGACCAGCACCCCAAAGCCTTTCTCTGCAGGGCTGCTCTGAATCTCTTCTCTGCCCAGCCTGTAGCTGTGTCTGGGATTGCCCCGACCCAGGTGTAGGACCTTGCACTTGGCATGGTTAAACTTCATGAGGTTGGCATCAGCCCACCTCACAAGCGTGTCAAGGTCCCTCTGGATGGCATTCCTTCCCTCCAGCGTATCAACCGAACCACTCCGCTTGGTGTCATCGGCAAACTTGCTGAGGACGCACTCAACCCCACTGTCCATGTCAGCGACGAAGTAGGAATAACACTATTATATGTTATACAATTACATTATTTTCCAAACAGACAACATAAAGCATATAGGTATTAGGAACAGTAATTATTAAAATTAGTGTGGCATCTCCATGAATGAAGAAAGATGGTAAGTAAGGTATTTATTAATTTCAGAGGAAAATTAGGGATGTAAATTATACCATAAATCAGGCATCTTAACTTTTGACCATAATCCTATGGTATAATATAAAGGACTGAAGTTCTCAGACATACTCTCAAATGGCATATGGCAGCATCACTTTAAGAGTTACTTGTTCTTTCTGCCTTTCATATCCAAATATTCACAAATAACTGGGATACACATAAGAGAATCCTCAAGGAAGCATTACGATCAACCTGGATTGATTAAGTTTTTGAAGGGCAGGCACGTTTTCTTCTAGAGTTTTACAACTGATAGAAGCCATGAGTCCTGCTTTTTGACTAGGGAAAAAAATAAATAAATATATCCAAGAGGACTCCACCTTTCAAACTGACATTGTGAAGTTCCAGAAACCTAATCAGACAGAAGAGGAAATAAATTTCTACTGCATTCTCCCCACCCTACCACCACCCATTATTTATGGGAAAAAGAATGACCAACTATAGAAGTCTCCTTTTCTTCCCTCCTCTCACTTGTTGTTGTAGCTTACACAGCCCCATGAGCTTAGTCAAACTTAAAGGATGAACCTGCCAAAAGAAACACAAACTGATATGCAACCGATGTTGAACGGGCAGAATGACTAGATAGATCTGTAATGTTGCTTTACTAAACACCCTTTAAAAATGTCTCTTCACAGAGAAGAGTTCGGACCGTGCTGATAGGAGCCAGTTGTGTCTCTGGAGCAAAATAAGGTACAAACAAAGCTTGGCCTAAATAACACTCCTGCTGACTATGCACTTATGATGTGATTGCACCCCTGAAACATACCCCACCTAATACCTTGGAAACTGAAATAATAACATAACTTAAGAGCTGGCCAGTATCTGCTTTCCAGCCTCAGTTTTGTGGCTTTTTGTACCACTAAAGTGAGAAGGATAAGAGAATTTTTAGAATAATCTATGAAATGTTTTCATGTTTCTGTGAATGGCAATAAAGCAGTACTGCTCTGGAGCTAAGCCCTGTGAAGCTAACTAGAAAGACTAGATATTGGCTCTAGTCCTCCTTCATGCTTGAGCCATGCAAATATTTGGAAAACTGTTTTAGCTTCCTTTCTCAGGACTTCTCTTGCATAAATAGAATCCCTACTTCCACAGAAGCAGCATAACAGAGTCACTATCCTTGACACAGGGTTTGCTAAGAAGAATAAGAGTACTCAGCTTGTGCTCTGTATGTCAGAATGAATTTACCTGGCCCCGGGATGTTGTGTGTAACTTTAAATATGCTAATGGAACTGATGGGAAGAACAGTAAAGTTGATTTTTTCACCAACATAATGAGATGAGCACCTTCTTGAGTAAATAATCAATTGGTTTCATATTACTTACAGATAAAAGAGGTTGTCTTGAACGTGAGACACAACTGTGCTTCCAATAACCTAAGCATTATGCTGCTCTCTGTATGTTATGCTATAGTCAAAGTATTACTGTCCTAAATGAATACCTAATTATTTCTACAAGAAAACGCATGTAATGGGCTGAAGGAATTACAGGTTTGATAATTAAAGATCATTTACAATATTGTAAAATATGAAGAAAGAACAGTGAGAAACCATAGAATCATAGAATAGATAGGGTTGGAAAGGACCTTAAGATCATCAAGTTCCAAGCCCCCTGCCATGGGCAGGGACACCTCGCTCTAAACCATATCACCCAAGGCCTCGTCCAACCTGTCCTTGAACACTGCCAGGGATGGAGCATTCACAACCTACCTGGGCAACCTATTTCAGTGCCTCACCACCCTAACAGGAAAGAATTTCCTCCTGACATCCAATCTAAACTTCCCCATTGCCTACCAAGAATATATTTGGAAAATTAGGCAGAAGAGAATTGTGAAGAACGGATTGTTCCCTCATAACAATCATTACTCATGAGTCAACCCTTTAAAATGCCTGAAGTAACAAGGATTTCTAAAACTTTCCTCAGGAAGTTATCCCATAGTCTAGTCAGGGACAGTACCTTAAAAACAAAGGAAAACAACAACAAATAAACAAAACAAAGCAAAACACAGAAGATTAGTTGCTGAAATTTGCACTCTGATGAAAAATTAAGGAAAGGAAATAAGAAATTTTAACCTCATAGTAGAGGTGTAACACTCAAAAGTTATGAATAAAATGTCTCTTTTTCACCATATTAAAACTAGTCCACAAACAAGTTCAGCTGACATACAGATGCTACGTTTCTGCTTCAGCTCTTGGAAACAAAAAGTATCTGTGCGTGTGAATCCGCAAACATATGAAAACCCACTCATGATTGCTTGACAGCTGTTCTGGCAAATGCCAGATTGGGGGGGGGAGCAAACTGAAAAGGCAGAAATTAATAAATATTGATATTTATGCATTTATTTACAATAATCTTGGAGTGATTTCATGAAACAGCTAAAAATTCTACTTTGCCACTTGCAAGGATTTAATGAATTGTCTACCAGTTTTGGTAAGCACATTAAATTGCCCCTTCCAGATTCCTATGGTTCTATAGTTTCTTCACATGTAAGAACCACTAGTGAATTCAGTAGGATGACTAAGGATTTCAGAAAATCTGCGTATTCACAAGATTATTCTATGAAATAAAAGCACTATCTTATCACAAAATGAACTGACCACCACAAATACCAAAGGTTAAACCTGACTAGCACAAAAGGATAAGCAAATTTTTATGTTTAGAATTTACACACAGAACACCATCAGTTCCATGTTTGTTAAACTGGAATCAATATACATCATCATCTCAGCTGAAGTTCCCAATCATGGAATCAATTCATACATATAAACACTTCTTCAGGGAGTTACCTAGTTTTAGATTTAATAGGTTTGGTTTTTTTTAATATTGGCAATCTGTGGCCAAAATGTCTTTCTCACTTTAACAGAGAAGCAAACATTTCACCATACAAAATATATACATGTTATAAAATAAAAAGACTGTTTTTCATACCTGTGTCTGGGAATTAGGTACCAACTTGTACACATTCTGGAGCTGTCCGTTTACCTTTTTGCCTGATTTGATAGAAAGATAATTACACAGAATTATTTTTGTTTTGTCCAAAGCAAAGCAAACCAAATGTATTCACCTTTTTCAATAGCTAAGAAAGTTAGGAGGCTTAAATACAATGTATAAAAACACACTGTGTAACAGTTTTGTTTGGTCCCATTTCTCTAGATTAATTAAATCACCTGCAAAACCTCCTTTAAACATTTGACAGAGAGAAAATTAAATGTATTCTTCTTATTCTACAGCAGGAAGTAGAAGAACTGAAGTAGTCATTGGGCCCTACTAAAAAGAACTCAGAGGTGCCTTCTTGAATAAATTTAATGCAACCACAACACTAATATGCAAGGAAGAAACTTGAAAGGGGAATTTATGCATCCCATCTCTCATGCTGGTATTAGGACTGGCTAAAAGCAGCATGTTTTAAAGTCTCAAATAGCCTTGTGCTCTTTAAGTGCTTTTCTAAAAGAAATACAGATTTATCACTGGCAGTACCGCACAAGCGTTATCACTTCTCTTGGGTCTGACATGATTTCCTTTATCTCAGGATATAAACAAAGTGAGCCAGGGATTTTATACCTGAAATTTTTCTCTTATGCTTCTACTCCTAGCTTCTTAGTATTAGAAACTTCTTGTAATGCAGATGCAGGAGAAACAGGACCTCCCAGCACCTCTTATATTCTAACATGATACTTCACACTTCATCTGCATCTTCCAACTTTACACCTTACTGCTCCTTTTGTGAAGAGGCATGTAAAGAAGAGTCAAGTTAAACATTACTATGTTTCTTCATAATTCCATTCAAAACAGATAAACATTAGGAAAAAATCAACTATAAAGAAATATCAATTGAAACACATTTAAGTTGGCAAGCTATCCTGAAAAAGCAATCTTTCAAAGTGCTTGATACTTCTCAGGAACTATTTGCTTAACCACAAGGGAAAGCTGACGAAAGTTTCACACTGATTTAATGAGAAAATCATGCTAAGATGGTCAGAAATAAGACACTTTCATCTCCTTTAATAATTTTTGGTTAACTAAATGTTGAACCTTTGCCATGCCTTTTATGTCTTCCTTGAATAATGAATTAAACCCAGATTCTCCTCCCAATTCCTCCCGACATGTTTAGTATATAACAAAATCTGGCCTATGGAGTCAATAAATACAAGAACATACAAGAGGAATTTCAGTTTATAATCATTTATATATTCCACAGTAAGGCAAGAAAATCTATAGTGATGGATGTGTGGTTTAGATTGAAATGCTTCTTAATATATAAAAAGAAACTTGAATTCCTACATGACAGTAGTTAAAACAGGTTAAAAAATTTACATTTTTGCTGACTGGTAAGGTCTTATGCAGAAAGATGGCTACAAATACGTAATAAATGTTCACTCTTTGTTTATTGCCTGCAGCTTCTTTATCTACCTACTACATACTGACAATATGAAAGGTTTGAATCTGAAAGCTGCTTACAACTTTCTGATTAGAAGGTAATTTACCAGTAGAACAGAATGCAGACAATACAGGGTAATAGTAAGCTCCTTGGATTTAGTTGCTTCAGAAGCATCCAACAGATACAAGTCTACATTCTAGTAAAAAATAACTCACCTCATAGAATATGACCTCTTACCAGAATGTATCTTTCAACCAAACCCTATGTGTCTCCATAACTTACAAGAACCATTCTTCTAGCTTACTAAAAATGTCTGGTCTGTAAAAAATAGCATTTAGAAATACATTCTATACAAACAGAAGGTCTGTTGATGACAGTGGACATTTCAATTATTCTTGAACACTGTATTAAACTATAAACTCAGTGCACTCTTCACTGCCTCCTGCTCAAATATAGTCTAGCACTTGATGTACAGATTACTTTAAAATGTTTAAATGTAGGAAAACAAGCCATTTAGTAAGCCCTCTTTAGAGCTATACAGCAGAGTTCCTTCTTGTGAGGCAGTTATGGGAAAAGACTACCATGCTTCTCCACATTAAGTTCATGGTTTAACAATAGCATTATTCTGGACTGCAAAAATGACTCTATGAGTACTGAGCAGGTACTTCAAAGTTACAGCTTTCTAATTTATGAAGAAGGCCTGAAAAGTTCTTTATTAGGGAGTATGAGGGCTCTTATCCCTTCTTCTCAAGTATATTGAGCTGTGTAACTTGCCTACAACTTGAAAATGAAAACTTCATATGCATAACGGTCTCATGAGAATTCCCATTTTTCATATTTTGAGTAAGCTAGAAGTACCAAGCACAGGTGTTTGCAGCATCTTCTGACCAAGATCCTGCTCATAAATACCTTTAGGTAAATGCCTGAAGAAAATAAATGAAATCAGACAGCGTCTGTTAAGACACCTCTTCCTCTAGTTAAAAGGGGGAAGCTGCCTATTTCCTTCAGCAGTACATGATGTTTCAAGGGTTAATTTGGTGTCAGTTTGCCTGCATTGTCTCTGGACTTTGGAGAAAAAGCTTAAAATATGACTGAGAGAACAGCCAGAGATGATGTACACAGCTTCTATGAAAACCCAAATAAGAACATGCATGTCAATGCATGTTTGAAACTCAATTTATGTAATTCTCTGACTGAAAATTAGCTTCAAATACAACTTTCCAGCAAAGCAATAAAGGGCCCAATCTGCTGCAGATAGTTTACTATTTGCAATGAGAAGAGAACAACTCTTTGAAGAGTAGCTGGCAGTTTTTCAAACACAAAATATTTCTAGTTATACCAATTCCTAAAGAATTTATTAGGGACATAAGGAATAGCATTTAAACCGATCAGTAGCTTACTATACTGCAGCAGAGGAAAAAGTACTGTCAAACTTGAGTAGCTGTTTGATTAATTAACATCAAATACTTACTAGACAGAGCTGTCTTATGATTGAAAGTCTTGCTCCAAATACTCTCTTCTAGATTGTCTTTAACTCCAAATTCATAAAGTGTGTTTGGTTTCAGATTGTCCACCACTGTCTCTGTAACTGGGCAAAGCTGAAAAACCCATTTCTTGTCTTTACCCTTTTCTCTGTAGCGAACTGTATAGAACCTGCTCAACAGAAAAATAAAATAAAAAATAGTATTCTGCACAAAGAAATGTATTACAACCATTTTTGTTAGGAATTACTAAAACAGTTTTTACCCACCATTGTTCTTTCTGAACCCTTATGGTTATCAAATATCAGAAAAGCCAACATACCTTCCCTGCAAAAGCAGTACCAGCCCAGTCATCTTCTAGATATATGTATGTTCCCCATGATACAGGCCCCAACATTATGACTGTTATACAAAAAGCAAAAGAACAGTCTCCTTATTCAGAGACAACCATGTGTGTGAGGTTCTGACCACAAACTGCAAGCTCATTTTGCAAGTAGGTCCTTTGATTCTGACATAATGCAGAACTACTCAACCAAATCATGAGTCAAGTTAAGGACAGTAAGGAAGCCTCAACCAAGTTCTCAAAATCTTCTATATGCACCCAGGGGAAAGTGTTCCCCTCAGAATTAGTCCAAAAATATACTAAAGGGAAAGCCAGTAATAGTTGGCATTTATATTATAAATGTGATCTCATTCTGTGATTCTGTTATGTACTGACCACACTTCAAACAAGAAAGTAAACCACATTACTTTCAGCAGTTTAAATTAGTAACATGATGAATTGCTAACAGATTATGAAAATAAAAATATTTTTACAGAAATTTCACAATTCAGTCAAGCAGCACCTCTCTTAAAAAGTATGACTGCAATGTTAACCAGTGAATAACAACATGACATAAATGGTGACAGTTAATGGCACAAGAGCTCCACTGCTTGCTAGCATCTCACTTTCCATATATGTGTTGAATCACTGCCAGAGTGGGACAGAAAAAAACCTCAGAGAGTTTTGGCAACTTTTTAATCCAAGTATTACTGAAATTTTTTACACATAACTTTAATAAAGCTTTGTCCATATCCATATCCATCTTACATTTACATCAGCTAAAAAAAGAATGAATTCCATCCAATTGCATTTTTCCACACATCAATAGAGCAAATTAAGGCCATAAATCAAACACAACTCTAAACCACCAGATACATGCCCAATAATTGTTCAGGAGCAAAAAGAAGAAGAAATCTGGCTTGTGAGATTTAAGTCATATATTAGACAGGAAAATATATGTAGGGAAAGGGAGGCACCTTAAGAGAACAACAAAAATGTCCTGTAATCAACACAAAAGGTATCAAAGGTCCAGATTAAAATGACTTTATGGACCAAACATAATACTGCCAACACATAAAGCTGCTTTTGCCAAAGCTACAGAAATGCACCTCCAGAGTAGCGCATATGTGAAAAATGGCTATCGAGGACACAGAAATTCCTCCTTCATTATTAAAATGCAACATAAGACAAGTACCAATCATGGAAAACAATTTCATACACAAAGTTTCACGTTGTTTACATATTTTATCTCATAATAGTCAAATTTGTTTTCTTGGCACCAAAAATACAGGTTTGCCTGGTTTAGTTGCTGCAACTCAGCTCATTCAGGTATTTTACCAGGTTATGAAATTAATATTTCTCTTGGCTTACATAACACTTTTCATCAGCTCTACTACTTTGCATTCAAAACAAGCCATAGTCAAACCCAAAACTTGGAAAGGAAAGAAATATGACAAGTAGCGACTATCCTCTCTCATCTTATTAATTCCTGGTCTACCAAGTAGCATTTTGCATCCTTCAAGTGGGCTGTGATCTATTCACATTTCAGATGCCTCTCCATCAGTTGGACTGACAAAGAATCTTTAACAAGAAATTATGAGTAGCATCAAAAGGAAAATTTCTTCTCCCTTATCCTCTTAATCTGTTCATACATAATCACACAGACATTGACAAGAACTTACTTGAAATCTCTGTCACTATCTTGCAAAGGATGTAACATTAATAAGCAAATCCATCTGCAACATAAATGCATCTTGCTGGACCTCATACAGTCTCTTGGTAAGGGGTTTAGAATAGGTAGACAGATCTATGATGAAAATGTGAATCACGAGTAGAAAAAGCTTCCTTCTCGGCATGCCCAAAAGAGGAAATTTTGTTTTAATTTTCGCCCTTAGATTTTCCTACCTGCTCTAGTTGAATGCAATAGAAATAAAGTGATTGTATGTGATGGAAAGAAACCAGTGTACTTAACCAATTTGGTTATTGAACAGTGTAAACTAATGGGCACATCTGAAATTATGAGGAAAAAAACCTGACCAAAAACTTGCCCATAATGAATAGGCTTTTATGTGGCTGCTCCCACTTGCTTGAAAATATATTTCACTGTCTCCACACCTGCAGCCTCCTTCTCCCTGTTTGTTTGCTGGGTTTTGTTTTTTTTGTTTGAATTAAATAACTGAATTTAATTAATGAATTAAAATATGGAGAACACCTGCATTTCAAAAAGTATCTTTCATTGCAATCCAAAACTATTAAAAATCTGACAAGATGTGCCACAGTATGCCATTAGAAATAGAAACATATAGCATAGAAGAAATGTGCTCTCAACTCCAAGATTTCCAAGCCCATAAAAACTTCACCAAGGGTGTAGTTATTTTAGTGGAAGCTTGTCACCAATACTAAAAACACTGACTGTGATGACAGAATTTCCTCAACAATTTCAATAAAAGCAACCAAAATGCAGTTCCATTTACCAACTTGTAAGTCACAATTGTTTGAGTATTAATAATATTTAAATTGTAAACAACATGCACTTTTGGGGAAATGCAGTCATTTGTTTATAGAGTATGAATACAGAAATGCCAAGTTTTGTCATCAAAGAATAACAATTCCTTGTTAAACCTGACCAACAAGCTGCCAAATAAAGCTCAATTTCAGTGCCTGCCTGAGAACATTCTGGTGATTAAATTCTGTTATCATTTTAATTTCTTCCTTTTTCAAACCTTCCTTTCAGAAAAAGATACAATATTAACCAATCAATATATATAACTGAAAACATGAGAAAGTAATAAAATCCAGTTAGTGCTCACATATTGCTACTAAGAGAAGCAAAATTGTATGATGAATAAGCAAAACATTAAGTTTTCATGACACTGCCTTAATAAGAATTCCACCGCAATTTTTCCAATTTCACCAAATCTCTTGGCCAGATTCCCAGAAAATGCTTGTACAGGCAAATATTTGGGCACAAAAATTAGATACTGGAAATCTTATAAGGCAGGTGGTTTTATGAGGTTTCCAGAGTAGTTCAGTTTGTATAAATATAATGGGTTTATTTGGAACCATATCCAAACCAAAACTCCAAACAATTTAATCATGACTATTTTAGTCACACGTAACAGTAAACAAACAATTAAGCCTTGGAGATAAAAGAACATTGCTGTTCTGTGTTGTTGTCATAGATAAAAGATTATAAAACTTCTTTCACTTTAGTGCAGAGGAATGTAATCAGGCATACACACATACATATTTATTTCTTTATGGTTAGACTTCATTAGCAGCACAGTATCCATTTAGTGTTAGAAAGTACTAAAAGAAATTGTTCCAACTATGATTCTTCATATACTGAGTGTTTTGCAAATTGGCATACCATTTCCTTTTTATTGTCAAATTTACTTTAAAGTAACGTATAAACAGATGGAAAGAATTACATCACTGATGGCTGCCACTTAAGTCTCTACAGCACTAATTTAGTTTTCACTGTTACATGATCTCTAACATTCACTTTTTTTCACTTCTACTTTTTAATAGAACAACTGAAATGAATAGTTAGAGGTTATGAAGAATAAGATGCTGGCCACCAACAAATCTTTCCGTGTTTAAACAAACTTTTAGCATGTACTCCCACAGCAGTAATTCAAAAGCATGTGAAACTCAGTTATCTGCTGCAGTAGGTTTTCCTTAAGGAATTCTGATCTGTTTAAAGTACCTTTTCTATGACTTTTGCAACAGATATTGTGAGTAATTTGGCAGCTGCACAGTGACAAAGATTTGCAGACAGGCACAAAAGATGCATGTACATACCTTTCTGAATTTAGGGTTTAAAAAGCCCTACTTGTGTGCTGTGCAACATAAAGACTAAATATGCATTATTCTGTCTTCCCTCTCTTTTTTCTTACTTTTTTTTTTTTTTAAAGCCTCAGGTATAAATTAAGTAAAACACAAAATCTGTACTCCTTGCAGATACTAGGACATGAGGACATTTAATTGGTGACCTTATTAGTGTATATAAATATATAAAGGGGGAGTGTCACGAGGATGGAGCCAGGCTCTTCTCAGTGGCAAACAATGAAAGGACAAGGGGTAATGGATACAAATTGGAGCACAAGAGGTTCCACTTAAACCTGAGAAGAAACTTCTTCTCAGTGAGGGTGACGGAACACTGGAACAGGCTGCCCAGGGAGGTTGTGGAATCTCCTTCTTTGGAGACATTCAAGACCCGCCTGGACACGTTCCTGTGTAACCTTATCTAGGTGTTCCTGCTCCGGCAGGGGGATTGGACTAGATGATCTTTTGAGGTCCCTTCCAATCTCTAACCTACTGTGATACTGTGTGATACTGTGAAATCATGGGCAAACAAATTTAAACAATATAAATGCAAATTTGTCAAAGTTCTTAACTGAGATGTATTTCATGAAAAAACAAACCTTCTGGTTTTAAATTTCTATTTCATATTTATTTAGAAGCATGTTTTTTTCTTCTACAATCCATTTGATAGAGTAAAATACAGTCTTCTCTCAACAAACCCTCGTTTTTTTTCTTCATGGAAAAAATATCTTGTGCTCCTTCCCCCAACTCTCCCTCCTAAAGAACTGAAAGTCTGCTTCTGCAACACCCTGCTCTGTTTTGGGATCTGTAGAATTACTCTAACCTAAGCAAAGCCCCCAGAAGCTTATGCAGCAGTCTATATTCTCTTTTTCAGACCTAAATTGACAGTAAGCAGCCACAGTATGTTTATTATGAAAGCTCTGTCCACTACTGGCTAAACATTGAAAGAAAGAGAAGAAAGAATTGTACCTACTGCCCCGGAAATAAAAAAAAAAAAAGAAGAATGTGACTGTGCAGCAGGTTATTCACTACCTCATACTGGCATCAGAAAATAGAAGACACGGAGAAAGCTAACTCCACATTGGTGGAGTCTTTCTGGTATTACATAATTTTCATCAGCTACATAAAACTAACTGCTTGAGGTTTTCTGTTGGTCTTTTTATTTTGTTCTGTGTTCTGGCGCTCTGGCCAGGGATTATAGCTACTTCAAGAAGGCTTTAAAATTTCACACAAATATCAGTGATTATCTTTGCTTCCACAAAGAATTAGGGTTTGGAGTTATTTTCAGCAAATACATAGCACTCTACTGGCTTATGCCCTTAATCTCTAGAAGAGTTTGAGCAACCAAAGAACGGTTTGTCAGAAAATGGGATGGGAAATTTTTCTTCATAGGAGTTTTCCCTAAAGTACTTCGTAGGTACAGAATAATACAGAAATTATGTGTTACTTACTTATCCAATAATTAAGCAATAATTTGACTGAAGCAATAAAAGATACCATTGCTTTTTGAGAACATGTCACCTTTTATTAAAAACTTATTTCCTCACAAAACCAGATCTTCTGAGGAATACCCATCTGAGGTCAGATTCTCACTAGACAAAATCTTGGCCAGCATATTCATGCTGTTCCATGTGGTTTTAATCATCTGAGTCAGCAACATATTCAACTAACTTACATTATGCAAGATCTGTACAGAAGCCTAATATCCTTCCAGAGATGGTAGAATCTGAGGCTGAGAACTCCATTTCAGGTCCTGTAGAGTTACAAATCTAAAATTTGGTGGGATGTTAACTGAAATAAGTGGTCATATATGCCACATACTGCCAATGTAAAAGATTACATGTCATGGCTATGCAACAGTCTTAAGGATGATTAACAGTACATTTCAACAGGTCACAATAAGGAGAACATGCCAGACGAAAAAGGATCAAGTGGACTGCCTCTGCAATAGATACAAATGTTGATGAATCTGTTATCTGACTTCAAGTCTTGTACTTTTCTTACCATAATCTACATTTGACATTGAGTTTAATGGTATCAATGGGAGTTTCATTATAAATACTAAAGTAAGCAGATTTATGTCTAAATTAGACAGATAGAAATTAGGAAAAAAATTTAGAAAGATGGCCAAAAAAAAATGTTCTGAAGAATGCAAAGATACATTAGAAAAATAAAAGATGACAGTTGCAAACCAGATGTAGATGCATCCCAAACACGGGTGCACAAAGTTTCTTGGTTTTACAATACACTGCCGAGTTGAATGGAGCTTCACATAACATAAATGAAGGAAAAAAAAATCTCTTCTGTCATAAAAGGAAGAATACAAAGAACAGCAAATGACAGAGCAGGGAAACATCTGTATTAACAATTTCAATAATGTCAGCAGATGAATTTGACTCATCTGCCAAGAATTGTAATGGTGTGCTGAGAAGCTACCCAGCACTATGACTTCTCTTGAAATTGCTACTTGGTGAGTCTTCCTGAGTTTCACACCTATTGTACCTCTCATTAAATAAATTACAGCAACACAAAAAATATTATAGTAGAAGAGATCTTCTTATAATTAAAATAGAAAATTAATGAAAACTGTACTGTATCAGCACCAGGAAAGCAGTGTAGTGATAAGACCAAACACAGGAAACAAAAGTCAAATAGCATTAAAACAAGGCATAGTACAACAAAAGACTTACTTTATTTCTACTTGGCCAACATTAAACCAATAAATTTCCTATGTCTTAACAAAGTTTCTTTCAATTGATTCAGACACAAACAAAGGTAGAGCCAAGTGTACTGGTTTAAGAAGAACAAAGGTCGAGTGTGAAATAGCAAGATTTGTACTTCAACATTGAGCTGTCTGAATAAATCGACACTCAAAACAAGGAAAAACTTGTGAAATTAATTTAAGTAAATGAGAAAACTTACTTCATGTTCAGAATATTGTTTTAAAACTTTTAATTTCCACTGTCAAACTTTTTTCAGCCACACCACATAAGTACACCGATTTAAATTATGATCATAATAAAAAAAGATTTTCAGTTATGTTACCTGTCACTAGCACAGTTAGTAGTTGCTGTCCAGTCATGCTGAGGGTTGACTAGGATGCCCCAGGAGAGAAATACGGAGGTTGGGGTGAGAGTGCCAACTATCAGCTGCAGAGGCTTTTGATTCTTGGTCCGACCTACATAAGAAACATATAGTTCCAACTAAAAGTTAGTTTCTTTCTCCTGCATTATGTAGGGTAAAGCTTTTGCAGTATGCTTATCGTAAGAAAAAGCTATATGCAGACTAATTTTGAAGCTCTGGCTGTCTTGCACTGCATCACAGAAAGCATTGCACAGAGTTTAGTGCATCAGGAAGTCTCTCTTTGAATCTGACAGAAATAGTAACTTCTTGGCAGGATTCTTAGTAGCACTGACATTACTTCCACAGATAAGTCATGCTTATTACAGCATTCTTCATCAACGGCTAAATTGAACCTACAAAAATTCTTTTCCTTTTAAGTCTAGGCAGATCTGAGTTAGTATCTGGATCTGAGGGCATTTTTTCTATTAGCCACCTACTACACTGAAAATGCTTAGCTTTTGCATGATACTTAACTTTACCTTTGCTTTGTATGAACTAGCACAACTCTCATACAGAGAAAGAACTTCCTTTAAAGAAAGTTTAAAAGCTAACATGTGGAAATGAAATTATCTAGAGCAACTATTCTGAACCTGTAGCTTGTGGACTGCTACAAGCCCAAGGAAAACCTTTGGTGTTTGGAAGATGATTAATTAAAAGAAATTCCTATATTCTTCACAACACATTACATATCTCAAAAATCTGAAGTATCTGTACCACCTCAAAATCTACAGGTGACCACAAATACCCAAAAGTTTATAAGCCACTGACCTAAGGGTTATATTTTTTACTGTTGTGAAACAGATCTGACTTTCTTTTCATGCCTTTTGAACCCTAGTAGCTTTTCATTTAACAAGCCCCAGTGAAAGTCTGATTTGTACTTTCAACCAATGTGTAAGTGTGCATTTAGAAATGTTAACCATGGGGATTTTTACTTCATATTGATGATGAGTATGTTGACTCCCCTCCCCAAACAAAACAAAAAAAAGCACTCTCTACCATTTGAAATACTGTAGAACATGTGATACTTCCAGAAGAGCAAATGCCTGAAGAATTTTCTTGTTTTCTTGACTAGTTCCTATACTGTTTCTCCATTTTTAAAGAAAAAGTAAAACCAAACAGCTTGGTCATTCAGCAAACTGTCTGATCCCTTTCTTGATCACTTGTTGATGGAGCATGGAAAATATGTGAAGTTTAAGGAAAATAAAACCCAAGCTCTCATATAACTTGAAATCATACTGGCTTTTGGAAGGACCTATATATGATTTTGATCATGACATTACGCCATTAGTTCCCACTTAGATACTGCAATGATTTATACACTGTAAAACCAGGAATTACCTTGGTGATCATCTATGCTGATCTGTATGAATACAAAACATACAACTGCTCTGTATTAATCACAGTATGAACTAGAGTGTCTCTTCCAGAAATGCAGCCAGTTTTCATTTGTAAATTTAAAATTGCAGCAACTCAGAACCTACCATTGCATTAAAGCAACAGATGTTCTTACATCTTTGTCTGCTGGACTGAAAAGTCAATTATCTGAATCCTGTTTCACAAATCAGTTTCTGTCAACTGTCAACAGTGGGGGGAGGGGGGGGAGGATAAGGGAAGATTTGTTTTGATTTGATTCACTTTTTTGTGTTGTTTTTTTTTTATATATGTGTATATATGTATTGGGTGATATGGTTTAGAGTGAGGTGTCCCTGCCCATGGCAGGGGGGTTGGAACTTGATGATCTTAAGGTCCTTTCCAACCCTAACTATTCTATGATTCTATGATTCGATGTATGTATACATATATGCACATGTATATGTATCTGTATATATACATATATATATGTTGCATCTGAAAACTAATTCACCTTTCAAAATCTTTCCAGACATACAGTTTTAAATCTGGCCAAGAGTAAGAAATTAATTCCAAGCAGTTATCGGGAATTATAAAAAGGTCATCTAGTCCAACCCTCATGCAATGAGCAGGGACATCTTCAACTAGATCAGATTACTCAGAGCCCTATCCAAACTGACCTTGAATGTTTCCAGGCCTGAGGCATTTACAGCCTCTGGGTAGCCTCTTCCAGTGTTTCACCATCCCCACAGTAAAAAAAACTTCCTTATATCTAGCCTGAATCTCCTCTCTTTAAGTTTAAAAGCATTACCCTCTTGTCCTACTAAAACAGGCCCTGTTAAATACTATAATCATATACACATACCAGTTTATTCTTCACAATAGTCCAGTGATCTTGAAAATCATCTCCATATTAAATTAAGGAATTAAAATCTAACAATATTAATGACATGATTGAGATAATACAGAAAGTCTTTGGAACAGATGAGAATCAAATCCAGATTTCTACTCTGCTATGTACAGTTTAAACTAGAAACATCCCACTTTCCTTAACTCAATGCGTCAGCAAATTTAGTAGTAATACTGACTTACAGATATATACATACATATATATATATATATATATATATATACAAACACACACACAGAGACACACACACGGTACCATTTTCCAATGAGAAACAAAGAGCATTAATATGTTCATGGATGAAGAAATCCTTACTGGTACCTTAGCAAGACTAGCTTCAGTACACCAGATCACTGTATGCAAAACTTACTTTTTTTCCATGCACTTGTGATCTCTTTAAACATCAGAAATTAATATTCTAAATTCAGTTTTCATTAGTAATAACTTTTGACAAGAACAACCTCTAGGTACCTCTTCATATTCTGAACATCACATTTTTGACTAATTACTGACTAGGAAACACTGTCCTAACATTTTATCTTCCTGCTTATGGAATTTGTGCACCCCAGTCAAGCATCTACAGTTACTAATATCTTTTCAGAGAAACCCAATATAAGATTCTGGTTTTCTTCAACTACTTTAAGAAAGATATGCAGTAATGGTAAAATACCTGAACAAGATTTCTTGTTACTTGAAACACGTGCTGGTCTTACTGAAACCAAATACCGTGGCTCAGCATCTGTAAATGAAGAAAGCATCAATTAGTACAGATGTGCTATTTATTTAAGAAAGGGATTAACCTATAATTAATAAGTCCAATATTCAGTCAATGTTTGACACATATCCAATCTTTGTGATTTCCAGGCATGTTTGCTTTAAGCTTATTGGCCAATGATTCAGAAATACTCTAGCATTAGGAAAAATAATACACCCATGCACAAAAGATTTGGCAATTCTTTTTGACTGGAACACAACAAACAGGTGAACATGGCAGGACATACATGTAACACTTAACTCAAACATTACATGGAAAGTGAATGGGAATGAAAACCCATATGAAGAAGAAGGCATTACAGAATCAGAACGGTTTGGGTTGGAAAGGACCTTAAGATCATCTAGTTCCAATCCTCTGCCCTGGGCAGGGACACCTCACCCTAGACCATGTTGCCCAAGGCTCTGTCCAGCCTGGCCTTCAACACTGTCAGGGATGAAGCATTTACCATTTCTTTGAGCAACCTGTTTCAGTGCCTCACCACCATCACAGTAAAATGATACCAAAATAGAAAAGCAAAACATGTAAAGTAATAAGAGGGCAAAACCTAAAGAGTACAACCAGAGATATCTACTCTCCTGACAGGAGCTGGAGAAATTTCTCCTACAGTATTTTCTATACTCTGTTTTAAGCCATACACCTTAGGTTTCCTGTTGTAAGGTTGCAAGTAAGCAGACTCTCATAAAGAGCTGCATGATTGTAAAAAGAATACACAATATTTTAGGTATGCATACACCAATAGACCAATACTAAATAATTCGAGATTCGCATGATAGTCTGGTCGCAGGAAACAATGTCATATAAGTTTAACACAGTCTCCAAATCAGTTACTGGCTTATTTTATCATTAGGTTTACATACTTCTTCCAGGGTCAATTTAGGAGATTAATTAGACTATCATTTGCTTTGACAGTTTTGAATACTCTTTATGAAGGCAAAATTATTACTAACATTTAAGAGCAAGGGACTCATATTTGTGTAAAACCCGCAAAGGTCTGTGACTTTTGCTGAAATTTCTGTGTACTGTTATACTAGAAATAATGATGCATGCAATAGGACTGCAACAATTTAAGTGATTTTCTTATTCAATAAATTAATCTCAGAGACAAATTGCATTTTTCAGACTTTCTGATATTTACACTTCTTTTAATTTTATCCCCTATTCGTTTTCTTCCAGGAAAAACGAACCTTTGTGAAATTGTTTTAAAATTAATTAAAATAATAACTTAAATTATTATATTTATCTTAACTCCTGTCCAAATGTATTTGTGCCACTTCCCATAAGACGTTCAATTGCTTCACTTCAAAAAGCTAACAGAAATGACTGCATTACACAGCAGGAAAAAAAAATAAAATTCCAAAACAAAACCAGCCCTACAAAAGAAGAATTTTTGCATTTAAATTCATTCCCATGGAAATGGCCTCAGTTTCTTTAAAAGTACACAAGAACTGCAGCCATTCTATAGGATGCAGAGTCATCGCTATCTGGGTGTCAGTGTGAATCAGCTTGAAACATTTCTGGCAATACCAGTCTTCATAGGAAATAATGAAATTAAGTAAACCGAGTTTTACATGAACTCTTAATACATTTCAGACACACTGAATGCAGTTTGGATAACTCGAGCACATTGTGGTAAGAGGCCACAACCTCAGATGCATTCCTGTTTCTGGCAATGAAAGGCACATAATTTCACCCTGCAGCTTAAAATAAGAAATATTTTGATTAAAACAATGTTGAGATGTTGATTTTAGTTTGGAGAACTCATCTTTAGAAAAATCTTATGCTTGACATCAGATGTCAGAGATTTTTGCCCTTCTGAACTATTTAAAACCCAGCTCTATTCTCACTGAAGAAAGAGCAACACTAAAAGCTGTAAGAGCTTCCAAAGATATATCCATGGGCAGAATTTGGCTCACCATATATTCATCAAAACTAATTTAGCTACATTTTTTTTCTAAGATTACTCTGTGTAAAATTCCTATATCTAGTTTAGGCACATGCATTTTCATCTGTATCTATGGATGAGATACTGGATTTCCTGTCTATCTCAGTGTAACAGATACCTTGAAGTCTAGCAATTAAACAGAACCACTGAGAAATCATTCAACTTTTTTATTAAATTGAGAAGCCCACTGAGTTTTCACACTGTTTGGTCCTCTTGCTAAGAAATATATGTATTGATCATCACCACAAAATGGAAATCACTGGATGCTACCACAACTCAGTTAATTTTCAGGGGCTTAAAACATTGCCTTACCCATGTATTAAACTTTATCAAGCTGCAAGAAATATTTTCCTGTGTTCCTTTATGATGCCTATATATATGCGTAATCCTCTCTATGGATCCATGTCTATAAGAAGCAGAAATCTTGGGGAGAGGTAATATAGAAGGAGAAAAAGGAAATGCTGTTAAATACTGAAACCTAAATAAAATCATAATTTAGCTTGTGCTACTTCATCTTAAGGGATAAATTAAACTGACTGCTGAAATAAAAGATAGGCAACAAAAATGTGAGCATTCTGACCCATAAAAATATGAGGTTCTGATTGTGTTCATTATGATTTATAGAATATACCAACTATTTTACACTGAAATATATTTAGAGAAGTGTATTTCTTAAATAAAATTATGACCTAAGTAAAAGCAGATCAAACCACAGAGTACAGACAATGCTATTTACAGCTGAGTATTTCCTATTTTGTATAAATAGCATTCAGGAAGAAAATGATAATTACATAATTACGGTTAACATTCAAATACTGCAAATTCAGATTCTGCTCCCTAAAATCATTTTAACATACGTCAGTATAAAACAGAGATACATGATATAGATGCAAGATACAGATATTTTTCTCATATTTAAGGATCTAGAATTTCATAAAGGATCCTTACAGAACAATAAAAACTGTAACAAGTTGAGTTTGAAATACATTTGCAAATTGGCTTTGAAAATCTTAGCTATTCCTTGCTCCTTAGCACAGTCTGGAAGGCCTGCTAATGTAAGACTAACCTGCTACTGCCTCATCCCTTTATTAAGGCTGGATTGACAAATGTAATGGATAAGAACTCATTCAGCTGGCACACAACTATTGCTTTATAAACCCACTGAAGCTGCAGATCAGAAATAAGGACCAAATAGTGACAACCTCCAATTCTTTAGCCACGAAATACTACAGGAAAATGTCCAAATTTACCAGAAAAGTGCTAGTCTACAAATCCATGACTAATTCTTAGTGCTATAATTCCTCAAACATAGGGATTTTTGACAATTCAATGAGAGGTGCCAATACAACATGGGTATTGCTTTTCCAAGTTTAAATACCCGCAGCTGACTAAAGCAATGCCACTTTGGACCAAAGAACAACACTCCTGCAGGCACACAGGCCTAACCAAATGATCTTGGAAGCAGAGGGGAAGACTAGTCACACCCTGAGGCACTGGTAATCGCAATGCAATAGTATTTCTATAGCAGTTGATAAATGCAGCAAACACATGCATTGTGCTGCAATGCAATGTGCAGACACTGCTGCATTCAGTATATATTCTTACACCCTTTCCACACACTTCTCAAAAATATTAGAAGCATTTAGTCATCTTGTTTTAGCTTTTAAACATCAAGGCTACTACAGCTCAATGAACTGTCACCAATTAGCTAAAATATTTTTCTGAACTCCTTCAATACTCAGTGTTTTTTTCACCTGGACAGAGTAAAACACACACTACGTGTTCACACATGTATGTCTACAACTTAACCACAGAAGAAACATTCCAACTGCAAAGTTGCATAGAAGTAAGCCAGTATTTTGGTGTCATTATAAAAGAAGACTAAGATTCTGTAATGTTAATTATAAAAACTTATTAAAAAAACTTTTATTACCCACCTTAACAGCTTCAGGTGGCAACCAGAAGAAATCAAAAATACGTATCATTGATACATCAACCTAATACAGGAGAACTTACTTCCATAGGTAATGAACTAGGCTATCAAATCAGCAGCAGAAGGCAACTAATGTGTACTGCAAAATGCTAGCAATTTCTGCTTATATTCAACCATACTATTTTAATTCAGTTAATTTCGTTCAGCTAACAGAGAAATGCACTTGAAAGCAAAAGCACAATGAACTAATGAAATTAGAATACATTTTAAAGGAAGGTGTTTTCTCCTTCCTTTAGACTTCAATAGGCCATCAGATTCAGAAATCAAAACAAAGGATTTTTTTATCTTCAGGCTACAGTTCCCTAATCTGAATTTAGTATTGCTAAAGACTTACTGCAGGATGCTGTTAAGGGCAAAGGCCAATGGTGGAGAAAGTGAAGTATCAGAATTATTGTACTGTAACAAGCATGGGAAAAGATACAGAAGGAGGACATAAGGGGCTGTTGTGAGTTAACATGCTGCTGGTCAGTACACTTAGCTAGCTGAAAGTGCAGCTGCTGACCTCCTCCAGATCCTCCAGTCCACCAGGCTCAACTAACATTAGCAATATGAATCTGGTTTTTGGTAAGTTATTAGGAAACAAAATATTTCTGAATTAATGTTCACATTATTTGGCATCTTGAAAACCATGCATTTAGTACACCTGCACATTTCTGGTAATTGGTTTGATATAAGAAACTGCACAGCAAGGTGTTTTAGCTAAGCACTGCTCTAGAACACATCCCTAAAATACACTTTTGAAAACATTTTCAGGGTGGCACTAGAATTCTCGCATATATGTATATACACACAGATATATATATATATGCAAAATTCACCCATCACATATTATGGTTATTATAAAGCAGGATTGCCAATACATTCTATTCTTACACTGTACAATCTGGTTCAGGTAAAGGAAAGGCAAAAGCATGGTCAGACTCTGAACTGGTTTTAGAAACAGAAAAGGAAATTAGTTTTATTCACTCTGCTACCCTATTGTTGTTCATTCTTACAAAATTTTCCCTTCTACACCCAACTTTTGGGATTTCTTCAACAGTATCAATAAATTCAAGGAGGCTGACTTGCAATCTTCCTAACCAAGCTAGAAAAAAATAGCAGAAATTTGTCAAGGAAATACTCCATGAGTCATGCAGACTGAACAGATTCAGATAAAGGTTTACATCAAGCTCACAGTTTTGGATGGGTTTATTCACTTTATTTGTTACTACATCAGAATTTACACTTTGATACATTTTGATACAATCTGAGTACCTCCTGCAATCAATAATAATGTTGCTTACCATCATATAAAGTCATAAAGTACATTAAACAAGACACATCTTGTATCCTGATAGAGGCATACTTCTTTGAACCAAACTTTGATCTGCTTCATAATTGTCATTTACCCTTCGCTGTGATTTGAATTCATCTATCTAGCAATGCACGAAGCTGTTCAAGACTCTGTTGCCAGCATGAGCTCATTACAAGTTCAGGAAATCCAACAGAATCCTTTTCTGTTTGTCCGTGCCCTCTACAGACAGTTCCCAATTCACAGATAATGTTACACAATTGCTGGCTCAGTTATTCTGTTATTTGCAAAAGAAACTTAAAAAACAAACAAACAAAAAAAAAGAAAAAAACCCCAAACCAAATATTTAAGATAAGAATCACTGCAGTGAGGTGCTGAACATTTTAATGGATGAAACGTAGCCAGATGTCACACTTTCTACAAAGCCACATATCTCTGCTGGAAATCCTAGAAAATATCACTTCCTTATTAATTTATTTTGAAAAATTTGCCCATATACACATGTAGTGTCATAAATTCATAAATCTGCCTCCAAGTTTATTGTTAACAAGGTCATAAGAGGTGTGTGACCCAGCAGAAAAATGTGACAATGAATTTAATCTTAATCAACAGTGACAGCGTTGGGAATATGAAAATTATGGGCTTTAGATATATCTGGTTTTGTGTATATTATGTCATCTATTAAAAAACATAAGTTAGGCATTGCTTCATTCCCCATACTTCTGTTCCAACTGGGGAGAGTTATCTCAAACAGAATACCGATTATGCTGCTCCATTAACAAAACCAGGCATGCAGAGCTAAATCAAGCAAACGTCTGCAATGCACTTCATTCTGCTATGTGAATCTATGCTGTCTGTTAGAAAGGACATAGGACATTTTAAAGGATTGGTGCATTTTAGGGAAGGAATCATGACTTACATGCAAAGTCTGTATTTTTTCTTACATTGGCTAACTACTAAATTATTACCGAAATAATGTTTTTTCTTTGAGTAGGTTCTACAGTTGACTGTGTATCTGTACCATTTTCACTTACAAATCTTCATGGAATAGACAATTTTAATCCTAACAAGGGATCCACTTTTGTCAAGATACAGAGATTCTCCTGAATCGAGTCACTCCCTTATGAGGTTATAGTCTAAAGCAACGTTTCTTGGGAAAACATACCTTTTAGTAACAAACAAATGTTAAATCCTAAAAATTGGATAAGCCAAAGCATGAGAGGATCAAGGAGCTCTCAGGGTGAATGTGAGTATTTCTGTATAAATCTAGCTGATCTGATTGTGGAAAAATGTGTGGAACCCACTGAAGACCTTTTGCAAAGTGATCATTGGTAATTGAATCACTAGAATATCTGTAACATGGAATACACAATTTTTAGTGTGAAATTTCAAAAATACATTGGTTTAATATAAGGATATCACAGTAGGCCAACCTTATAACTTATGAAATGGTCTCAGAGTACAAAGATAATGCAAGATTTTTCAGCAATAGAGTCTAGGGGTTTTGTATCTTTGGAAAGAATCTTGAGAGCATTTCTATTGTTCCTCTACAATACCTTGTTTTTCTAACATCCTCATGAAATATATGCTGAGTCAAGTTCTCTGGCAGCCAGAATAAAACCTAACCATTGTTCCTTAAACTACAAACCCTCCTGCAATTCCTCCAGTCAGTCGCTGAAACCGGGGTGTGTGGGGGGGGGGAAGCTAGCAGTCACCACTACCTTCACCTCTACCACCGAAGTCGCTCTAAAACAGAGCCAAAAGCAAACAGATGTTCTTGGTTTAGCTCATATTCTTTATACACCTGGCAGGTACAGTAAAAGCTGCATTTTAATGTGGTGTTTAATATTAATGAAATGGGAAAGATGATGCACTCTTTGTTAAATAAACACAAAGAAACCCTGAGCAACAAGTCAATAAAAACAAGAATTAAGAAACCCAAAGGTTTATATCCTTACTCTCACTCTGTAAGTCATGACGACAATAGCATGCAAAGCAAATATGGCTTACCAAGTTCTGTTACGTAGTTTTTTCCTTCTGAAGGTAAAGGAATGTACTGATTAGAAAAGAAACTGCTTCCATAACCCAGGACAAAACCTTCTAGTCTGGTGTTTTGACTTGCTCGAAGATACCTCATGCAAATGGTGTCATCTGTGGCATTGATCTGAACTTTTAGACCATGTCTTTTCACTGCAGAAGAAGTAAAAAAAAAAGAGAAGATCAGAATGTATTATCTTGTAATTATATAATCAGTAATGGACTATGACAATATAACAATATAACAATATAGGGCTGTTATGCTGTTTACGTTACCAAGAAACCTTTTTTCTTAGAACAACAAAGAATGACTTCATAACAGACTAATCCATTTTTTTTAGGCTACTAGAAGCTGTTATGTCTTATCTTGGTGGGGTGAGGGAGGATGGGATTTCCCTTCCTTGTACATACAATTTTAATATTACCTTGTCTCCTGGTTTTGGCAGTTGGCACTGTTAGGCTTATCATATTTTCAGAATATGATAAACTGTTAAACACCAATGATTAAAAAAAGAAGTAGACTTTCCCCAAATTTATGACACTAGCGCTAGAATTATATATTTTGGGTTATTATTTCCCTTCACATTCTCAAAATACAGATTTTTATTCCCAACAGATTTTCAGGCATCTCTCCAATCATGAGTGCTGAAATTTTCAGAAAAAAAAATCCAGAAATTTGCACAAACTCATTTTATTTCAGGAGCTAAATCCTGAAGAAGAACAATGAGATGTATGATCTGTCATTACTTAACAAGGGAGGGTGATGCTGAACTTCTTTGTCGTTCCTGCCCCTCACTTTAAACCCTTCTTTCCTTTTTTTTTCTCTCTCTGTAATTGTATACTGATGTTCAAAATTTCTCTAGACAAGTACATATTCACTGTCTGGTATCACCCCATACCCTCTCTTGTTTTCTTTTGGAGAAATTCTAATGACCAGAGTTGCCAAGAGGCCACAATCTCCAGTTTGTGAAAATGATTTAGTAGTACTAAATTTAGTAGTTGAGCACCTGCAGTTGTCTGCATGATAAATATAAAGACCCAAGCCAAACATTTTATGCCTCTTCCCTTTACAGAAAGAAGAATACAATTAAAACCGATGGAAAAGATGTGCCTCCAAGGAGATCCTTCTTTTATCTAAAGACTGATCAAGCAAAAGCACTCAGCCAGGAAACAGTCACAGTTTTCCAAAGGCAACTCTGCCAGGTTCCAGAAGACTGCAAGACTTCTATAAAACTCAACTCTCTGACATTTTCAGCAATACAATACCATCACAGGGAAAGGCGTGACAGTTGCCTCATTATCTGGGAGACATCCTCACTTCTTTTATATTCAGTATATGAAGCTGCTGTGGGTATGCAACTTTGGATATCAAGAAGGTTCCAAAGAGCAAAAACCAGGAAGAAAGCCCAAGACTTCAAAACCCTTTAATATACTTCATAAAGATGCCTAGTAAAAAGTGTTGCATGACAAAAAAGTTTGATATTATCCCTGATCGACAGTGAACTAGATCTGTTAAAATTACATAGTCTGCAAAACTCCAACCTAACTTTGGAGAGCTGAGCATAAATGAAAAGATGGTCTTGTGGTTCCACTGAATATACATGTCTAAGAACACAGCAAGACTTACAATACTCAATTCAAATATAATTCTATTCCTGTATTAAAACTCTTAAAACTGGATTTTTTAAAAAATATTCAAATTTAGAAAAAATTCAAGAGTTTGTTTTTGTTTTGTTTGGGTTTTTTTAACACAATTGTTGCTATATACCTCAGTTGTACTTTAAATTAATTTGAAGACTTAATTCTAATTCAAGATTGAATTCAGCTGGGTTTGATTCCAATTAGATTGATACTGTGTTTTATTCATAAGTAGTCAATTCAAATGACAAGATGTCTTGATGTTTTTTAAGCCTAAAAGCTCTCAGTGAAATTTAAAAAAACAGAAATAGGATCTAAATGGGATACCAAGACAGCAACAGCTTTGAAGTAGGATACTTTAGACCTTTTCTTTGTAGCTAGTGTACCAAAACCACCAAGACAGCTTTTAAACTTGAAGCCAGTTCTAGCAGAACATAAATGGGAATAATGTATTTTTTAAAATAGAGAATAAGGCAAAAGAAAAGGAGATTAACTTAAAATATAAAACATAAATCCTTGTCCTCCCTACCTTGTCTTGACATGGCAGGTTTTTTTCCTCTAGTTCACTGTTAAGTACAGGATGCTTTCTCTGGATTTGTGGCCTGGATGGCAGGGGGGTTGGAACTAGATGATCTTAAGGTCCTTTCCAACCCTAACTATTCTATGATTCCATGAATTAGTGGGATGGTGCTAACTAAAGCAACACAAAGCTTCCAAAAACAGCAGCAAGGATGGGGGGGGGGGGGGGGGGGGGGAATTAATTACAACTAAATAAAGTCATCAATTTTATCCAGTGCTGATTCTAATAAGGAAGGTTCTGCAGTAATTTTGGGCATGGATATCTCCAACTTGGTATATCTCGAGCTGGTGAGCATTGGTGTTATAGTGGTTAGCATAGGCACCTGCGGCCACACACCCTGCCACTCATGACTGTCCAGCCTTGGGGAAAAATCTCTTGGTCCTCCTATATTGTCGTCTAACGTTTTTTACTTTCAGCCTGGGAACAATGCTGATAACACTGATGTTTTTAGTTCCTGCTCTGTAATGTTTACTCTGACCAAAGACTTTTCTGAGTCTCATGCTCTGCCAGGGAGAGGGGGAAGCCATAAGGAAGCAGAGCCAGGACACTTGATCAAAACTAACCAAAGAGGTATTCCATACCACAGCATGTCATACCCACTGTATAAAATGGGGGCAGTTACCTGGAAGGGATAGATCACTGCTTGGGTTGGGCTGGGTATCGGTCAGTGGGTGGTGAGCGGTTGTATTCTCTTCCCTTCTTATTTCCCTTATCATTATTATTATTGGTGGTAGCAGTAGTGATTTGTGTTATACTTTAGTTACTGGACTGCTCTTATCTCAACCCCTGGGAGTTACATTCTCTCAAATCTCCGCCCCATCCCTCCAGGAGTGGGGAAGGAGGAAGTGGGGGAGGAGTGAGAGAGCAGCTGTGTGGTTCTGGGTTGCCAGCTGGGCTTAAACCATGACACCAAGGTAGGAGAAGCCGCTATGCTGAATCACCTACTCTCTTCTACCACTAGTGCTAAAACAAAGGTTCTCTGTTGAAGTTAAAAGAACCCAAGTTTACTGGGAATCATAGCTGTTGAGTGAGAGCACTTGGGATCCAGAGAGTGAAAGGCTACATAGGAGACAAAACCAAAGAACCATGAGGACAGAAGGAAGCCAGCAAGTACAGAAAGTGTTGTCTGTTGTGGCAGAACCACCACTGCATAGTAGTGGACTCTTTGTAGGGAACACAAAATGTCTATGGATTGTTTGTATGGAATAACATCTCTCCCCAAATCAGGTCAGTGTGCTACATAGTCACGAATCCAGATCTTCTTCCTGTCAAAAGATCGGTACTCCAACATCTTCCCAGAAGCCCTTGCACTCTTACAGCACCCCACTTTTGTGCCCAACTACACACAGTATACTTCTTAGTAACACTCTATAAAAATACAAACGCAAAAGGATGTGAATCAACCCTCTTTTTTTTTTTTTTATAGAGTACATTGTAAATAAATTGTTCTTAAAAAAATAAAAAAAAAACAGTCAAAATGTTCCATACTCAAAGAGGTCACATGATCACATGGGTTCAAAGGAGACCTGGACCCTTATCAACAAATTCAAACATTTCCCAGGTCTAAAAGGAAAAGGCAGTTTTGTGCAGGAGACTGTAACTCCACTATGTTGGTCTGAATTAAAAACAAACAAAAAGCCTCCCATGAAAACATAAGAAATTGCAACTCATGTTAAGACCTATGTGGAAGGCCCACATGGTCTCTTGTAATTGCCGGAGCAGTCAAGAGGAGTACACAGTAGTAGAGGGGCCTATGCAGCCAGACGAGGAGACCTCCACCCTGTGTGTTCCGAAGACACTCCCAGTTTAGTCAAGACAGGGCCAGCCTAAAGCAGTACAAATGTAAAGGACTTTGCATTAGTTTGGTGAATGGGGACTGCTCTCAGAAACACATTGGCAAAACACATTTTGCTTGCGTTCTGAACAACTAACAGGAAAAGAAGGTATTCCCATTCTGAGTAATATCTCTATCTTGGCCACCATTCAGATAAACATTCATTAAATATGATTGAAAGGGCAAGGGAAGTCACAGGAATTTAACTGCTATTATTCTGTGATAAGAATGCATCTGATTTCAAGAAAATAACTTTGTCATATTATCATTTTATGAAAGAGTTGAATGATAAACTAAGCACCTAATTCCAACATAAAGAGATTCTGAAAATACCTTACAAACAGAAAAGAACAATTGCAAGCACAGAGCGAGGCAAGGGTAAACCTTCCTAATATTCACTTTTATTAGCTTTTGGCACATGTTACTGAAACTCTGGTCTTAAGTATTTGCATTTGTAGCATAATTCTTACACATTGAGACCGTCTCCAAATGCAAGTCTGGGACTTGTAGGTACCTTTGAAAAACAATCTTTCCCTTCATGCTTGCCAACAGAAATTCCACACTGATCTGCAAATATTCTCTTCAACAAAAGTCAGTTGATGGCCAAAACCAGCAGGACGAACAGCACACAACATACCTGAACTGAAAGCACTACACTGAGTTCATTAGATCACTTGCAGCATTAGAATCACTCTAAGGAAAGCACTCTTATAAGGGGAAAGCCTGTTAAAGACAGCTTAATGAATCAGCTGCATCATAATGGAACCAACCACCAATAACTCTTCAGAAAGAATAGCTACAGATAGACTGAAGAATCCAGTTTGACACTTGTTCAAGCTTTGGATCCACCATGGATTATGTGAAGTACCTTCTTTTTCTTATCACTTTAATCATGGAGTAACAGAGGAAGAGAAAGGAGAATTCATAAGCACTGCTACCATCTCTGATTCTTACTAGCTACTTCTAAGCGATGATTCATATTTAGCCACAAGGCAGAGAAGTCCAGTTTTTAATTTCTACTTTCACACTGAAAGTTCAGTCAAAGCCCTTTGGCTTAGGTCTAACATCCCCTAAGAAATCACCATTCCAAAGCAGACCGAA